ATCAATAATTCACGATTTGCTAGACTTGATTTGTTGGACATCAGATGGAAAAACAAGACAGCTGATGTAGTGTCGTACATATAGTTGGCGCGTCCGCGTACACACACTTACAACCTTTGCGATTATAGTTCTGTCAAGTTTTTTGCGTCTAACTAAACGGAAACCAGGTGTAAAGACATCAACGCGTAGGTGGGTTATAGTTTTGCAGCAACGTCAATCCTGGGAAAAAACTTGCTGCGAGGAACAAAAACAAACAAACAAACAAGGGAGGAATCAGTCGTCGCGAGGCACGGCCAAGCAACCATTGGCATCGTCGGCGACACTCTCGAAACCGATTGGTTTTTAATCAGCATTCGCTGGATCGGATTTATTGCGAAACTTTTCGGACATCCCGTAGATAAGCGCGCCGGCGTGTGTACACGTACAGTGCGCGGTCGGCGTCGCGCGCGCGCGCACACATGCATCGGCACCAGCAGCGCCGGCAGCAGGCAGCTCTCGTGGCCTGAAAATTATTCCGAGTATTTTTGAATTAGCTTTGGATGCGAGCGAGAGAGCGCGCGCGAGCTGGCAATTGGAGGAACGGGGGGTTGGGAGGCAGAGAGCGAGAGGAAATAAGGGTTGAAGAATGGGCGCGGTGGCAAACGAGCTGGAAGCGAGGCGAGGCTATTGAAGGAGATGCTTCCTTTTTCGCGGTACTGTAATCAGCCCTACTCTCCCCTTCGAACGAATACAAAAAACGTCGCGCGTCGGAGAGAGAGAGAGAGAGAGAGAAGAAATTGCTCGCGGTAATTGCCCTTTGACACCCACGCAGACATCGCGTGCAGGAGAATTCGAGAAGAAGGAGAGAAAAAAAAAAGTCGCCGTTGAATTAAGAGTTAATTCGAGAGCGCGAAACACACGCGCGTTTGCAGAAGTATACAGTCCTTCGCGCGAGAGAGCGCTCAATGAGCTTGGAGAACCCATTCACATTTTGTGTGCGGGCGGTCGGGAGGTTTATAGAGAGAGAGAGAGAGAGAGAGAGAGAGAAGCCCGGCCTGCTGCGGATTGAAGAGCCTATTGATTATTTCGGCGTGCAGCATGCCGTTTTCTTGCTTTTCGCACAAAAGCCCTCGTCCGCACGAGCTTCCTACGTATACGTATATATAGTTAACCCGCAGCACGAGCTTCATGGTTTTGCTGCGCCTTTTGTTCGCCGTCTAGGCTTTTTGCCGCCATCCCTCCATGTACTCTAGGTACACGCCTTCTGCCTTCAGATTAATGGCTTGACTAAGATTTATGATTCGTTTTTTTTTCTGTTTGATCTGTGGGTAAGGTGGAAAACCTATCTTGCCGTTTACCCGCAGATCATGGTTCTAACCTCAAATTTATGTAGATTGTAAATCTATGTAGATTTGAGGTTAGAACCTAGATTCGTCGATGTGATCTTAAGAGTCGTTCTCGAATCCATGCTCTGAACTTACATATGATATTGTTATTACGTTATTGATATGAAAAAAAATACGTTTATTTCATATATAATTTGTTTCGGAACAAAAGTATTTATGTTGTTCAACTAGAAGCTTCTCAACGTTTAACTTAGCAACATGTAAAACTTGGAGTGTGTTTTTTAAATTTCAGCTAGTTATTTCAATGTAACAGTACTTATGTTAAATTTATGAGATGTTGAACGTCACCGTGAGACGAAGATAGACCGGGCTTCATATTTTAGGTTCGCTAAGACATTGCGTAATCTAAAAAAACCTAAAGGTTCATAAGCATAAAAAAATTTATATCCCGAAACTGATTTGCGTAACGACCCGAGCCGTACAAATTCCAATCACAATACTTAACGAGTAAAAATTCAAAAGAATCGTTTCCCAAACAAGCAGAGAAGAGAGAGTTGCTTGCTTGCCCATAGCCAACACCTGAGCAATAAAAAAGTCCATTCGGCGATAGCAAATAAATCTTGACGACACGTCACGCGCGCTATTACCATTGGATTCCAAACGTCTACGAGGAGGTAAAAGAAGAAGAAGAAGCAGAGGCGAAGGAGGAGAAAAAAAAAAATTACACGTGATTTCTTTCGCTGACATCTTAATGGCGTCTCGCGTTGCGCAATTACTTCTTCGCCGGGTATATATATATACACTCGAATTTTACCTCAAGCTGCCGGACGGTTTCCGCTTCTCTCGCATCGCCGAGACAGACGTGCCGTACGCTCGGGCTATCGGCTTCGGCGTCTTATGTAAAAGAGATCCTTCGTGCGCTACTTTATTGCTTTTTTTTCGGAGGGTTTTTTTCTATCTCGCGATTAGGTTGCGTGCGTTACTTGGAGATGACGCCGAATGGGTTTGGTCCGTCCAAGGCCTGGACCCGACATCGAGCGAGGCGTTCGAAGCTATGGAAAAGCCCGTTCGGCGAAAATACGACTTGTTCTTTGCTCGTCAAAGTATCGAACGTGAGCTCTACAATGGTTGCGCTCGCGGGAAAGAACGGCACGGTAAAAGAAGTGCATCCTTAGAAACCAAACTAATTAGCCTGGTCGGCGAGCGACCCGCTTCAAAGCAGTCGCCATTCACGGTGGAAATTATGCGCGCTAGCCCCGAAGGACGAGGCGACCGAGCGAGATCCCAAAATAAGAAGCTTGTACGTGTGAATCTATTTACCCAGTTGCCTACATCGTTTTCGTTTTCTTGAACGCTTGAACTTGCTTGCGCGAGAGGCGAAAGTATGGCAGTGGTAGTGCCGTACGTATGGAAGCGAAAGAGAAAGGAGAGCGCAAACGCGAAACAAGGTCGTTGCAGCGCGCGCCCGTACGCGTGCGTGCGCGCGCGCGCGCGAGAGCGAGGAGAGCGAGAGACGGATCGAACGTCTAATTGCTGCGAGTGCTCCGCGGACTCGGGGTCGTCGGCATCTCCGCCGACGGGCACTTTTTTCCCTTGGATGGCATTTCCGAACGGCCGGGAGTAGAAGAAACGCCGAGCCCTGGGCGAACGGCTCGCTCGGCCCAAGTCCATCGAAATATCCGCGCGCGGCCTCTCGCATTCCGTCGGAGCACGAAAGCGTACACTATCGGCTTTCCGCGGCGCAAATATTTCCCGGGGCGCTAAGGGCCGCCGCCTGTATGCCTGCTGGCCGCCGGAGCGCATTAATTAACGTGTCCGGCTTTGTACGACGGAGCAAAGCGCGCGAGCGCCCTGTCAAAGAGATGCGCCAAGCTCGAATTGCCTGCAGCCGCCGACGCCACCGCCGCCTCTTAATTATTACGCCCGTACGGCTTTTATTTGCCACGTACATGGGGGAAGGGAGAGGGTAGCGGAAAAGCCAGATGCGCGCGTGAATCCAATTTTTAGTCGGCATTCGAACGTTTCAATTTCAAAGTTAGCCGAGGCAGTTTTTTTTCCTCCTCGTTCATTGATGAAGAGAGACGGATTAATCAGCTGTGCGTTGCGATCTTTTTGATTTTTCTGCAATTTTCGTCGCGTAATCTGAACTCGTCGGTGGATACGAGCGGATACGCCACTGGCCCGTATTATCATCATTTTGACCTCACGCCGAAACCTCGCTTGCAAAAGCGCGTCTACCTGTGCCGATCGAAATCTCATTTTCAAGAGAAAACTTAATATTGAACAGATTTTTTTCAGCCTTCAAAGAGCGACAATGTGAACCTTCCTCACTGCCTAACAAACGTCCAAGAAATTGTAATTGTTGAAATAGCACCTAAGGTGCTACCGTCGGGGGGCACGTGCCTTTTTTGGAAGGCGGTATAAAGAGCGCATGCCTCATCAGCCAAAAAGACACGTGCATGTTGAGGAAAAAGTATTTTGGAAGATCAAAATGTCGCAAGATGTTGAAAACACGTCGTCGTCGCATGACGAATTATACAGCAACTTCTCAGTCGCCGATAAAGATTGGCTTATGGAATGATCACTCGGTGGCAGTAATAAAAATGCCTTGACATCAAAGAGTATCACGTTGTAAAGGGTGCTTCTATTATTGATGCGCGACACAAAAGAGAGAATAGAATAACTTCAAAAGGAGGAAAGCAAGACTCAAGTATCGATACTCCAAAGCCCATTGTGCATAAAGTGCTAATCGCTCTAACTGTGCGAGTCAAAAAACTGAAAATCTCGTTTGGAAAATGCATCAATTCCACTTCATAAAAGAGCGAGAGAAGGGGCGGGGGGAGGGAGGAATTGATCGATCGACTGAATGAGGTTTTCCTCGCGCAATTGGCTCTCGCGAAACGATCTGGAAAAATGGGGTTACAACTGACTCGCCAAACGACGGCGGCGCTGGTAATGCCGAAAAAAAAAAACAGCGCGCGAAACAAAAGGTCCAAATAACGATTCCTCGCACGCGAGCGCGAAAGCTGAAAATGGAAAATGAAAATGGTATTTTTGCTTATTTGTGTGTGTTTTTTCGTGTCGAGTACCTGTTGCACTCTTGCATTTAAATGCGCTAACATTTCGTTTAAAGGAGCTAGCTTTTTCCCATCCGTTCGATGCGAAGACGAGTGTAAGATTGCCCTTGCATCAGGGCACTCGAGGCGAATCAAACTAATAACGCAATCGGGATCAAATCAGAGATGGAAAGAGAAGGCTCAACCCCATCGGACCATAATCAGGCGGCAGCGAGCAACTCGGTCAAGCAGTCTACGTCACCAGACCATAAATTCCTGGAAGTGGAGAGACGTCCAAAGGGCTCTCTCCCTCTCTGGAATCGAAGGCGCCAATTAAGGACTTCAACGCTTATTGAACTTTTAACGCGTCTCTCACGCTTTTCAAATTATGCTAATTGGAGATTTCAATTAGCTGACGACAGGAAATATATATACACGAACGCAACGTTGCGTAAATTTGTCCTTTAGCGAAAGGATCATTTTTGTAAAAGGATCGATTACTTTTTATTGCTCGTTAACGTTTTTCACGACCGATTTATCGCTATTTCATTTGATATTCAACGCAATCGCACCGCATCGAATTATAATAACCATGTCGTTGTTTTCTTTTGTGTTTCAGGTCATACCCATCGCCGGTATCAAATGGCGTTCCGAATGGCGCGACAATGAACTGTTCAGGTAAGATAACCTGCAAATTTGAATAGTCGAAGGAAGTCTCGGTCATTTATATTGAAAATATAGTGTGAAACGCTTGCGAGTTGGTCACGTTATGATAAAATGCAATGATCCCGCATTACTCGAGTGCGCTTGCATCGAGAGATCTCAGAATTTCGGGCGAAAGTCTGTCATTAGTCGGATGACGAGGAGAGCAAGCGAACGTAGCTGGAGCCTATAGATGCGGGAATGAAAGAAATGTAATGTTCAAGTTAGAGATGTAGGTTGAAGTTGTCGGCTCGGATTGCACAGGCGAAAGCTCGATTGGCAGAATGTTCTTACTTGGTGTTGTTGGGTGCGCAGGTGTGCTGGTGAAGCAAGAGGCGAGGGACGACGGTTACGAGACGGCGCCAGATCTGGAGATGCGTAGCACTGGCGGTGACAGCAGCGCGTCCCAGCAGTATCACACGCCACTGACGCCGCACACGCCCCACACGCCACACACGCCACACACGCCCCTCACGCCCATCTCCGCGACGGCACACCAACCCCAACAGCCTCAAGCCTCATCGGCGGCCAATCTTGGACAGGTATGAGCTCTCCGCTTATTTTGCCTCTGACTACCTGCGCGCTTGCTGACCTCGTTCGTTATTTGCCGGTGCCCCGGCGAGTAACGCCCGAATCAGCTTTGTCGATGCAACGCCAAACAAGCGCGGCGACGATTTTCCGATGCCGTCGCTGCGCCCAACTCCTGGATCGAATTTCGCCCCCCGCCCCGTCCCCCTTGTCGCCAAAGTCAAAGCCTTTGATTTGTTTTATCAATAGTCAACCGAGAAGCGAGCCTTCGGTTCTAATAAACCTCGGCTGAATGAACGGCTGGGAAAAAAGCAGCGAAGCTTTTATGAAGCAAGCAAAAGCCGCGCAAAAGGGAGGCTAGAAATCAACAAGTTTCGAAAGCAGTAACAATGCGGCTCGTCCTGGTCGCCTCTCGAAAAAAAAAAAAGCAAACGTGAATATTTCATCGGGACGCGGCAGCACGAGGGTTCTAGTAATCGCTCGTTAAGTGGTTCTCGCGTAAAAGTGGATTAACTCGCGCGCGCCGCGTCGAGTTTCTTTCGCGGCTCATCATTTATGTAAGCTCTACTGCCGTATATATATATATATATGTATTGTATATAGCTCTGCCATGCGTCTTCTCGTACTTCTTACTTCTAATTGCGGATATACATGAGAAGCTTCTTTGCTCTTGGCGTCGAGTCTTGTTTTCTTTTTCTTTTTCTCTTTCTCTTCGCGGGCGTCGTTGAAAAATTGATGAACGCGCTCAATTAACCTTTGTAGTAAGAACTGTACTTCACTTAATTTCCACGCGAGCGATACGATTGATTTTCGCGAACTTTGCTCGCTTAATTTACGCGAATAATATTTATTCTTTTATTCTTTTTTATTTCTCGAAGCGACATCCAACGCCGAAAGATAAAAAAAAGAAAACAATGAAAAAGGAATTTCTACATATGCGTGTCCACGTAGCCGCAGGCAACGACGTTGTCGCAGCCAGAAGGCGAATTGCGCAACTGGCTTACGCATTTGCATGACTCGCAAGCGGGTTTTTACCCGTGCCTCCTTCCGCGCCATACAGAACATTGGAGTTGCGGCAAAATCGTCCTTTTCCCGTGCATTAACGAGCGAAACTGAAATTCGCGGCGGCGTTTCCCTGCGTACGAAAGCATTAGCGTATCTTATCTTTTGGCGCCCCGTTGACGAGCGTCGAGGCAGCTAAAATCGATATCCCTCGAGCGGAGAGAGCCTTTCGTATATACAGTCAGCTTGCGGACTCAGCGGATCTTCGGCTGGCGGGGCTTTCCGCTTAATCGAAGCTGTTGCCTTCAGCGCGCCGCGTCGCTCGACTCGCCGGCTCCTTCCGAATTAATACGCCGGGTCGACGACGCGAAGGACGAGTTGTTTGTGTTTTTCGCGCGCGCGCGCGCGCGCGAGAAATATAATGCGCAATTAATGCCTACAGGTCGTCACCGCACGAACCGCACGATTAAGATAATGTATACGGGTAATTTGCCGAAAACCGTTCATCTCCAAAAGAGAATAAACAAATCAATGCATTTTGTCTGACTTTATTTTAGGTATCGATAAAATGCGAAACGCCAGTAGACCCGTACAGTTTCGTCGACGAGGAGATGTCCATGGGTAACGGAATGGGCCGAGCGTCGTCAAGTCCGAGCGATCAGCAGCAGCAGCAACAGCAGCAGCATACGGATATAATGATGGGTGGTTGCGGGCCGATTCAAGGTCTTGGCACGCCGGCGCCCACGCCGCCTATGTGCAATCCACCACAACAGCACCATCCGCCGCCAATGCCCATGCAGATGATGAACGGCGCACCTGGTCAGCAACAGCAGATGCAGCAGCAGCAGCAGCAGCAGCAGCAGCAGCAACAGCAGATGATGCAACCGAAGAAGCGCGGCAGGAAAAAGAAGTGCGAGATGACGCTCACGCCCGAGGAGTAAGTTGACGATCGCAACTCGCCTCGAGTATTTTGAACGTATCGGTCACACGCTGTCTGGCTTGTTTGTCGCAGAGCCGAGTTGGCCGAGGCGAAGAAACGGGCAAAGACGTACAAGGAGCGCAAGAAGCACGACCGCTTTGACGGCATGCCCGAGGAAGAGGTCAGCAAGCGAGTACTGCCGGATCACCTGACCAACGACCTCGACATCATCATCGTGAGTATCGCTTGCAGTTCGATCCGATGCGCTGACTTTATGGCGCGCAGTCGCGAACGGACAAATAACCCGGTCGTAATGATCGCCGTGGCAGCTTATTTTCTTTCTTCCGCTTGCTTACCTTCGAGATGGCATGCTCGTTAGGCAAATCCAGCGTTTGTTCGTCGCAGGCTACTAGCTCCTACCGCGGGTCGCAGTGTATTTCATTTGACTATCCGACTCGACGCGCAGAGGAGTACTCGAAGCAGAATTGACTCGCTTCGTAAAAACGTCACGCGTACGTCATTTGAAAAGAGACCATTTCGTACTACTCCTTTCTGAGAATCAGTGAATTTTATCGCCCTGCTCTCTGCAGTAGAAGAAGTGTCGCTAAAGTCAATCTCGGTCCTTATTGCGCACTCCTTTGATACATGCAGCCCTTTGACGCAAGAGAGAAAGAGAGAGAGAGAGAGAGAGGCGAATTTACCGTCTCCGTCGTCAAATGACAAGGCGAATTTGACTTTTATGAGAGGAAGCCCTTTCTCTCTCTCTCTTCGGGGAAATGAAAAGGACCAAGGCTTTTGTCTTTTTGGCTGTATATACGATGTCGTACATTTTTGACTTATGCCTATATACGCGAGAAAAAGAGCTTTTGTTCGATAAGCTTATTTTTTTATTTTTTATTTTTGAAATAATGTCAACGAGTTGCAATCATCATCGCGTGGGAATCATACTTTTATTTGACATTTCCGGAATGGCAATGAAAATTTCAGTCTTTTTTTTCCCCCAAATTTCCGACATTTTTTTGTTCTTTCGTTATCGCATGAAAACCAAATTCGGCCGCGGTGCGTTTGCGAGCTGGCGGAATTTAATAACGCCGAACCCGGGCGCGCGTCGGCGCAGAAAATGCTCAATAGTGCTCTTAATTTGCCCGGGAATTGATGTGCCAAATCAAAGGGCCCCCGCACGTAAGATTCCACACGCACCAGAGCCCGGATAGACGCGTTAAAAAGCTCTGCGCGGCAAATTAACACGTCGCGCGCAGTTGGACAAAGCGCGCGGGGGACCGTTTGATAAATCCATAAATACCAACAATAACTGAAAATTGCCTCGCTCGTTCGCGAGCTTTGATTAAAAACGCGTATACGCGGAACTCTCTTGTCAAACGGAAATCGTCGCTTCATTACAGGCTTCCAGTAACGAAAAAAAAAATGTATGTAACGACGAACAGCAGACCCGCATACTATATATCTTTTGTTCGAATTTTAACAGTAAATTAAGCCGATTCGGTTTTTGCCATGTGCGTCTATAAATTTGACCGGTCGCCTTTTTTTCGGTAGATAGAGAGAGCTTTGATTGTTGTGGGATTTGTAGGCTCGAGATATATAATTGTCTTTGACGAGGAACTCGCTAGTTAACGCTTTTGAGTTTCGAGTGCAGAGCTTTAATGAAGCAATTTTCGTTTTTTTTTTAATTTTATTTTTATCTTTTTTCTGGGTATTGAAACTATTCTTACGACAATGTAACGTTTAATAGAAACTCTCGAGAATCCTGTTTTTTCACACTCAACTTGTGGAAAAAACACACTTTGGATTCAACGTACTCGGAAAAAAGAAACAAACAATCATCGTTCAAGCTATAGACTAAAAAAAAAGAAAATGACGAATAGAGTGCATCGCACGCATGACAAGCTCTACATTCACGCAGCCGTCAATGACAATGTGTCGCTAGTTTGCATGTGCGTGTGTATGTGTGTTACTTGTTTTTTTTTTTTTTTTTTAAGCGCGCATGCACACGCATGCAGGCAAATGAGCTTTAGGTCCGATAACGCGCTGCCGCTAAAAAACCCATCGAAGCGCGAACGCGTTAATGCCGTACCGTGTGTGCGGGTCCCGGATGCAATCTTTCAGTAGCGTAGTCTGCAGAACTTTTCCCCCCCTTTTTTTTTAACGCGCGGAGAAAAACGAATATCTTGCTTACCAAAACATTACATAACTTTGAGAGTGAGAGAAGAGTGAACATCGCATAACTCAAACGCCCACGGGTGAAAACCAACGTCGGCGGTCAAAAAAGAAAGAAAAGAAAAAAAAAAGAAACCGCTTTCGCACGTCGTAACTCACGAGTCGCGCTCATGCCGGCGTCCAGGGTTTGTTATGTCACACACCGAAGAAAAAGCCGCCGAACGAGATGCCCCGTGAAAGTATTTATACGCGCGCGTGGATGTGCGCGACAAACTTGATTTCAACACGGCAAAGACAGAAAAAGCGTCTTTGGGTTATCGTGACAATTTTTGGCATGTTACAGCGCTCTGCGCTCTCCTTTCCCCGAGGTCACGGAAATAGAACGAAAGGTCTCCTTCTCGCGAGTGCGCTTGGGGCAATATCGGCTCGCTCGAACGAGCGTCGATAGGCGACGGCAATTCTTCTGATCCGCCGCGGAATTCGACGAAAGCAGCGAGCGCATCGCGGACCGAGGGGCGACGAAGGCTCTCCCACGCATCGATCGCAATCGCGGCACAGGCACAAAGCGCAGCGCGCACGGTCGAAACCGAAAGTGCAACGCGCGCGCAGTCGGCCAGGTGCTAACTCGGAGCGGCGTCGCACAGCGCGGCGCATAATTACGATAAATTGCAGCGGAGCCGCCGACTTGCGAGCCGAGCGGCCGACGGTCACTCGGGCCGAAGCTTATGGGGGGGAGGGGCGCGCGCGTAATTACATCTCGCGGGAGCTTCGCGCGATCCGCGAGCCGATCGCCCGAAGAAGAGCGGAGCTCGGGCATCCTCGGGGGCACGCGCGGTCGTTAATTGCCCAACCTTCCGCGCCGAAAGGGAAAAGCGCGTCGAGAGGAGAGAACGTTGCGAGACGCCGGGTTGCGGGTTGCGTCACTCTCGCCTCGTTGCGCCTCCGGGCCGCGACTCGCGCGCGCCGATCGTCGCCCGCGATGCATCTCGTCGGCGAGGCACTTTCGAGGCTGCCGCCGGAATCGTGCCCCGCGATCGGCCGATACGCCCGGACTCGCGCGAGCGAACGAGCCACCAGCCTGTGCCGCGCGGCAGGGAAAATGCAGCGAACGACCCTTTAACCCGTAGCTTCGTCGTTGTCGCGCATTAATGAGCTGGCGCGTCGCTCGCATCCATAAAGCCCAGCTCGCACGCGTAAGCCAGACGCTCGGACGAGGATTATTAATATTTGGCGACTGCCGTCACTGTGCGCGCCGTTTCTTCTTTGTAACGCTCTAATTAGTATTTTCAACCAATCGTCACTTGTGTACCGTTTGACTGTGCCATTCGATAGTTTATTCGAGCGTTCAGCGATGCGCATTTCGGTGGCACGTAATTGAATGGAGCTTTATTCGAGTAACGATAATCGCGAATGATAATTGAAAACCACGGTAATGTGGAAGTGCCAACGAAATGTCGGTGTCGATTTCCTCGCCAACTAATTTGCCGTGAACAAACATTATCACGGGCGACTTCCTTTCTCGCGCCGGAGAGCGAGAGAGAAAAAAGCGTCCTCCGCAATCCCATTGCGCCGTCTGCAAAGCAGTTGACTGCGAGGAGTAAAACGGATTAGAATAAACGAAGTTTATAGAGCGCGACGTCTAGACGCCGAGCGCGCCGAATGCGCTTCAGATCGATTGTTTTCAAATCCGAGTGGAAAAAGTCCACCTACTTGACCCGCGCCAAGGCCGCGAGCTCGAAAGCTTCGGTCAGCTGACGCTCGCGCCGCCTTCCCATCTCCTCTTTATTCATGATCGCGAGACTCCCACCATATCTCTACTTGCTCGCTTGTTTTGCTTGCAGATTGGCATCAACCCCGGCCTCTTCGCCGCCTACAAAGGTCACCACTACGCCGGCCCTGGCAATCATTTTTGTGAGTACGATCTTTCTTTCTCCGTCCTCGAGATGCGGCCGATCGAGCGCGCATTGTTCATTCGCAGCAGCCTCGAGTGCAAATGTTTTGGGTTTGGAATTCAAAGTTACCGGGAACAGCGACTTTTTACTGCTCGAGGCGTACATGTGACTCGCACATTTATACATATTGGCGATGTGCGAATATGTATCGAGTGTGCCGAGAATCGCTGATGTAGTTGCTGAACTCGCGGTTGTACTTTTCTCATGCAGAACAGATCGATTGGATTTTCTTATATTTAACTTAATTTTAGCTAACCTGATTCTCTTATAAATTTATACGTTCCTTCGGGTAAATCTCTATGTACTGAGCTCGTGATCTCAAGAAAATATCTTGTGAATAATCAATTTAACTTTGCAGACCTTTGTCATTCTTCATTTCAAATTATTTATAATTTCATATGAAGTATCAAATAATAAATAACAAATCATGTATAATTCAATATTAAGTATCACAGGTCGTGTAGCCCGCAGTTGGTTAAATAATTAACAATTGATTTTTGTTTCCAACGTTATTCACAATGCAAGGTAGCATAACATCCGCGCCTAATTTTTACTTTTATTTTATGCAAATCCACCGTGATAAATTGAGAATATTCAAAGTAAAGTTGATTGCCCATTTTTTACAACGCGAAAAAATAAAATGAAATTGCTAACTCACCTATCACACCCAAGTGCAAACATTTTTTACGCTCTCACGCGCATATTTACCGCGCAATTAAGTTCTCGATGCCAAACTTAATTTATAATCGTCCAAAAAGAGAGAGAGAGAGAGTGAGAGAGAGAGTGAGAGAGAGAGCCTATTTACATCATTAAATAACGGAAGGGGAAAAAATTTCTTTTTTTTCGGAGGGAAATTCAGGCGTTTCCAGCGACCGCACTTTATATCAAAATAGCGATAAAAAGCCACGAGATGAAATACGAGCGACGATTAGCATTATCTCCGGCGGGCCATCGTGCACATATTTCTCATCCGTATAGGGGGTGACTGAAAAAAAGGAAATGCGAAACACGGCAAAAAAAAATATATATATATACGTGAGCCAGGCTTAGTGAATGGGGTTGTGCGTATGTGTGAATGGGGCAGACAAATTCGGATGTGAGATTTATTTATTTCCTTTTCATTTTGAAGGTCGCGCGAAGTTTGCTACGGGTCGGAAGTATACGAGAGGACGCTGAGTGTTTGCTGATTTTTTTTCTTTTCGACCGAAAAGTATAATTAAAAAGATCAGTCGTTGCGATGATAAATAATGTAATGTGTTAATTTTCTTGCTTACCATTACGAACGATTCTGGTACACGTGTCTTGACGTTACGTTTATTTGGATGTTCGAGAAAGAAAAACATCGTGCAACCACCTCTCACCCTAGAAATGAATACCAATAAACTGGTCACGTCCTTGAAAAAAAATAGATAAAGATCGGATTGTTTGCGTGCTACTGACATGTTGACTTGATGCGCAATTACCGTTGTTGCATTAAACATTATTGAGGTGACATTGATTATGCACCAACTTGGCCAATTCCGTTCTCTCTCTCTCTTTCTCTCCGGGAGTATAAACTTGAATCGAAGTTCAGAGAGCTCCTTAACAGACGCCATAATGGACTGCTAAGCGATGGTTGGCTTAATGCTGCATGATATACGATCGTAATTGATATCTGTATCCATAACGGATTTCGCATTGAGAATCTACTCGTTCTTTATATCCTCTTCTACGGGCCGTAATGTCCCCCCGGAAATTCTCGCCTCCGGTCCCGTGCATTTGAAATTCAAACCCAAAAAGCAACTTCGATTTGACTAGCAATCGGTTCCCCCGTTTTGATAAATACTTCGCTCACACAGGAAAAAGAAAAAGAAAACCACAAAATCATCGAATTAACAATTCCACATTATTACCGGGCCATTCAAAATCGTAGCTATCATTTCGACTGTTTAGCACCGATAGAAACAGTAATTTGCGTCGAAGTGGTGCGTTTCAACATCAAAGGATGAAATTCAGCGCGCGGGAGAGAGGTAAAAAGAGTAGAAAAGAACGCAGGCGCAGAGGCGCGCGCGTAGGCAATATTAATCATTTCAGCGGGCAAACATTTAAACAACGAGCCAACTATAAGCCACGCGGAATAATACACATTAATCTCCGCAGTGCCAATTACTGCGGCGTAATGGTTTTAGCCCGTGGCTAACCTAAATTACATATCGACAGCTAGCCAGATGAAAAAAGAAAAAAAGAGAGATGAAAGCGGGGGGTGGGGGGGGGGGGAGGCGACGACCTATAATGACGAGGATAATAATAAATAGGACGGTTCACGCACGCGCGTGTCTATTTTTAACGCGAACGAGAGGAGGGAGGTTGACGCTTTGATAAACATTTTTGCGCGCCAATGACCAAGCCTTTCCCCCGGCGGATTTTCCAGGATTTCCCCGGCGGCGGCAGGGGGCGGCAGCTATATAATGAGTGCCGCCGGGATAAAAGCCGACGGGGAAGCACGCGTGTGTGCGCGCGCGGACGGGCCGTGCACGTACGCGCGGGAGGGAGGGTAAAAAGGAAGAGCTGAATTTTCGAGAGCCCGGGCTGCGCCGGCTGCCGCGGCTGCGAGCGATGTGTTACGCCAGACTTCTTTAAAGCCGAGCTCGCAGTCGCGCCGGCGCTATTAAAGGGGGAGCTGCTCGTCCGCGCGGCCCGTTGCGGATAGACCAGAGCGCCAGCCCCTTCGCGACGGATCCCGCGCCGACGTGTTTCCCTCCTCGTGGCCCCCGTCGCGTTTTCTCTCTCTCTCTCTCTTTTTGGGTTACGAGCCGCGATCGCGAGCCGCCCGATAAGCCGGTTCCGCCGTTGTGCATCACTCCGACCCTCCCGCTGGCCGTATGTGACTCGAGGGTGTTTCCGGGCCGTCGAGCGCGAATTTACAACCAATTTCGAAAATTTGAGACTTCGGCAAGTTCAAAATGGCCGGCGCAACATGGCCGACGAAAAAACCTTTTCCTAAATGTTCGCAACTCGGAGACATTGGCTTACAAAGTACTCCGTACAGAAAGATGCGCTTTCAATTGTCGAAAACGGCCGCTCGCAAATACACGAGTCATTGAATTTTTTTTTTTTTTTCGCGAAGCGCTAATGAATTAGATTCTGAAGAGCCAACGAGATACGCGCGCGCCTGTGTAAAGTGGAAAAACACGCGAGAAACGCGAAAGAAAAAGCGAGATAATAAAACGGAGCTGCACGGAATAAAAAGGAAAGCGCAATGGCGATTGCAAAAAGCCTAAGTTTTAAAGTGAAAGCTGCGAGCGCGCGTTAATCCTTGGCACTTGGCGCACCGGAGCTTTATTAAAGGATCAACGAGTGGCATTAAGAAACCGACAGGCGCCATCGCCGTCGTCACCAATCTTCATTAAGAATTCTCCGTCGAACCTCCATCATTTATCGCCTGTAAAACTAGGAGTCGCAGCCCTTTGAATGCTCGCTTGCGCGCGACCCTCCGCAACAACACAACGGTACGTACGTACAGCTGCGAGCGGAAAAAGAGAGGGAGGGAGAGGGAGAGGGAGAGAGAGAGAGGAAAGCCCGATGAAAAATTGAGTCGGCGACTTCTGCCGAGAGCGAGGGTGCGAGGTCTCGTATATAGGTAGGTCAGTTACCCGCTCAGAGTTTTTCCTTCTTCTTTTTCAAGGTCAGTTTCTCCTTTTTTGTCCCACCCCCTCTCCGAGCGCTATTTATGAGTTTCGAGGACTTTACGCTCGCGCTCGCCCAACTTTCGTCGATTGCAACTTTGCCGTTGCCGGCGCTGAATTATGGACGAGCGCCTCCTCTCTTTTTTTCCTCATCGATGGGCTCGTCTTTTCCATTCCATTTTTTCTTTTCTTCTGTTCTTTTCGTTGCCGAAGATGTGTTTGGAATTCTTATCTGTGATTTACTGGAAAGCGCAAACTTGTTTCGCCGGCTTGTTTACTGTTTCCATGGATGCTATTGTGACAGGTGTGAAAGATATTTGCGCATCGATCGTTTCAGAGCGAATTTTTAATTGGCTTGACGTGCGACGTATCGCAAAGCGGTCTTGCCGCGTCAACCATGATTACTGGAATCAGAATATCTCTTCGTATTAACGAGAAACTAGCGTGTTTGTGCTGTTGCAAAACCATCCACGCCGAATATTTTTTTTTTTTCGTTAAAGAAAACCATTATAACGCTCGCGTCCCGAGTAAAACTGAAAAGAAAAACCAAAACGTATCTCCCTTAATAATTTCCATGTATACTATACGCGCACGTTGCTGAAAAAGAAGAAAAAAAAAAGGTTCTCGAATTGGCAGAAAGACTTAAACTCCGCGTTCCGGTCTGGGACAGCAGCAGCAGCTGAAAAAACGAAGAGAGAGGATTCACCTCGGGCAGTAGCGATTTTTCTCGCAAGCGCGCTCCCATCGCTGACCTAATTCCTTCTCTCTTTCTCTCTCTCTCTCTCTCTCTCTCCCTCTCTCTTCCCCGGCGGCAGTTCGAAAGTCGGCGGCGCAGAGAGAAACGTGACTGGCAAAAGTTTCGCGGGCGCTGCCGCTCAGATATATAACTTTGTAGCAGGTTGACCTTCAGATATATAACGCGGCATAGCGCATACTGATATCTCTCTTCTTCCTTTCGCCGCTCGGCGTGGCGTCATTTTCCTTTGCGCAAAATCCACGCTTGCAAATTAAGATCGACCCCTTAAATATTCAGGCGGTCTCTTGCGGCCGAATGCCAGGACGCGGCCGGCAGCTCGCGAGCCCGAAAAAATTCACGAGGCGCAAATCGTCCTTGCCGCTCGCATCGTCGCCCCGAGCCAATTAACAAGGTATACATTTTTCGTAGGTGGATAGACGGGAGCGCAGCGAAAAGCAAGCGCGGGGGCGGAGGAGGGGCGGGGTTGGTTTTGCGCAGGCTTACGCGCGAAACGCTATTGATCTGGCCTGGGGTTTTTCGTCTGGCACCTGGCAAAATGAGCTTCTCCCCCTCTCCCCCTCTCTCTCTCTTGGTATATAAAATGCGTGCGTTCGTTGCATAATACAAACGAGCGTCTCTCAGCAGCGAGTCCTGCCATTTTTTTTGTACGATTCGTGTTCGATTTTCCCACGCGTTGCCGAGACTTCGTTTGGTTCGTTTATGAAGCATAACTTACGCAACGTATGCATCGTCAGCCGATGATCTCAAGCTTGACAAACGTCGTCGGTATTAATAACCGGCAGGCCCACACGCGCGCAGCGGCGATACGTATCGAGCAGAAAAGAAAGCGAGATAAGAATCGAATGCACGCTCCCATCCGCGGAGGAGAAGTAGAGGAGGTCATTATCGACGACGGCAGCGTGCTCGAGATAAAAAAAGGAAGATGCAGCGTCGTCATCATCTGCCTCGGCACGTCTATTCACCGGTACGTGTACATAAGATTCGCGGATAAACGGAGCGCAGGAGGCTCTTCAGCCGTCGTCGCCGATAACAAGAACAAGTTTTTGCTGAAAAAAAAAAAAGAAAAAAAAAATAGAAAAAAAAGCGTTGCGTGTGTGAGTTGCGAAGGGAGAGAGAGAGCGAGCGAGCTTGTAATGAGTGTTGGAGGCGGCAGCAGGAAAGGGAGGCTTTGCTACCCCTACCAGCGCGGAGAGAAGGGGAAGCTTGGGTTTTGTGTGAGCGGCGAGCCTGGGCGAAGAGAGAGAGAGCGCTCGATAGCTGTGTTGCACCACCCTCCTCGTCGCACTGGGTTTTTTGACCTCGTCCGTGAAAGCTGAAGCTTCCAATATGCATATGCGCGATTATTTATTCTGCTTTTTCCTTTGGATCTGTCGCGTGTGTACGTGGGATAAGATGCAGCTCTCTCTTGATTGCGGTTCGCTTGATTGTCATTCCCGTGTGGCTCGATCTTATCTTTGTCCTTTTAATTCCGAGAGAAAAGGAGAGGTTTGCGGCGAATTTACATTTTTTTTTACCGACTGTTTTGAAACCGAGACGAAGGATTTAATTATTGCGAAACGGCGAATACATTCGTTTTCCGCCCAGGGGATATTTTAATTTTCACGTTGAAATCGGCGGCGTATCGAGCGCTGCGATACCGGCGCTCGGCCGAAACGGAACAGCGATGAAAAATTGCTCGTCTCGCTCGTCCGTCCAGCGCTGGAAAATTTGGCCAGCAGCGACGCTCATTATCCACCGAAATAGGCGTTTCGTAAAGGCGCGGTCGCGACTCTAGCGCGCAACTAGGCGAGCGAGCACACACACGCAACTTGCATCGATCTTTCTCTCGCCATGCGCGCGCGAAAAACAGAGATAAACGCGCGCTCGATGGGGGCCGGGCAGCAGCAGCAGCGGCGGCGGCGGCGGCGGCGGCAGCTAGCTCCATGCATGCACGCATGCGGGAAAGTGGGAGGGAAAAGAAGAGGAGGAGGGATGTTGCAGGAGGGGATGATAAAAAGAGAAAGAGAGAGAGAGAGAGAGAGAGAGAGAGAGAACGCAAAGCACGCTCTCGCCGCGCGAGAGAACGATGTGGGTCGTCAGTTGTTTTGGCGCGGCCCAGCCGTGGATGTGCCTTGTTGTTGTTGCATGATCCGCAGCTTCGCCCAGACCGTCCGACGACAAGACTTTTCGTGTGTTCCGTGTGGCTCGTTGTTCCGATGCTCGTAAGTGTTCAACTCTTATTTTTTTTTTTTTCGCACGATTCCCTTGAGGACCAACGATGACAGCTAGGATCTTAGAGATCTGATACGTTTGATTTGTTTATTGTATCAATCGCGGACGGATTATTATGGGAATGGACTGCGTCGTTCGACTGGCTGAGCATTAGCTCTGCAGTCGAATGATTATGTGGTTAAAATTTGACGTTGCGTCGAAGTTGAGGCTGACTTGTGAGCGAGTTATTCTACTTCCGATGATTGAAAGTATCGTACAATGCATCAACGATGTTCCGATCGAGCTTTCGAGTTTTGCGGTTTGTGTCGCATATCAATTCTACCGTGACTTACGCGCATACATTTGTTAAATCTGCGTGAATAGAATGTAGAAGTCAGTGTCTCATCTCTTTTGTCGAGCCGTTTCGAATTTCCATTACTGAGATTTCAATTGAAAATTATACTTTTACTCCAAATTTCCCCCGTTTTTTTTATCAAAAAAAGTGGACTCGCCGAGTACATCCACCCTTTGGCCCGCTCGAAAATTTCGCAGCGCGCGTACAACATTACGCGCACAAATTCAATGCATATACAGATCGAAATAAAAAAAATGAGCAATAGGAGGTGACGAATGTGGTTATGGTAATGGATTTTTTCGGTAGCAGCAGCAGCAGCAACGAGCGAGCGAGCGACATGTTAATTCGGCCTGCCGAACTGCGTCCGACAAAATCCATTAGCGCTAAGTATACACGCGTTCGTGCGTTGCGCCCCTTGACGTGCAAGCCGACGTTGAAAAACTGTGACGTCAAAATAAAAAAAAATTCACAGGGGAGCGAGTTTTTTTTTTCTTTCCTCTTTATTTATTGTAAAAACACAATTACGAATAATTTTTTTTTCTTTTAGCATCGCTCGTTCAAAAAACGCGGTTCGGAAAATCGATGAAATTCTGAAGAACATTTTCATTGCAAGTTCGTTGAAAAAGAGACACGCGGAGAGATACTCGCTCCCCCGTAATACAATTTCGACGACAACTTTCATCAACACTTCAAAATGCCCCTGCAGCAGCAGCAGCAAATGCATAACAAAACTTCACCGAGCCAACGCTCTGGCAAAGTTACGCGAGGATAGGCTTCTTCCTAATATATATACATACAGAGAAGGTCGTTTCCTCCTTCAATAAAGTTTGTTCGTTCGATTACGCTCTCTCTCTCTCTCTCTCTCTCTCTCTCTCTCTCTCTCTCTCGGCCGTTCGTCTTCTCTCTAACTTTGTTCCGAAGTTCGTTGCCGCGCTGCTTCAAGGTCGCGCAAGCACTGGGTCGCCTCATAAATCTCCGCTTTAATTAAGCTACCGTCCCGCCGCCGCTGCCGTGCTGCGACGTTAACTTTTTCGACGACGAACGGAAAATGATCTCGCTTTTACGGCGGTATAGTGCTGAGTGGACTCGCGGGGAAAGCACTGGCCAACGTTGAAGAGCTAGTGAATTCTCGCTTTCGACGTTGCACAACTTTTTCCCGTCGTTAAATTTCAACTAGCCGCGGCCCAATCGTTGTCCGCGCGTTCGTACGAGAGATAAAAATGGAAGGAGAAACTTGTAATAAGCTCGTTTGAGCTTCGGAACGTAATTCGTAATAGCCGCCGCACGCTTCCTCTATAAAATTATTAGCGACGAACATAGTCAGTCGGATATTAACAAAAGCTGTTTTTGTTTGTTTTTCAATAATGTTACAGGGAAGTGCTTACACCTCAGCGGTTTGACGCCAGAGCCACTTACAGCCGACGATGACTACAAACTCTTACGGCTGGGCATTGGCTTCACGAATATGGTGGCGCGTGCCACCAAAGGCAGCGCCGATCTCACGCGAAAGGAGATCAAAGAAGGCGAGTTCCATATGTATATGAATTTATTGCATGTTTTCCAACTTAGCGATCGAAATCTTCGCAAATCGTGAAAACCAGTCTTCTGTTTGGTATTAATGCACTCTGGGCATAGTTTGTTGGATTGCGTATTTGTTTGCAATAAATTCTTCGCGAATGAAATGCTTCTGATGTACACGTTAGTGCATAGTAGAAACTAAATTTCTCAAACGTTGTTCCTTGCTTAAAAAAATTATCTTAAATGCAGAATATATTTCTTGATTACAAACAAATTTCACGTAATTTTGGGATCAAATTACTTTAATGTGTTAGAGTACGACGTGATTCAAAAATTAGCTCGTACATCAATCCAAATAGTCATGCCCATCAGTGAATCTTCAACATTTAGACAATTCTCGAAAATTATGCCGTAACTCGATGAATTATCAAACTTTTATTTGAAAGTTTTCAACAGCATCTTTTAAATCCTTGGTGATGGAAATCTGTAATTCGCGTAACCGAATATTCGTTTTTAATCGTTGAAAAAAAAACTTTTCAAGTATATCAAACAAGGGTTGAGAAAAATTTCCTTCGCTCGAGAAAATTGTCCTACGAATCCTATATAAAAAATATTACCGGAAACATACATTTTATCAAACCTCTTGTCTTTTTAGTGTAGCACTTATCAATGGGAATAAGTACGCAAGAATATGCATATGAACGCGCAGAATAGCAATGAACATTTTATGTTAATCGACAAAAAAAAGCCTGTCACTTTAGAAAATGATATCGATTGGACGCAGTTCCTCTTACGTTTTTTTTCTTCTTTCAATTAACGTCGGGCACGCTTGTCGATATTATATGCGAAAAACAAATCCGGTCGACATCGTTGAATCTCAGACAATTACAATCGCATAAAATTAAATACCAAGTGGGCTTTCAACGTGTACATTTGAAGTTGGAGAGTGAAACAAATATGAACAGTCGTTGGAGTTGGCCATTCGATCGCTGTCATGAAAATGACAAGTATCGTCAAGTTTGATATTCAATATTTTTTTATCGTAAATTAGTAATATGTAATAATCTTACTTTTTGGTAAATTTGAAGCTTCGCTAGTATAATTAAAAGAACTAATTATAATTAGCGATACGTGCATAAAAGCGTACTTAGCCCACTAAGCAATTACCACATTAATTATCGGATGTAATGGAAGCCTGCAGTGACCCTCGATGTAATCGATTTTGCCGTTAAAAGCAATTCGACCGTGATTCTTGTTTTTTTTTTTTTTCAATAAGAAAAAATTCAATAAAATTCCATAAGAAAAAATTTGATTTTTTTTTCTCTTTATTTTTGCAGGAAGCCACGTACTTCTAGAGAAACTGAAAAAATACAAACCGAAAATTGCCGTTTTCAACGGCAAACTCATCTACGAAGTTTTCTCCGGCAAGAAGGAGTTTGGTTTTGGTAGGCAACCCGACTTACTGCAAGGCACAAACACGGTAAGTTTCCTTTTTGATCGGCATCGATGTCTATGAAACTCCGATCGAGAGGACACGCGGGACTAATGCATAAGTCAATCTTACGGCGTTTTCGAGTGCACGAATTAGCATCTTCTTATACGTCATTGTATCTTGACAGCATATCAATAAGTCGATATTGAAACTGTAAGCCCGAGACGATTTGAGGAAATATGGTATAATTTGATTTGACTTGGTTAATTTAACAAAAAAATAGCTCAACTTTTCATGCGCTTTTTACAATTATTCGCAAAGTTACGTTTCGATCAAATTGACAATGAAACGGCACCATCCTAAGAACATACGCTTTGAAATGAGCCCCAAAGGCATCGGTTAAATTGTCTCGAAAATAGGCACATATATACATAATAAATTATACATGCGTTTAAACAACGTGATGTCATTATTATCAGTGATAATTATATACACATCACGTGTTTCTGCAGAAAACAATCTCGGTCGCTGAAACGGAGGGCACATTTTGAAATTTTCATTTTCTAATCAACAACACAGTTTTCATTGCGTGTACAATTGCTTTGCTACTAAGATAACAGCTGCCTCGAAGAGTTTGTCTGAATTTGAACGCGGCGCTTGATAATTGAAAATAGGCTGTCGATGAACAACACAGCAGCACGGAGAACAAACATTGTGCACGTGTAGTCGAATTGAAAATATATGAATTGGCGCGAATGTTACAGTATATGTGGGTAATGCCATCGAGTAGCGCGCGGTGCGCACAGCTGCCGCGCGCCGCCGACAAGGTGCCGTATTACGCGGCGCTGAAGAAGTTCCGCGACTACCTGAACGGCACGATTGCGCATCTGGACGAGTCGGACATTGTGTTCGCCGACACGAAGCTGAAGAAGCGCGAGCAGGACGCCATCGAGGACAAGAAGCCGATTTTCAGCGACGACTACAACGACGGCGAGCCGCGCTTCAACGCCGACGGTAAGAGCAGCGAGCGAGCGCTTTGGGGGTGGTCTGCGCCTCCGTCAGACCGCGTGCAAAGACCGATTTGTTTGTCCCGCGTCTCAGGTACGATAAAGCAAGAGCCAGGCTTGATCCCCGGCAAGAAGAAGCGCGGGCGCCCGAAGAAGATCAAGAACCCGGAGGACGTGCACCCGGTGACGGACATCGACAAGCCCGACATGAGCAGCGGCGAGATCATCAAGAAGCGCCGGGGTCGCCCGAAGAAGATCCACCAGCAGCAGAAGCAGGCCGAGCGCGAGGCCAAGGAGCGCGAGAGCCAGCAGCAGCAGCAGCAGCTGCACCAGCAGCAGCTGGCGCACATGAACGACGGCTACATGTCGAGCTGCTTCTCGCCGGCGATGATGTCGCCGCCGAAGCCGTTCTCGCACATGGCGCCGTACCCGCAGCTGAGCGAGCCGCAGGGCTACTACGGCGACCCTTACGCCGCCGGCAAGCAGCACTACGACGACGTTGCCGAGCCGTCGCCCGAGCAGTACGAGCAGCCGCCCCAGCAATACAATCCGGCCGAGCACGGCAGTCCTGCTGGCACGCCCAATTATGGCGGCTACATGGCTTATCACGAGCAGGAGCAGCACGTCCCGACGCCTATGAGCCAGACCACCGACGAGCACTCGCACCACTCGCATCCGACGCCACCTCACAATCATCCGCATACACCTACCCACTCGATGTCGCCGCATCCGCACGAGCAATACGGTACGAGCGTCCCTCTTTTCCTTGCAGCTTTGCTTTCCTCTTGATTACGTACGGGCCATCGGGCTGCTCTGTGGGCTGCGAGGGCTGCCGTGTGGGATCGATTTTCGTCGCGGACGGCTCGCATGGGCAGGGTGCCGCGATTGTCGAGAGCCCGTGTCGGCTTGTCGGCCGGATCGAGCTCCGAATCTCTACCTTTCGAGAGATCCTTCACAATTCAGGACTCGGCGCTCATTGTCGTCGCCCCTTTTCTCGTTGCAGGCATGAAGCGAACCACCGGTCAAGACGTCGCCTCCAAGAGCTTGAGCGACCTCGAGTCGCTGGTGGACCAAATACCCAGCATAGCCGATTCGGGCCAACAGCGGCTGCAGCACTCGGGCCTCGCGGGTGACGACTCGCTCAGCGACAAGCTCGCCGATGCGTCGTCGCACCAACCATACTTACCAGCCTACGGCACACCGACACCGAGTCACCAGACCAGCTACAGTCCACCCTCGCAATATCCCAACGACGCCAATTACAATTACTCGAGGGAGCCGGCGCAACAGCAGCAGCAGCAGCAGCAGCAGCAGCAGCAGCAGCAGCAGCAGCAGCAGCAGCAGCAGCACAGTAAAGCCTACACCGTGGAGAACTTGGCGTCGAGCAATTACACACCAACGATGAGCTCGTACCTGCATTATCCGAGCAATGGCTATCTCGAGTCGAGTCTCGCGCAACGAACCTACCACGGTTTCCATCATCCGTCCCTTCATCATCCCATGCCTACCAATGCACCTTACCCTTACAATACCTCGTACGCCAGTTCTTTCGATGCTTATCAGCATGCCAATGTTCAATCGAATTATCAAGGTTACGCCACGAGCAGTACACCGCCGTCTTATAGGCCACCTGTCGATTTGGCTTACGATGGGGTATGATAGTTGGACAGACATTAAACTCGGCGATATAACGTTCTTTTTTACGTACGAGGCGAGCGAGTAAACTTTTCGGCGGCGCGATCAAGCGATACAATGTTGTTGTTGATGATGATGAAGACTGAGAGAGTGTGCTAGAGGCAGGACTTACGCGTCTGGGAATGACCGATGATCCTGCGAGGGCTGTTGAATCAAAATAATTAACTTTTTTATATGTAAGCGATGATTATTATTCTTTTTATTTCCCGAGAGATCGTTTGTGGTTCCGTTGTGATGATTGTTTTTTATACGTTGACGAGTATTTCCTTTTCTTGCTTATTCACAATTTGCTGCGAGTCTCTGATTGTTTTGTTTGAATTAATATTTCTATGACTTGTTAAGTTACTGAATCTATTCGATTCCGAGTAGGCAATTTGCATTGTTGGGGCTCTAGACAATTTTTATTGAGAATTCGAATGGTTAATGAAACCTTCTCTTCTTTTATTGACAGTATCATCACATGGTGCAAACAGTTGTGACTACATACTTTTACTTCGTTGTTACTAACGTTGAAATAATACGGTTTTCTCACAATATCAAGTAGGAATAAGACGCTCAATTTTTTTGTGAATTATCTTTTTTGTGGTTTACTGTTTCTCATTTTACCGTGGTATTGTAAAGTTCTTTTGTGAATTGTCTTTATAAATTTTCGGCGAGTTTTTGATTTTTACATTTTAATGAAAAAGCTAATTTTCTATGCAATAGTTACTTACGTCAATCAGCACAATCAAACCACCAAGGACCCTCACTTTCGTACATTTAGTTAGTTATAAAAGACTGAAGCACTCGGATATAATTACTTCGTAATCGTTAGCAAAATGGAAAAACCTCGGTGCTATTAGTTTCCCGGTGACAGATGAAAATAAAATAAAAAAAAGGAACTCGTTACAACGAAAAACAAACAAAAAAAATAAAGAAGAAAAACGTCGACTTCGCACGCCGAAAAATTTGCCGCCGAAGCTACAGCTTCTCTCGCAGAGTTGTAATGTGCAATATACAACACAACATAGGCAACGACGGCCTCAGATCTTTGCTGCGCCGCGAAAGAGTGCAATATAGCCGAAAAAATAAGGGGAGGGAATAAAAAAAGTTCGTTCTCCATGTGCATGTGTGTGTATAAAAAAAGAAAGAAAAAAGTTCGAAGCGACGACGACCGCCAAACAATTGTCATAGTTCGTCGAATGAAAAGAGAGACTTGTTGCTTTACTGTGAATGCTGATATTATCTATATCTTTGTACCCATCCCACCGTGTAATTTTTAAGAAACTGCGCGCGCGAGAGTGAGAGAGAGCACATTATTGTATAAATTGAATTTTTCCTATTAATTAAACTCGCTAAATAAGTTGTATTTGCTAGTTGCGTATTATGTAATCGAGGAACGATTTTTTAAATCGAATCGCGCTGATAGTCTATAAGAGCAGGGCATTTCCTCGGATTGTTGTGCACGCGGCGACATGATCGCGTCCCACTTGCGTTAAGAGAATGACGTTATGTTTTTTACATATATTCTTCTTCTCCTCCCCTATTCGATTCTTTTGCGTTTCCATACATTGGTGCGAAACAAGAAAGAAAATGAAAAATCAAGATAAACAAATAAACAAAAAAAAGAAGTTCGACACACGCAGACACTCCTCGTTCGCTAGATGTTATAAACGCAACGCTGTAAAATGTCGATGCATCGGCGTGATTATACATAAATATAAATACATATAGATATATATTATACATATATAAATATAAAAGTATATATAAATATTATGATTATTGATTAACGAAAAAAGCTAGCTCTAATAAAAGAAGAAGAAAGAGAAGAAAAATAATGGAAAAAATGACATTACACGATTTTAAAGGACAACGTAATTTACCAGCTATAATGGTATGTCAAGGTTTGAGAGAAGAAAATAAATTTAAAAAAATAACTTGATTGCACAGGGTATAGACGAAGTCGTTGATATACATAAATAAACCGATGTCTTTATACATAATTATATATATATATACATATATATATATAACGAGATATGCATCGATACATATGTTTTATCTTTTCAGTTCTGTCGGCCTCAGCCAAAGTAACACAGAGACACACGTACACGATGATTCTTAGACGTTTTTTCCATTCCGGTGCAGGCATTATCGATATAGATGTCATCAGTGTTAAGTAACTCATTCATAGCCGTATTAAAAAACACACACCCATCGCTGTTGATTGTACCGTTGAGAGAGTGCGAGACAGCTTTGAGCCGATGGCTCCTACTTTTTTTTATTACTCCAATCGTTCTTTAACCCCCTCGAACCTTAACTTCTTAAGCATGTATAAAAACTACCGGCTGTGCGTGGAAGAACTTTTAGGATGCGTGACAATTTACGAAAAATTTTGATACGATTGAGAAACAAAGGAAAGGATAGAGTCGTGAAACAAAGAAAAAAGGAAAATTAATTTTTTTCTTTCACCGGCGATACTTTGTATATATATATATATACTAATCCGTAGAGTCATGAAAAATTCTTCCACGTTGGCCGATAATATTATCATGAGATATAAAAGAAAGGAAGGGTGACGGATGCACCAGGCAAAAGTTTTTTCTTTGATATTCACGAGCGACAAGATAATAAGTAAGAAAAAATAAAAGCAAGTTCCTATCGTCACCTAAATGATTTTTCCATCCCGTTTAGGCCTCCCAACAAAGAGCAAGCTAAGAAAGAGAAAAAAAAACGACGTTATGTATATCCGACATCCTTGCCTCGAGTTCGTATCTTTAAGCGTTTATAAGAGTTACGAGTATTTAAATTCTAGTTGTATTCGCTCGCGACCCGGTGAACAAGAAAATGACGACTCTGACACTGAGAAAAATCTCTTTCTTGAACATCATGCTTATCGCTTCGAAGTTTTAGGTACATATGGTATTTTATTTTTGTTTTCATATACTTTTCACATTTACTGTAAATATTCGGAGTCGAGGCTCGAGTTTTGGTAGCTGATGAGAGAGAAAAAATTAACGCGTCTAAAACTTCTAAACGATAGGTCATGTAAAACTTTGTTGGTTCAAATTGTGGCGGTGACTTTGCGTAAAGTTAATGAAACGTTCAAACACGTTTCCAAGATGCTTTGAACATTTTTAATGAACGATACGTCTCAAAACGACTTTGAATAAAAAAAAAATGAATCGCTCGTTAAAAGTTGGTGAAACGTCTTAGATGAATTGCAACAAAAATGCAAGTTAGATGGAATTTTAATGACATTTTGTAAACTTGAAGACCAACTTTGCCAAGCGAATTTTTGTCAGTGTGACAGTCGATGCGAAGTAATCGAAGGAATTTTTAAACATGCCGAACATAAAATCTGTATAGCTTTATTGTATACTTCGATATAAGAGAATGGATATTAAACGATAAATAAGAATAAAAAGGAAAAAAACAATGATGAGCGGCAATGAGACCAATGAAGGTTGCTCATGGCGAATGTTACTTAATGTACATTGTTTATACATAAATGACAAATTAAATGAAAACAAACAAAAAAATAATTAACAATAAGAGTATTAAGCTCTAGTTCCGGATTATGCTAAACTCCACTATGAATGTGTGATGTCATAAAGAATTAAAAATTGTCATGACAAAAAACACAAAACGAATAATGTTTATGTCGACTTCCTTTTTTTCACACGTACACACACTTACAAACTTATACATTACAAACAAGTCTTTATAATTTCTCATTTTTAGAATCATCGAAGACGACGTTGAAGCGTAATAAAAGAAGTCGACAAAAAGTGTTCTTGTGTGCCGCAATCTGTGCTTCTATTATAACATAGATGTCGAGTGAGGTAGGGCCAGTTTTACGCGAACACGAAGTTTTTTGATATTGATAGTTAATTGTAATGCCCACGTGCTGTTACATTACCATTATGTATAGTGAAACGATCGACGGTTTCGTGTTCTTTCTTTTTTTCCCTTCATTTTCTTTTCTTTTTTCTTTTTTTTTATTCATTAATACTGTTAACGACAAGCCAGCTATGATGTAAAATAGATTTTTGAATCGTTTTCTGAAAAATAAATGTCTTTTTAAAAATAAAAATTGCCGCTTTTGAGAATGTATACGTCTGTGACAAATAGCTCCCTCCACATATTGTCCAATTTTATTGAATTAATTATAATTTATATTGATAATTCGTCTTTTTTTCTTGAAGAAGAATACACGTTTCAATTGTAAATATTTTTTCTTGTGTTGCATTAACGACGAGGTGCAATAGCAGTGCCAGTAAGTACAAGTATTTTGTTGTCAGAGATGAAAATTAAATCAACTTCGCCTTGTTGATATTGAAACAAAAATCGTTTATCGAGTATTATTTAATTTAAGCGATCGCATATTTATACTATAGTAACATTAATTTTTTACGCCATACAAACATAATTGATGCTGCAATTTATTTTCATCGCGCTTAATTCAAATACTTGTCTCTACTTCTACAACTGCTTCTATTATTTATGCGACTGTCTTACATTCGATGGTTTTATTTATTATTTGCAATTAGACTTCAAGTAGTGTGAAATATTTAATTTTCTTAACATTATATGCCTCGGTGTAACGGCTTGAAGGCTGGAAATCGATTTTCTTACATATAATAACAAAATTGTAATACTGTTAAAACGCCAATACCATTTGCATTTAGAAAAAGTGACTGTCGTTAAAAATAATTATCGAATTACAGTATTCTCTGGACGAAGGAAATTTTGCATTGTCTTCTCAATATCACACCTTGCGACATTGATGCATTATAGTCGTTACATCGTGTGCTGTACTGCTTCTACGGTATTTAAGTAATTTTGACTTTTTTTTCACAAAACGGAAGAAATGAATTAACTTGTGTTTAGTCTAGATATTGAACTTGTAAAGTCTAAAATGCATTTTTTCATTGTAGCGACCGCGTTCATACACTTAAACATAAATCAAACATTGATGCGGTTTATTTTTCGAATTGCCGATGACAATTGGTGTTTAATTACTTGAGAAATATTCGGGATTAATCTTATCAGAACGAACGCAAACGATGCTGTTTGAAAATTGTTAATTTTCTCCCTCTACTGATAATATTTTTAACAGCCATAACTTTATCGTTATTCTAAGTAATCAATCAGTGGTTTTATTGTAAAAGTTAAATGGATCAGATGGGGCTTACTGGTGAAAATTTCAGAATTAAATCTCAAATGATACTCCTAGAAACTCTTTTGTTATATATATTTATCATCTTATGTAATGAAAAACTTTACCTTGGTGTCCGAATCTCAGCATCACAATTAACAAAGAACATTTTTCAAGAACATCTTCTACGTTAGGATCTGTAATGATAGTTAGGTGGAACATTTCTAAATAAACTCTAAAAATTCCAAGGATGAATGTAAGTATTTTGAAAATATCTTTCGTATACATTGGTATTCTTGCAAAGCATTAAATTTTTCTATTAAAATGATGGACGATAAATGAGCAGTGATTTTGTTGATCGTCTGATTAAGATGTTGGAGTAATACTTTCAATGTTTACTAATAGATCTAGTTCTACCTCGTCTAATCCTATTCTGGATTGCTTGTTAAAGGGATCATAAGGATTTCCAGAATCTATAATTACAAATCTAAAACCAAATTTTCTAAATTTAATTTAAATTGTCTAAATTTAGCAGATCGAATGTAGGGAAAAATTCGTTATGATATTAACTGCTAGAAATAGAAGTATGAATAAGTAAACAACATTATCGCATATAGTCAACACGATATTCTAGAGTCTAGAAATATAGGCGAAAAAGGTTGTTTAATTTTGAGACCTATTTCGATGTTTGAATTGATTGAAACCTAAATTTTTAATTCGGGAGTTCGCAGTAAAAATTGTAAGACCGGTGCAATTAATGAAGAAGGCTGTGATTACATATCAATATTTATATTTAGTGTTTGCTCTTAATGAAATTTAATTGCGACTATACGAGGCATAAAAAATCCAGTACTCATATGGGAAAAAGCCAAGGTCTAGTCACATACGAGATAACAAGTCGCCAACAAATTTTCGAGCGAAGAACGTCGTGCAGAGCAGGTTAACGGTCGTGTACGTGGGTCGAAGGCGCGATTATAGACGCGGAGAGCTCTCGCTTACTTACGGTCGCACGCAGTAGTCGCACTAAAGTCTCGACGTCTCGAGAACGGGTTCGGCCCTTGCCACCGCGTGGAGTATGGGCGTCAGGGCCGCGTTGGTTGCAGGCGCGTGGTTTGGGCTGAGGTCACCACAGGGACACGTGGCACCAGCGCACAGATCGCAAGAAAGCAATGGGGTCGATGATGAGAATTGCACGACGGTCAACTTTAAACCGAAACTCGGATCGCTTCTCTTCCTTCGAGAGCTATGCGGTCGTCCCTTCTCCTCTTCGCCGGAAGCGATAGAAGTTGAAAGGATCGCATCTCGATCTGACTGCGGCTGGTCAACGTGTGTTGAAAAAACCCCGAGCGAGAGCGCAGTGCTGCGCGCGCGGCAGATATAACAGTCTGGGAAAACCCTGGCGCCGACTCAGCTGTAACGCGTGCGCCCACTCGAAGTCTGGCGAAAGAGAGAGAAAGTGCACGACAAATATAAACACAAGCAAAGCTGGTAAACGTTTGCATTTCGCTATATATTGACTTTCAGACGAGCAAAACGAGAACGTGCATGCAAGCTTTTTGCAAATGTAATTGTACGTTATTAAAGAGGTAAAGTAAGTGCGAATAAACTGCCGGGGCGTAACAAGCTTATAACCGATGCCGAGGAAATCGGGCTACTAAATTAATTCACGGATCGAGGTTTCGAATATACAGTAGCTACGTATATAAGAAAGTCGCAAGCGCTCCGCTTGTGGTCGACCATCCCAGTGGATTACGTCTTTGATCGCGAGTATTAGTACGTCGTAGGGATTGATTTAGTGTCATTATTCTACAGCTGCGTCATAGTGGGTTCCACTTCTGTCTTACCGTTCATACTGCAATTGAGGCATATACAGATAGTTTTCAAGATTGTTGGGTGTGTATCGCTTACAAATGCTGAAAAGAAAAATTGTCTTTATTGTTTTTCTGTACAACGTATTTCGGTTTAGATTTCTATATTATATATATATATATTTACATATGTGTATGTCCTGACGATTCGTATACATTCAACAATATTGAAGCTTTATACCGATGAGACGATAGCAATTGTTTGGCTCCTTTCAGCCCCACCCCGTCGCCGTCGACCCGACGAAATTTCGGTGCGCCATGAAGCTCGTATGGGCACCCCCGTCGTCTCCTGTTACAAACGCCTAATTGGAGCAAATCCGATGCCGATGACTTACACCAGATGCCCCGCCAGGACATTACAGGGGGAAGGTGCTTGATGTTCGTTGCACCTGTGTTCCGAGAGATCGCCTCATTGATGTCCGGATTGTCAGCGCGTACTTACGGGCCTTGAGGAGTCTAGTCCGTTCAAGACCCGATTGCTCTGCGACAATGTGGACGTCTATCACCAGACCGAGCCTTCCTCCCTGCCCTCTGATGCTTCGTTGTACCTCAGACGCCGGAGATCACGGTCAACATATTTGGCTGCAGCGTCGTGCCTATGAATCCTACTGTCCTGGGTGCGGGGGCATATCTCGAGCACATGGTTATTCGTTTCCTGTAATATGTATCCCGCTCTGCAGACACGATCGCCACACCTTCCCCTGGTAGTCCGTGATCGTATGAAAAATTCTCATATTTTCATACGTGTTGAGATCAAACAAACTCCAATTCAGATCCAACCGTAGAAACAATAGTTTATTTCTTTTCAACAATTTTTCAAATGCCATGAAACCAGGTATGTCGGGGTTAAACTGACTATGAATTTGGATTCAGCGTGTCAAAATACACGAGCACATGTGTACGATGTCGGTTTTGGTACAGTGGCCACTTATTTGTTTTTGTACGTCTGCGCAATTATGAAAGATCGCAGTAATTCCGATTTTATAATGTATATGCGGTATTGTATTTTGTAATATATATGGCTGGAAAATGCACTACGTTAAAATTTACTGTACGTATAAAATGCTATTTGTGTTAGTGTATAAAGATCTGTTGGTAAAAATAATTCCATAGTTGTTTTTAAGATGCTGGATGTATTTTATTGAAATAACATTTTTAACATAATTATGGCATTATATCGACCAATTTATTGTTTTTCGGATTCATGCCTGCATCTTTCTTTGTTAGCCATGATATAATCCACCTATAACATTACAGAAACGTGGTCAGAAATATGTTGCGAATGCAATCGCTGATCTGCCAGAAAGTATGAGCAAACTCACCGAGCATTGGACGTAGTTGTTCAACGGAAGTTTTAGTTCATCTTTGCAATGCTCGCCAGCTTCTTTCATGCAATGGACCGCTGCGTTAGTACCAATGATTGACTCATGGATTAAACGTTCCGCTCGTTCCTTTAGCTGAATTGAATTTATTTTAGTTTTCTTTCGATTCGTAATAGATGCTGATTAATAATATGCAGCTGCTATCTAAATTACGAAACTATATAACGCGCTGTTTTTTCTTGACATAGTGGTATTTGAAATTCATTTACTTCAACGTAAGATACTTTTTTTACAAGTACTTAATGTAAGATAGCTACAATGCGAAATTCATATGTACAAAAAGCTGTTCTTGATTCAATAAAATTAATTTCATTATTTTATCATCTCTTTAAGAATGCAATAAAAATTTTTGTGCAGCCGCCACGTTCGAGAAGATAATGATTGCTGGTCTTACCTTGTCGATGAACGAAGGTTCTAGTTGGCCAGCTTGAGCTTGAGCCGAAGCAGCGGCAACAAACAACGCGAAAACGCAGAGAGCCAAGACGAATCGCAACTGCATTTTCAAGTTTAGCTCGCACTTGCGATTCTGGCCAAAACGAAGCGACGTTATGCTTCTTGACCGATCTGAGTTGAGTTTTTATAGTCGATTCAGTGTCACATTTTACAGAAATTAAAATTTATAATCAGATGAACGCGATGACGCGTTGCATTAATTACACTCTGATTGTCTTTTCCATCATTCTGTCAGGACGATAGAAGTAAACGACTTCATTTCAATATCCACGCTATTATATGTTTCTCGCAACGGTCCTTGCACAAATAAAATAAATGCATAATATTTCTTTTCATTCGTCGCATTGGTGTGACCTGTTTGGATAATGTTAATTTATACGCACGTTTCATCGCAACAAAAATAAAATCAAACCAACTCAACTCAATCGATTAATGTCGATTTGTTTGAAATACCAATCCCTCATCCTCTTACCAGAATCATTGCTGCGAATATATATATACGACTAGTATCGACAGGTTCTGTATTGGTTCTGAACAGTATGAAATGAATAATTTCTATTGTTATTATGCATTTCATGGAAAAGTAAAATTTTAAAAAAGTTCCTTTTTTTTACGCTCGATACATTATGCAAAATCAATCGCCACCTCATGTGTATCGCGAGCGATCAATCAGCAGCACTGAAGACCGATGACTAAAATGATTAATGCTGCTTTTTCCAACAGTCGAGTAACGATCCAAGATAATACAAATTTGGCAAAATAAATCAAACGCCTTTATTTACTTGTATCATTATTTTTGCTTTAACGCCGACTACAATCAATCGTGATCCAGCTAGATAACGCCGTGCGAAATGTTATTTGGCCAGGGTCTAACTGTCATTCGGTTTGTCCCATATTCCCACGCGCAATTTCTCGAACAATTGCGCGATTTCTTCTCTGTTCTTCCGATGGGATTACAGAGATGAGAGAATCGCTTCGCTTAATTCGCGCGTCTGCCATATTATAGCTCTCGGTCCGTGCGCGTCTATCACAGAGGAGCTGCCTGTAATTGGACTAATGCGCGCGGCGTGGACTGGGTATCTGCGACGTGCACGCGCATCTCGCGTTATTTTCTACGCATTCATAACATTCACTTTAATCGCCGTGCATATATATTTTTTTGTGATTATCGATACACACTAAAAAGTAGATATTACACGCTACGTGGATAATTGTCAAAAAAAAAAGTTCGATATCATCTACAAAACAGCCATAACTTGCGAGAGCTTCATCGTATTTGAGCTTATTAGTTACGAAAACAGTAATACTCTCAAAGTCCAAATCAAGAATAATACCAAATAAATTTCTTTACTTATTTTACAAGCTAATGGTACGGCCCAATTAATGCTATATTAATGTAACCGTTTAGAATTGAAATTTTAATGTCGCTGTGGGCTAATTATATAAAATAATTTATTGTCAAATAATCAATTTTATTAGTAATTGAAAAATTGGAACGTTTCAATTCTTTTGAATCATTAGAATGTCTACAATGAAAAATGTCAATATATATTGCCGCTCTAATTGCTTTTTTTACGCGTTATTATATATATACATATCGCAATCGAATACAGTCATCTTCAAAGCTTCATAAGTGCGTGCATACGCGCGGATATTAAAAATCCCTGCGTGAGAGAAAAAAAAATGTATACTTCTCCCTCCCGTCCGAAATCCTTTACGTCGGCGGCGGTCATATAATGTAAGATATTAGCGCAGGCGCGCGCGCGTCAGTTGGTGCGTGGTTGTCGTCATCGTCGGCGAGGTTTATATTGTGTGTGTCCTTTATATATCCTTTCGCTGTACACGTAAAAGCTCGTGGAATAGTCAGCATTTCTCTCTATTGTCACTCGTGCTGTCGTTCATTGATTTTGCAAACTTTCGACGAGGTGTAAACATTAGCAGATAGTCGTTGGTGCTCCAATGAATACGACAGACGAGAAGGTTCGTTGATTAATCTACACAGTGGTTTTTTCTGCTCTGCATTGCGCTCTGTGTTTTCTTTTTCACGTTGCTTCCGTATCCCTTACTTTTGTCTACTATAACCTCGCAAGGATGGATGATAAACGTGCGCCAATAGGCAGAATGATATTTTTTTCACGTGGTTTCAATGGAATTAACACATACAGTATTTGTGACCTGAATATTGGTTATTGGAATATGTTCACGGTAATATATAGCGGGCTGTAATAGGTTTCTGTATAGGTACTCAGCGCGACTTGTTTGTTAAGTACCTTATATATAACTATAGAGCGACTACTAAATAACAAATAGTTGAGAGTTATACGATTTTTAACGTTATTGATTTTCCATTGAGAATACTCGAATACTTGTTTAAACAAATGTTTTTGTGCTAATATCACTAGCTGAGACTGATAATGAAGCTGTGATTATTTCGCCAATTATGGTTTGCTTTCTGTCATGATGTAAATTAGTTATCGTAGGCGTTTGAAAGTTCCTCCTACATGTGTTTGTATATGTGTGTATGCACGCACGCGCGGTTGTGTGTGTGTATTGTCCATGACAGGAACTTATTCACATGACTTTTTCCTTTCAGATTAAATATAACTGGGTAACTGTGAAGGAGCCAGTCTTGAATTGATTCTATTGGCTTATGGAAGAGTTGATATCTGAAAAATTAAGTCAGATGAGACTAGTTGAAGAAACTTGTGGCTCTAAGAAATTGTGATTACGTTGATTTTTGTATGCAGTTGCCAAGAAGCAATGTTGATTTACTTGTAATCAAAGTCATTATTTGCATGAGATTTATCGAGGGAATGTTGCAGTAGAGAACAAGTAAACATATGTTAAACAGTCATTAGATATTTATTTTTTGCTGTCAATCAATTAAATTTTCTTATGATTCACAATAACGAGTATGGATAGCATGATTAGTAGTGACTCGTCTAAGAATTTTTCTGCACCACTTAATAAAATTACTAGACTTCTTCCTGCATGATGTCATAGTTAATACGAACATAATGAAAGAATGAGAATACTCATTCAGAATATACTTCAGAATTTGTTTTTTAAACAGTGATTATCCATTTTGAGTCAATTAAGATGTTTTTTCCATTTGAACTTTCTAAATATACACTCACTGTATTGATTTTATAACCAGACATAACATTCTGCTTATTCATGCGTCTTATAACTTTCCAGAAAAAAGTGTTAACATGTGTGCAGTCTATTTCTAAATTTGGAAAGATGTGGAATGACTCATAGGGTGCCTTAGCCAGCATAAAACACCTCGACCCAGAAAAAAATGCCACTCAAGTTCTTGTTTAAGGTATTTTCTAAAATTTCATTGATAAATTCCATTAAACCATAGTAAATAAAAATGATAATTTGTCTAATTTTACAGACTGTCATATCAATAAAAATAGTTTAAGGAATTTCGAGACGATTCGCAAATCAGCAGTGGAGAGTAACAGGGCTGGTGATGCGGGGATGTGGATCGGATGGGCTGATGAACTAGGAGGCCGCCAAAGGAGGCTGCTATTGTTGTTACTATTGTTCTGTTGGTGTCGCAATGTCAAGCCGCTGGCGACTGGCATCCCATCGGAAATCACGCTGCCGCCGCCGTCGGAGTCGAGCGGTCAGTGGCTCAATTTGAGTGTCACAACAAACAAAGCCGGTAAGTAATTAATAATTGTGCAGTGAAAACAACAACAAAATAGTTAATGATATTGTTTGTTTTTTAACTCAGATTCAAGATTGACGATAGCAAACGGTGGTGTGACAACGACGAGCAGAACGCCGATTACGGCACATGATAATTCGCCAATAGTGCCTCCCACCAGCTTTCTGAACGGAGCTCTCACTTGCCAGCCTTACCAAGGTATCTACGTGAACCACATTTACTTCCAATTGGCGAACGCCTTCTTCCTGTTGTCGCATCTGGCACCGAGTGGCCTCCATGGTGTGCTCTACCTCAGATGCACTCTACTTGTGGGCTGTGCCTTTTTTGTGCTCTGGGCCTGGACAATCGTCTGCTGGCTAGACGCTGCCCTTTGGAATCTACTATTCGTTATCATCAATTTCGTTCACGTTTGCACTCTGCTGTATAAGCTCAGGCCCGTTAGGTTCTCCAAGGAGATCGAGGAGGTACAACATTGTGACTTTATTCTGAAGCTTTTTGAAAATAGTTTCGTAATTCCTTTTTCTTTTCTTTGTAGGTATATGTTGCAGTCTTTCAACCTTTACGGGTATCTCGCCATCAGTTCAAAAAAGTCTTGAGCTGCATGAAATTGATCAAACAGTTAAAGTATCAAGAGGTTTATGCTCAGGAGAGAGTTACAAAGGTCGATTCACTGTCCTTGGTACTTTCGGGAAAGTAAGCGTTCTTTTTCTGTTTCTGTAATTATTATGTGCACTGTTAGATGTAACTTTTTTTTCTTCATTCTAGACTTGTTGTATCGCAAAATGGCAAAGCACTGCATATAGTCTTTCCTCATCAATTTTTAGACTCACCGGAATGGTTTGGTGTTTCTACCGATGAATTCTTTCAGGTAAATATTTTCAGTCAATTTTTAATGTATGAAAAGCACTAGATACATCTTACCGCCATGTAGGTTTCAATTACCGCCATGGAAGAATCGAGGGTATTACTATGGCATCGTGACAAATTGAAACTGAGCATAATAACCGATCAGTTTCTTCAAGCGGTCTTCGATCACATTCTTGGTAGAGACGTTGTGAAAAAATTGATGCAGGTAACATTTATAAATTTTTACCTTTAAAAAAATTTTATAAGAATATTTAACTTTATGTTGATTACAATTCAGGTGAGCGAGACAATGGCTGCAAGTACCCATCAGCAGCAAAATGGCCAGGTAATAGGTCTTGGTAACATGACACATAATCCTGATCACGAGCTCGATGCCAAAATGTTCGTGGTGAAGAAAACTGGTGATAGTCAGGGCATCACCGCCCTCATAAGCCGACAGCTTCAAGGTAAATTATTTCTGTTTGTAGTTTTTTATTTCAATCGCATGCCCTGTTTGCATGTTTGAGGCAAGTGCTTCTACAGGTGATTCTCCGTTTCATGGTACATGTGACTTGTTATTCCCGTTGATTAGTCGGATACATTATTATGGGGAATCATGTTGTGTGCATAGTGACAAAAAAATTTCATGTAATAATTAAATTCCGAACGAATAAGCGAAACCAGTATATTTCTAAAATCGTTATTTACTTTTAATACGTAGCTTTTATGAGTATATTGACGCAACTAGCGAAGAAAAGTTTGACACACGTAAAAGTATTTAGTTGCACATTCAAATGAATCGGATTTATTTTAAATAAAACCGCATGGCGTGATTCTCAATATACATATGATTTACGTATATATCTTTAAGTTTTCTTCATTTTTTGGGTATTATTTATAATTTTGGCACCTTATCGTTTGTTTGTTTTTCGTTCCTTGTTTGCTCGTGCTACGTCTTCTTCCCATGCCTCACGCGCACACAGAGGAGCGGGTGCCACTACTGTACTCGAGCCCCGATGTCCTTGGCAACGCCCTGCATCGGCTTCATCAGTCGCAACCTACTAGTCGTAATCTGCTCCATAGCCCTCGTTCATCACCTTAAATATTAAAATAAAAAAAGAAATGAATTTCTTTCGTATTTTATTGCCAAATAATTATACGATATTATCGGGCGCAACAGTGTATCCCAGGTAAGTCCTTGATTATAAGTTTTAATGGTAGTTGATATGGGAAGTTATCTGTTGAAATCATATGTTTTATGGAGATATTTGACCGAAAATGAAGGAGCCTTATAGAAATCTCATAGATTATGAATATATCAAATAAAACGATATCAATTTTAAGGTAAAAAGAATTTTATAAACTGATGAATTAAGTAGTTTATTTATCAATCTCTGATCATAGTTTAAGATGACATGTCTGAGCTTACTAGTATAAATTTTAAATGAAAACATAAAATTAATTTTATATCCTTTACCAAAAAGAAACATTCCAATTTATCTCATAAGTAGATAACTTCTCACATTGAATTTGTATACTAAAAATTTTGATACGAACAACGAATATGTTAACTAATTTTGATAATCTCAACGTATATTTATTTATTCTAGTCTGTGAATGGTGAAAATGTTTATATTTAAATGTAACTGTCATGTATGTTTACTCGTCAAGTACTCGTTACTTATGTATGTTTCGAGATACATATATAAATAGTAGAAAAGAAAAGCAATAATTTTATATATAGATATATGCGTTTAAGTACTGCATCAAGATATTATTTATTAATCATTCCATTTGCGATAATGTATTGATGTCAAAGAGTAACGTTGTGATATTCAATGTCTTTGTGTATAATTTTACATTAAGAATCTTACCGTCATGATACCAGTTAATTGTAACAGAATTCAATTTTTTTAAATATACCAGTGTAAATACTTTTATGGTATAACGTCATAAAAGAAGTAGATTTTGAGCAGCTTCATATTTAATAAATATATAAGTATCAATGTTAATTGTAATTTGATGTTTCGATTAATTTAATTAATACGTTAAAAAAATACAAAACACATATAACATGCTTCAACAACACGACTGATAATAATCATAAATATTAGATAATATTTTTTTATACTTATTTTATTATTTTCTGTACTAATGAGAAACAATAAATTGAATCAGTCACGATTATTGACTTATATTTTGTTTTTTTGTTGAAATCAAGTTTCGATGTTACTGATCTAAATTTCTCTTTATATTTAGGTTTACCTAGGATTAAATATTATTACTGTGGTAAGTTGACAAGAATCAATAAATTTCGATCATTGACATTCATTGGCATAATCATTTCCTATTAAAAGAAATGTTCTTGTTTTTACATCCGAAAGTTCTGAAAACAATACAACAGACATACATTGACACACACTTACAAAAATTTATACAGATAGCTGAGAAAGTATATAAAATCTATACAAATGTATATTATTTGAGACGTACATAATAGACCTTGATCATGCTTCACTCTGCACATTCCATAATATTGGTAATAATACACTGCATGAATCGTAGTTTCGAAGACAAATCAATTTGACGAATTACTTGTAAATAACTTGTATAGATCTTTGCACACGATTTCATAGATTAAATGTTTGATAATTAACTGAACAGATAAGATTAATTGAAAAAAAAACTTACGATCATCGATAAAAACATTATTCTCGCAAGTAAGTTTCACGTCATCCATTAATTTAAAACCATTCGATTTCGTCTGGAGAGGGGAATTGAAAAGTGTATAAGGCACATTAGCCGCGTTTCATCTCCTCACCTGCGGTGAACAAAAGCAGAATATGATATGCTCAATCATAAACGAACAAATATTTTTCATAGCTGCGGGAGATCCAAACGCCTGGCGCCTAGGGAGGATTGAAGAGACTGACCACGAGACGCCGGTCTGAGTGGGACAAGTGTATTTTATCCTTGGCAGTCAATAAAAAGATATATCGCGCGAAAGATTCCGCACTGATGGATTAATCGTCGAGTGATGTGCGCTTTTCCTCTTCTTTTTCAAAAAAAGTGTGTGGGCGGTGTATGTGTTCACAGTCATGCCAAATTCACCGATATACACAATTTGATTTCGTACTACGATTGATTTTTCCTCATAAGATCGACTTATTTTTGTATGATTCGACATCGATATGGAGCGCGCAGCAAACATTGAAGAATATTACAAATAAATAGATCGTATGTGATTGTTATGCGGACATTGAATTCGTCGCATATGTAATGTACGACAAGTTGTTCGCGCGTGTGTTTCGTTAATTAATATTATTAATAAAATACAAAGATGTTAACCTCGCAGGTGTACTTGCAAAGAATCAATCTATACAAAACAAATTCAGTGTATTTCCGACAAAACAACAAACAAACACTTGTTTACAAAAAGATATATTTTTTTTGTTTACGTTGAAATTTGCTCACCCGAGACTTGCTCGCGTAGTTGTGAAAGTTTTTCGTTTCATAAGCTGTTATTTTTGTAATCTATCGAGCGACGATCGAAATTTTCACGTAAACAAAAAAAAAATCTCTCGCTCGAGAAAAAACTGTATTTAAGTCTATTCCGTGCAGCTCTTTTCCTTTTGTCGAAACTTACTACTCGGCAGAATTAATGTAGCTGTCGACTGATTACTTATCCGAATGGAGTTACGTTTTTAAAGAAAAAACAAATTTTTATCGTTGCGTAGAATGATGACCATAATATATTTGAATTTTTGATATATGATTGTATGTACATAAATGAAAACTTTTTGTAAATATTAAAATGAAAAACATTGATCTCATATATATATACATATATATATATTATATATACACATAAACATGATTATGCATATACGTCAGCGGAAAATGCCGAGTGGAAAGTTTACGGCAAAGCGAATATGTTTTTTTAGATTTTTAGGTCGGCAATGGCTTAAGTATGACTCGAAATGCTGAACACTTTTTTAATAGGTTCACGGGATATAATAACCAGTGCCTTTATTTTTCATGCTCTAATTTTCGTTATTACACATTCCACATTATTTCAGTTTTACATTTCTTTTTTAATATTAGCCTTTATTTATAATTCTAACATTCTCAAATTTAATTTTTGTTTTATTTCAATTTTTATAAAACTCATTATTTGAAACTACTAAAAATACTACGTCAAAAAAAGCGTTGTTGTTTTTAATTTTGTAAAAAATATTTCTACAATAGTTTGGCCAGTAAAAAACGTAAAGTTGTTTGGCATTCAATATTCGTGTCATGTATCACATTGTGCATACGCTTATTTTATATGAAAATTATCATCTTTATTATAGGAATAAAAAAAATTTTTGTTTCAACATACTATATACTCTTCATCTTTACTCATTTCATTCTTTCCTCTTTCTTCAAAATGCAGTTATTGTCTTGTTCTATTTTTCATGCAGTATGAATTCTCTTAGTTTTTTTGTAATATTTAGTGATCATATTTCCAATCTTCAGTCACATACCATTCAATGCTTTTTTGTGTTTTGCATTTCAAAACAGCATTCTGCTTATTATCTTTATTACATGTTTTATGAAGATAATTTCAAATTTATCAAATAAAAACTGCGTTTGTTCTATAAATTATTTATACTAGTAGATAAATAACAAATGTAGACTTTTTACGAAATAGATCGATCAATATAGCATTGCGAAAAATTCAAAATTATTGTTTTTCAAAAGGTTTATTTCATATATTAAACTTTTATACTGTATTAGCAAAAAAATTGTACTTCTAATATTACCATAATTTTATTTATAATGAGCATCTGAGAAAAGATTACTTACAATGCAAAAATAAAACCATCCTTCTTTTCATTGCTTGATTCATTGATAATTTACATTACAGCTTGTAAGTTTTATAAAAAGGCATATCGTTCGAAAACGTTAAGAAATGCAAGTTCGATTAGAAAATATAAATTTTTAAAAAGTTGTAGTGGTATATTTCATATTTAAATTTATTACGCGAATAATTTTTGTTCTACTTTATTGGCATGAAACTTGTTGAATTATTATTAAAATTTTAAGAAATGGTAAATTTTTTTTCGGAAAATCAATACTAAAAAAATATTTAAACGTGACCATTATTTATGAACAATTATAGTACATTAAATTAAATACTTAAAAATGATTTTATTCTTATTCTACGTTTACAGAAATTTATACAAAATTGAAAGTTCGTAGAACTTAAATATTCTATTAAATCATAAGTAAAAACTACTTCACAAATGTTTCAATTATTGGAAGCGCCTTTTCAAAGATTTTATGAGTATACTGAAAATCCAAAAAAAGCCAACTAGCTTCTACATCTGTACATTTATACTTCCAAGATCTTTGTTACAAAATTAATATTTACTAGGTCCATACTCATATTTGAATGTTAAAGGTTTTGTACTACATAAAAAATTAATAAAGAAAAAAAATCTTAACTTCCATACTTGTGATTGGAACTTAGTCTATATAATATAATATTATTTTTCTAAAAAAAAATTGATAATGTATGAAAAATCAATTAAGGCCATGTAATTTTTTGGCGCTTTTTAACTTGTGGTTGTGCTAGAACCTGAAAAAACAATAACTCATTTTAATTGATGTATCAACTGAAACAATCAAAATATTTAATTAAACCTACATAAACAAAATTATTTACCTCCTTTTCATTTATTTTTCTTTTCAAACCATTTTCAGGTGAACCATTCGTTCCTGTGTTGGAGTTTGATAAACGTGCTTTTTTTGGCAGTGGGTTAGAATCTTCATCAGATGATCTACACCTGTCACTGTTTGTTTTTATACTTGTGTTATTTTGACTACAGATGAAAGATCTATAAATAAGAAGAATACCAAATTTATTTTGAAGCATTTTGAGCAAATTTAGTAGAATATGTTATATAATATTCATAAAAAATTTCTAATTTATATTGTATAAAATGAAATACTCACGCATATAATGCTTGCTCTTCTTCAATAGCAACAGCAATTTTCCTTGTTAATCTAAGGTCGTTCAATTTTTTTCCTAAATACTTTGACTCATTATATCGTCTTTGAGGTAGTGGAAGTGCAATCCTCCTATACATTTCTACCAAATCTGACCTTTTCAGCATCTTTATATTTGGTAGTTCAATGCATCTCTGTAAACAACAGAACATTGAAAAATTGACTGAATATACATAAGACTGCTAAATAATGTGCTAAATCTTTGGCACTTACACTTCTTAAAATTTCTATTAAGTCAGTTTCAGATAATAATTCTGGTTTTGTCAATGTGCGAATATCCGCAGACATTCCGTGCAAAACACGTGTAACAATAAATTGTCAAACGATTCTGGGAGATCAAATTGAAACCATAGTCGTCCACCCACACTTTGTTTTTCACAGTTCTGTTTAGTTATTATAGCGATAAGATACAAATTATCTCACTATTCACTACTTTACAGCATTAGCTTTATGTTTGTTTAATTTACTAAATTTATCTACGAATATTTTGTCAATAATAATTGCTTTTCGGCTTGCAGCGTTCTCAGCGCTGAGTGCTAACTCTCCTTGAGCATGGCTGAACCTAACCTAGTAAATGTTTTGTCTCACTGTCTTACAAAACGAAATGGGTGCAGACGGTATTGTTTTCTTAGAGTGCTATACACATTAGAGGTATAATTGATTACTAATATTAAATCAAGACATAGCTAGACAAAGTAGTACACACGGGTTACTTTTGAAGTTTTCATTTGTTTTGATTTAAAAACTACAAATTTCGTACTTGACTTTAGATACGATTCTCTACATAAAATCTTGTAAGTATTGAAATCTTTACTAGCTTATATTTATATTATACGAGAGAATGAGAATTGTAATTTTATAACTCTTATATGTATGTAATAAATACAATTTTAGTGTTATTGAATCTTGTTCGTTTGGTACGGAAAACTAACCTTCGATTGAATTAGAAATAGAATTATATCTTATACTAGAAAGGTAGAAAATTATGGAGCACTTCAGCATTGTCAGATTTAACAAAACATTATAGACAATATAAATTCAAAAAATAGAAAAATGATTCATACAAGGAATGCATTTGAAAATACGTGACATCTACTTGTTCAACCTTCACTCTGAATTAAGTGATAAACTAGCTGCCAAAACACAAGGTGAATATGTACAATCAAAATTCTCACAAAATCTGACTATTGATTTATTATTTTAATTAAGTATATATATATATATATATATATATCCGTTTGAACCTATCTTTAGAGTACAAGATTGACACTATATAATAATACCACACTATAAAATAATTTTCAATTGAAGGTTGCAGATTTTAGTATAAATCATGTTGGTTGTAGCTAATTTAGATTTCATACATAAGTATGTGAATGACCTAGTGAATGATGTTGTCTCCTGGTGGTGGCAATATCTTACAGAAATATCATGGCAACTTTTAATTACCATAACTGCATATTTATGTGTATGCATCTTTCTTTATACTCTGTTGAAACAAGTAGATCACAAAGTATGGCAATTGCCTGGTCCCCCATCCAGGCTACTATTGGTGATAGCTCATCCAGATGATGAGGTCATGTTTTTTGGACCAATAATATATTGGTTAACTCAGTATGATGCTAGTCAAGTTTATTTACTGTGTTTTTCCATGGGTGAATACAATGGTTTTGATGTGAATGAATAAGTTTCATTTGATAAGAGTATATTGAGTTTATATTATTGTAGGTGGCAATAAACGGAGAAAAGAAGAGCTTTGGGCATGTGCAAAACGACTTGGTATTCCAGAAGCTAATATTACTATCATGATGTTAGTATATACTTGAACTTTGTTATTGCAATAAGAAATTAGCATTGTCATTAATTTTTAGGTATACAGAATTACCGGATGATCCAAAAGTGCAATGGCCAGAAGATGTGGTAGCAGAAAGTATTCTGCATTATATTCAAAGTTATAAAATAGATGCTGTAGTTACTTTTGATAAACATGGTGTAAGTAAACACAGGAACCACATTTCTCTTTACTATGCAATCGCTTCTCTGTGTATAGAGAAAAAAGTACCTCATTGTAAGAATGGCATCGTTTATTTTTCTAAAAACAATTTCTTGAATTATTTCATTATATGATAAAATTTTATTTTAGATTGTAAATTGTATACTCTTGAAACTGTAAATATTTTCCGAAAGTACACACAACTATTAGATTTGCCTATAAGTGTACTTTCAGCTCCGTATTGGTATATTATTACATATAAACAAAGGCATTATATCAGTGTAAGTATTTGTTATTATTGATAATGCAATAATGATTGTGATAAATGAAAGATGTATTTAATTTTTAGAATGCTATGAAAGAACACAAATCTCAGTATGTGTGGTTCAGAAAGTTGTATATGATATTTTCTCGTTATACTCTAATCAATACCCTCCAAGAAGTCAATATTCTTGATCTTGAATTAGATCTTCAATTTGATGATGACGATGACTGAAGATGTATAATATGTACAGACCAATATTTGTGACTCAAATGTAAATACTAAAAAAGTTTATTTGTTTACCAAAGTGATAAGTGAAATAAAGAAAGCTGTGAATTTTGAATATCGCTAATTTTCATTGTATGTTGATGAACTAAGTCAAGATATAATTCTGGTAGTTAAAAAGGAAAACAAAAGTTTGAGATAAGTTTTTTTTTATTATTTTTCCATCAACGCTAATTTACATTTGCTCTATAATACTTGCAACCCAAGTAACAAATTTACTTTGATAAACGGTCGTTTATAACCGATATATATTTATATTCGTGACCTTAGGCCTCTCTAACAAAGAAATAGAGAGAATTTGTAGGTAATATATAATATATTTATATATTAATAATTTTATATTTTATAAACTTCAAGTCGATATGTCGCGATAAACGTACAATCATTTTTAATCATTTTGATATATATAATACTTTGTTTTTACTTGCTTAGCTTGTCACAAATTTTAGACCGTATTTTTTTTTGTTTTATCTACTTTTTAGGGCGTTGACATTTCTTTTTTAATTTGGCACGTTCTTAGATTTTTTCTTTGTGCGAAAAGAATACTTTTAAATTGTCGAAAGTCAAAAAATATAAAATTAATTCAATACAGAATTAAAAGAAATGTTTTCTCACAAACAAATATGTCTAGTTGTTCAAATTAAAGAAAAAAGAAACAAAAGTTTGTATGAAAAAGCTTAAAGTTTTTTATTTTTACAAAATTGAAACAAGATTATGCTTGGAAAACTCTTTGATAATTCGAACAAGCCATCTGTTCGCATAAATTCAGTCAATATTCTCTTTGAGAAATACAAGATGTGCAAAAGTGTTTTGTTTTTCTTTAAAAAACTTATATCGAAGAAAAGATGTTTGCAAAATAGTATAACGTACGCTTACAGGCGAATATTGTTTTATCATCACGGAATAACGAGTTTTTTTAATTTATTATAAATTATAACCTATGTGAAAATCGTACAAATCTCAAACTCGTAGAAAAATAAGTCAAGCGCGTTTGGAATGTTTCGATGCAAGATCCATCGGCGTCACTGGACTTTAAAATCTTACACTTAATACTGAACACAGAAATCACGATTTTTTTGCATTGTCAACGCATTTTTTCTGTTTCTCTTTGTGCATATTTTCTCTCAATTTTTATATTATAATCGTGCATAATAATTAGTAATATTGCAAAGAAAAGAATCAATTTAACGTCAAGAACGCAATGTTTTTTGTTTTAAAATATCTTGATTCTGTGCAATATTCTTCTTAAAATCTAAATTAACGTATTTTTGTTTTTTTATACTTCTTAGGCGGTATAATGAGCATTGAGCAATTTTAATATAGATGCATTTACAATAGACATTGGTATCTTGGAAATTTTGAAAAATCTATTTTTCATTATTTGATTGTTAATGCTGATGCTGATGCTGATGCTGATGTATTTTATTTCCTAAACTTTGTATCAAAACGACTTTTATTTGATTAATAAATAGTTTGATTGATGCTGTAATGATAAGTCTTATCGTTTCTTTGAGTTTACTTTGTTACGACTTTTCAAAATTTCAAAGTACAATAACCTCTTAGAGGTAATAAGAAATAAAAATGATACCAACGAAGTCATATGCTACAAATATGTATCGAGAAACATTGTTAGTTGTTTTTTGATTTGTCATGTTTTTTTTCCTGGAGTAAAAATTATACAAACATTTTGAATAAATTTTCTCAAAAAAGCAATGTTAATCAACATTGATGGATCGAATAGTATTTATTTTTTTATAGTATTCGTTTAGTAGCAATAGACTTTCATTTTTAAATGTCGGGAGATACATGAGCTCTTTGATTTAATGAGTGTGACAATTTATCAATATACTTTCTGACTCCACGAGAAAAAGAAGAAAAGAAAAAGCAGCTGCTTACAATCAATCGACATAAAAGAGTTATAAATATTTGATATAATTTTTCTTTTGTTTTGTTGCATTGAAACTTTTCTACTGTAAATTGGCATCTGAAAACACATTAATAAAGTTGGTAGACATCTAAAAGAGTCGCGGATAAATGGACGGTATAGAGTGTTCCCGCAAGATCCTCTCCGGTCGGTTAACAAGCACTGTGACAATTAGCGATCGTCGCGCGCCTCCTCGAAATAATATATATCTATATATGTATGATGCGCGATCGATCACCAAGTGGTCAGTTAACTCTTTCCCCGCGCGCACAGACTTGGGCATGTCTGAGCATATATGCTTTAATTAAACTTACAACTGAAATCAGCATTTCGGTCACTGTAAGATCCAATCCTTCATTAATCTCTCCGTTACGTTATTTTTTGTACTTAAGGTTTCTTTTTTCTGCCTACTAAATAACATCATTAAATTTCTTTGCTTTCTTTTCGCTCCTCTAATCTATCAACCAGAACTTTCATGGATACTATTTGTTTAATTTCCAACGGCAAATAAAGAAAACATTAACATAACCGAAAAAGCCAAACTCAGAGATAGCCCAGGTTAGCAACGAAAAGCGTCGACACAGGTGGGATTTCTTGTGGTGAACGCTTGTAACGCGCTTGTTTTCGGCTCTTTACATGGGGTTCATAGCGAAGATCTCGCGGGCTGTATCCTAAAATCTGTCTTTGCTGCGATGCGATAACGAACCCATGCCAGTTTGAGGTGAATCCGGATCATTCGGATCGTGTAGATATTGTAAATCTTGCAACTCTTGGAATTTCTCATGATCGCGAATGTGCGCATAATTAGCTGACAGACACATCAAGTAATGCACCAAACTCAGTATCACCAAGAACGTCGCGATGGTTGCCAATATGAACATCACCTCGGCTTTCTCCACGTAATCTTTGCAGAATTCTTTAACCTCTTGCGAGCCACAGATATTCATGTCTTTCACGGGTGTACCGTTCGGGAACATAAAACCTGGAAAAAAAACATTTTCATATTTAAAATTTACAATTGGTTGTGTCGCAAATCAAAAGAAAGGCAGCTCACTGAATTGCGTCAAATCAATGCATTGATCAAAGCTCTGAACGCGTGGGTTGGTGCACAGTCCCCAGAAGACAGTGAAGATCAGCGTGATGCTCACGAGGAAAGCAAAGATAAACAGCCAGAAGATTTGGAGTATGTAGGTGATGGTCATAAACTGCAAAAACAAATCATTATAATAAAACACAGGTCTGACCACTCGAGCAGATAAGGCATAAATGTAACTTACAACCGCGCATGAAATCCGACCGCCAACTCTGGTACGCCAAGCCCGATAAACTTTAGTGCGTGTAGCTCCAGTGGCGAGACAGCCGACGCAGAGTATCATAAATCCAAGTGCCGCCATCGACGCGCCAATAATTGCAAAGGTCATCTGCACAGCTTCAAGCCAATTCATTCGAAGATGGAAGACCTTGTCGAGCATCAGTGTACCGAGGGTCGCACCACGATACATCGTACCGCAAAATATCCCAACGCCCAAGCAACACATTATCGTCGCTATGAGCGTCGCGTATGGGATACGCGACATGCAGTCGTTGCACATGTTCCCTGTTTCAATGGGAAACAACATTATATTGACTTTTCAGGATGCGCTTATGTATGGTTTACTAGTTTATTTCAGAATAAAAATAAGATAGTTCAATTGACAAGTGCCAAGCTGAATATTTTCCTTTGGAAGACTAAATACTAAAACCAAAGATCAAAGGCAACTCATCAATCTCTCGATCGAGTGCGTATGTATAGTTAATAATCATTTCGCGTGCTTCTCTTTGTGAAACTTGCTCATCAATAAATTATTACGCGCCATGAATGAATTATAATCTTACTCACGACTGTTTTGTTTTTTTTTTGTTTTGACGATCGATGATAGATAATTCAATTCTTATAAGAAAATAATTTTCAGACTGTCAATATGAAGCAACATATGTAACGTCCACAACGAATATATTAATTTCGTAACTTCAACGGGCTTTCAACGTAAAAAAAAACACGCGATTGAAAAATTAATTAAGGTCAATGTAGACGGCGGATTATTTCGGTGTTTTCCAATCGCGGTGAGTTTCACTTCCTCTGCGCGAGTTGGCAAGGTAAAACAAAAAACGGTCAAGCTCCACGTGACGACGACGATGTAACGGATGTAATTTTCGATTTCTCTGGATAAACTACATTTTTTGAATTTATATAATATAAACACTTTCATGCGCGACGAGAAAAAGGAATGAATGAATGATCGATAAACTTTTACGACGAGAAGTATTTATGTAAATTGGAATTTCATGCTGTAACGTTGGGCGTTCACTTTTATTTGATCATCAGGTATAGTCATACCCTGATGAAGCAGAAAGGAATTTAGATTCATCTGTTGATGTATAGTATCAGCAGAGACATAACCTCCAAGAATGAGTTATCATTTCTTTTAAAAATAATCATATTTCGAAATGATACATTAGCGACAGGAATAAAACCACTGATGAAAATCTGCACACGTTGCACTAGCGAACGAAAACACTCACTATCGTCGTAATAACCACCATGCAAGCTGTGCTCCGAAAATCTATCAACACTGATAGCACTTGCATAGTTCCTCCTGAGAGGCATTTCGCTGGAACGATCTCGACGTCCCATGTTGATCGCGACGAGAACACTACTCTACTTCCACTTTGGAAATCAACTGATTGTAGAAGAGCGAGAGAGCGACTGAGTCGGCGGTTGTCAATAAGTCTTTGCTGACTAATCCACACGCTTGCACTTACACATACATACGCGCTCTCGTACACTTTCCAGGAAACTCTGATAAGATTAGTCGTTATCTGTCTGCTTGGGGTCATCTGCTGTGCCAGCTCCTCAGGTGTTCTGTACTCCTGTTGACTTTTGCTGTTCTTTATTTCAAAATTAATTTATTCTAATTGCAGATTATTAATTTGAACAATTGTCTATCATATTACTCGATAGAAATCACAGGTGAAAATTAACTTATTGGATGTTAAAGGTGGTTTTACACCACTTTTTTTCTTGGAATGATTTGACTTTGAACAGTGTATTGAAAAGGTACTTGTGAAACAAGTGATTTAAACTTCATTGTCAGCCATCAAGAGTTCAATTTTGCTATTCATCGAGACACTTACTCCACCCATAACAAACTACTTCCTGAATAGATATTATAGGTTTCCTAGTTTCTCATTAAATATGTCAGTGTGACAAAATCTAAGTGGATGAGCTACTTGTTGAGTGGAACAATAATTATCTTGTGTAAAACTGATCAAGTGACTTGATTAGTTGATACCTCATTGTAAATTGATACTCTTGCTTGATATAATACCAATTGAAATACATACATGTGTTTCTGTATACTGAACAAGGCTGTATTGTGTAAGCTAATGCTATTTTCAAAGTAGAATTTTAGTTATATCAAGTGCATCTGCACTTGATCAAAGTGTTTTGAGCAAGAGAATTCAAGAGATCAAAATACAATGCATGTACTGATAACTAGATGAATTGAAATGTTACATAAAAATTTGATATTTCTATCCTATTTATGTAATACTCAAATTGAGCAATTAGATAATTTATGCTAATTAATCACATCGATGAAATGGTAAAGTAATTGTTGACCTACTTTTCAAGACAATGATGATCATGTCAAATTGTTTGAACAAGGGGTGGCTTTATGAAAAGTTACTTAAAATTAATCTATATAATGGGTTCATGAACTACATAAAATATACACTCAATAAATAATTAATCTTAAATTATCAAAGTAGATAAGGGATGTGATGTAGACAATATTACGTTTTTATGGCCATTAAGTAAGTTGAGAAATTTTAAGGTGATAATTTAAATATAAATGTTTATTTGAAAATCAGATAAAGCAATAAGGCAATGAACTATGAGAAATCAAATGTATACATGTTGGAGTTGCATCTTCCAACTATGGTAAACGGTAGTCTATAAATAATTCTATCAACAAGATAAAAATATTTCTGAGAAAAAAATTATTCACATTACAACTGTCTAACAGTTAAATTTCTTGTTACTACAATGTTAAATAGAATGTTTGAATTTGTTTAATAAACAAATCGTTGATCACTAATCACACCAGTGGACAAGTATGTACAGTAACATTTAGCGACTATATACATGCACAAAACGTGAGCGTGCTTCATTTGTTTTCCATTGCGCCGAGAGAACAGCGACTAAGCCCTACAAGTGTTGTCTTGGAGACAATCTTACAACATACAGACACGCTTCAACGAAATCAGACTCTTCCATAACGAACGCAATAACCAATTCCTCGTTAATTCTTTAAAAAATCATAATCACAATTTTACACAAGAGCTTGCAAGTAAGATCCGGGATGAAAATACCCACAAACTAAAAAAAGGGGAGGAGAGAGTGCCGCTATAAAATACGCCATACATGGACTCACCCATCTCTTTCTTCTTTGCCTCTCTAATTTCTCGGCAAGCAGAGCACTTGAATTTGAGCGATCACGAACGAGGATCTGCGCCTAGCAGCAGCTTAGCGTCGTGACTGATCGCTTCCTCTTTTTGTTTACTCGGGCACACACACTGCTCGTCGGATCAATTGGCCTGTGTAAACTCACGGCAGCGGGCGCGCAAGACAGGTGTGTGGGCGACCCGAGCGACGTTACGAGTACGACTACTGCCAAGATGGCCGCGCCAAGCGATTATGCATTCAGAGCCCCGGTAGTGCACCTGTGAGTGTGAGAGAGTGAATGAGACACGTATGTGTGTGGGTGTACGCGTGGGGAAGAGAGAGGTGAATGTCATTTATTAGCTGTATATATGTGTTATTCTATTATAGATAGGATTGCATGTTTTTCTTCATCGGCCATAGCGAGATGTGACCTGAATTTTTAATGTCTGAGCATTGCAACGCTAATTATTGTCCATACGGCGATGTACTTTTTTTCCTATTGTTGTGCGATATACCTACTCGCGTTTGTACCGTTATTGTTTTGCAAGCGGATTTTTAAGAGCTCTGCATGCACGACACGTGGGTGATGCTACGTGTTGCCTTTTTTTAGAAAATAGAACAATTTTGTTTGGCAACCGTATGTGTAGATCGATTGGGAATGAAAATTACTTATTATTTGTAATTTATATTTGTTAAAGCTTCTTGGATTGATCGTCTAATTTATTTCTATTGTTTAACAAATGCACAGTGAAAATAAGCAAGACTTGACAAATGAGTTATTAAAACGTTGAAACGGTGCTTTAATTTACCACAATTTGTCGGTGGTGTACCACTGAAATACCGCGAGTTTATTATATGACTTGCATTTCGCTTTGCACTTCAACTACAATTGTCATACAGCTATAAAAGTTCTTATCTTTATTTCCGAAAGATTACACTTTTGTTTTTTTAGGAAATTAACGCACGTAACAGCATGCAAATACATAGACCTGTGCTGACATTGAAAAACGCTTTTGTGGTGTACATGTACGCGATAATTTTTCCAGCAATTATTTAACTAATCAGTGGCTGTCCGATATTCGCGATGCGAGTTGAATTTTTAAAATTGTGTCTTTTTGCGATAAATTCTGTTTCTCAGTTATGCAGTCACTGTCGATCGTAAAATTCACATGTACATCGCGGAGAAAATAATATTTGCACTCTTGGATAATTTTCACGTGTGTTTGCAATTTCCTCGCGCGTTGGCCGGCACAAATCATAAATTGAACTCATTAACGCGCCTATAGCTTCGTACACTTGTTCGCGTTGCGCCACGAAAAAAAAAAAACATGAATTCGCAAAATACGATAATGCCATTATTAACGCGTACATATCCTCGATTTCGTTCAAAACGCACGATCTTCCACAGAACCAATCTCTCGCTTTCTCATCGTGTTCGCCGATTTTGTCGTGGGTTGCATAACGAGCGACATGTGCACAGAAAGGAGAATAATTGATGTGTATACGTATAGCGTTACCAAGCGCCAAAAGGAAGTGCATGTACATACAAGAAGCGCGTAATATCGTTTCCAGCTTTTGTTCGAGAAAGAGGAAAAAAAAAGTGAGACGCGTTGTTGTGCAATGCGTGAAAAGTACGCGTGATGGATTGAGTGTCGTGGTTTTTTATAATGTTATTGTGAAAAGCTCACGGATGTTCTCTTAATGAATAGAAACACTGGTTCCAAGAGTATTCATAAGCTTATGAGGATTGGCGTTAATTCACTTGAGAGGCAACAGCAATTGATTGGCCGAAACGACGTGCCTTGACCCTGCGGCTGGCCACCGGTGAAAATTATTTTCTACTAACAGCAGCAGGTGAAAGTAATCCTTCCGTTTGATCATCGGCGCTTTATAGTTATCGCACGAACGAACGCTTCTATTTTCTCATTTCCGACCTTCATGAAAAGTCGAAAGCCAAACGAGAGGGTCTTTTTTTCTTCCATTCACGAGAGAAAGAGAAGAGAAAACAGTCGTCGTTGGATCGGTATGAGTGGATTAGCGTCAAGTGCGTTTGATGCACACGGAGGATTGACGTGTTCGCCTTATCGCTATTTATGTAACTTGAGCTTGAGCGAATATCAAATATAAGTGGCTGTTCAGACATCGTTTATATGACTGTGACGTAAGATTAACGTAATTATACACATCGGCAAATGATAACATCTGACGATTTCACGATTAAAATGTAAAATGAAATTGTCCGGGCATACAGAATCCGCAAGCCGAAGAAAAGCCGATTTCTCAGAAAGTGACGACGACGACGACATACTTTTACAAGAAGGAAACGAGAGGAGAAGCATACTCTAACTAGTAGCAAAAAGCGCGTGTCCCGAATCGTCGCTGCTCTCGTCCGCGGCGTAAAAAACAAGGCTTGGCGCGCAAATTGCCTTCTCTCTTTTCTCCTACTCGCGCGAAGATGGAATTGAATGGGGCAAGTGGGCGCTTTTATGCCTTTTGTGTTTACGCCTCGTTATGACGCGGAAAAATCGGACGAACGCGTGCGTGCATGTACGTTTGCTGTTTGGACACTTTTATGGTAGTTTAAAATAACAACGATTGTTTTAAAATTTGCTAATTTATTAACTTTTGTAAATTAGATATTTTTGTTTATATAATTTTTCTGTTATCATGCAGAAATATATAGATCCTCAGTCATACGCATAGATTAGAGTAAAAAAACTTAGCTTGCAAATATGTACATATCTGATTCATACAGTTCCTCAGCGGTTCAACTAAGGTCAATAGAATCATTACAATAAAGTACAATTGAGCTTTTTATGACTCAGCAAGTTAGGTATTCATTTTAGTATTTTTTAACATAATCTTCTTGTACGTGAACGAAATTCTGATAAGTTATCAGTTTGTATAAATTAAATTTTGTTCGTTAAAAAAAGAAAAGATTACAAACTGCTTACTTGAAAACTTATAAAATCTCAGTAAATCTTCACAGAAGAGAAACTATTAAAATTACTTAAATACTCAATTCACAATAACTCATAACACATAGAAATCAAATAAGTTAATTCACCAAAAAATTTTATATACGTCATGAAAACCAAATTTCGTAGATTGCCGATATAGTAATTATTAAGGCGTAAAACACATGAAAGTGAAACGAAAAAAGTAGAATGTTAGTTATAATTTAGCCATATAAAAATATTCAACAAAATGAGATCATTAGTAAAATATTTTCCAAGAATTTCTACAATTAGAATTATAATACCAGAGAGAACATTCGTTGAGTAGCTATTTATTGTGCTAATATGTATGTTACTAGCAAAAATAAAGTAAAATTATCTATATAACATATAATTCATATCAATATCTCATTAAGATATACGTCCATATATAAAAAATATTATACGTCTTTTAAAGTTGACTAAAAAAGACAAAAAATTACTGTGAGTGAGTGCAGCGACATCAAACACGTATTGCAGCTTTTGTTTCTACTACCGTATTATCTTGTGCGACGGCTGAACGAGGAGTTTAACTATGTTGGGCAAGTAGCGAAGCTTTTCTCTCACTATCGCTGGCATTTCCGAACTCTGCGGCTGATTCTGATTGAATCGCAGCACTTTCCCCGTTGGACTTTCGTACATTATTCCACCGCCATAGTTCTGTGGAGTTACCTGTAAATAATATGTACGAAGATGTATTAGATTATGCATAAATCGAAGCTGTGGTTAATTAAAAAAAAAAAAGAACTTACAGTAAGTACCGAACCATCTTTATAATCGACTCTAATATCACCGGAAGGCGTTTGCACAGCCGTACCAATATTGGGAATACTAATTTTTACTGCCTTCGATTGCGAAACCCTTAATGAATTGGCTCTTCTTAGCTGCGAGAAACCGGGGTTTATTGTCGAAGTCATTGAGCATGTTGCGTCGAAAGAAGGCATCTATAAAATTATCAGAAGTAAATCGATTTCAATTGAAAAGACATTATTTACCTAAAAATAACAAAATTAATTAAAAACCTACCACTGGTGGACTTGGCGGTCCTCGCGAAAGATTCTCTTTGCCTTGTAACGGCTGTGTAGAATCAGTTAAAGGTGAGCTAGGTTTCCGTCCAACGATCACTGGAAAGTATATATGACCAGTAGCCGTTTCAAGAGACACCAACGATGATTCCAATAACTGACAGCGCTTGTAAGAATCCGTATAGTGATCGATGTATTCTTGAAGGTCCGATGGAATCTCACCTTCGACGTATGATTGACCGGACTTCTCGAATATTTTTATCACTTCACTTACTTGCGTTATCTAGATGAAAAATTTATAGTTACATATATTTTATTTTCACTAGCTTGAATTTCCAGCAACAAAAGAAATCTTACTTTAATCCCATCATAAAAGTGTATCTCGCAGTCCGGATGTGGACCATTTTCCATAAACAGGCACTTAGCTTTGGTCGTGTATATCGTTATCTTGGGTGTTTTCGCACGTACAAGACTGATAAATCGCGCAGCATACATATATTTACGATGGTTCTTCGCCGGCAAACTCTCATAAGAGAAAATACTGTCGGCACCACGAGATGGAAGTGGCAAAGGTTTATCACCTGGTTCTTGAACTTCTGTTGGTTTGTAGAGAATTATGCGAAGACCATCGCCCGATATTCTGCAAACTTCGCTTATCTTTTCCTGAATAAAATCAATATCAAACAGCATTAAAATTACGACAAAAAAATCGTATAAAAGCAAAGTGATTACTGTGATAAACTAAAAAAGAAACTTACCATATTATTTCTCTTTTTGATGAATTCAACGCAAACCTCGCCGTTGTTAAGAATGGTGAGTATAGCACTTTTCGTTCGGTGCCGAGTTGGCTGCAGTCTTAAGGTCGACAGTGGTAGCACTGACATTTTCACACTAATGGCCTACAAATTATAAATTTACACCAGTAGTCTCATTTAATTATCACAAATACGACTTGAAAGCTCGTCGTTAACCTCGGTTGAATTATCATGCGTCGGATCCTGCCGATGTTCACTTCTCGCACGAACAATAGCAGCAGCTTCTGCCGCAACAGCAGCTGCTTCAGTTTGTTCCTCTTCCTCGTCCCTAAGCTCATGCTTGCTACCCCTCGATGACGTTTTCTCGCACTGCGAGTTGAATATCTGGCTACCACGCGATGGCGGAGGCAAGGGTATTCCTGACAGGATTGAATCTTCTTTTACTCCATGGTAACTTGGATACCTATGAATATTATCAATTTCATTGTTTCGTTTAGCACAGTCTTTCATTATAAAATTAAAAGCATCAAATAACACTCACTTAAAATTATGATAGTCGTGAATACTAGTCGGTGTTGTATAAAGAGGCTCACTCCTAGCGCTAACAGCAGTACCATAACCATTGTAAATGAGTGGACTGCTAGAGACTCTTTCCTCAGACCTCGATCGCAACCTTGGCCGACCACACGAAGAGAGGGTGCGACCCAGGCCAGAGTCATTATCGCCAGATAATCTCGTGTAACCAATATCCTAGGATAAAACAAAATATTAAAGAATCTGATCAGTAGATGTAGTTATAAAATATTATTTTCAATCGTTATACGTTCTGACGATGCTTATCCAACGACGTGATAAAAGGATGCTTGATAATATCGCGTAGCTTGATCCTATCTTTCGGATTCTTTTTCAGCAACCTATCAATGAGATCTTTGGCATTGTCAGACAGATGTGCTGGCATCACGTAGTCGGCCATTACTACTCGCGTTAATGTACTTTTCACACCGTCTGTGTCGAAAGGTGGTTTTCCCACTAGAAGAGTATACAGCATACAGCCTAAACCCCAGACATCAGCTTCTAGGCCATGAGATGATCTTGTGGCAACCTGTTATGAGATTAAGAGTGTAAGTTAATACTTTTACAATGAAACTCATTGTAAAAAAAATGAAGACTAAATATATTGATTCATTGTTTTAAAGTGTACATAAAAATGTATTTTTAAAATTGAGAAGTTGAGATAATAATTGATATAAAATTAACTTACTTCTGGAGATATAAAATTTGGCGTTCCACACATTGTTAAATGTTTTTCATCAGGGCGTGATAATTGAGTTGCTAATCCAAAATCTGCTATTTTCTGTAAATGTAAATTGATATAAGAAATTAATTTAAAATTAGGTCAATAGAATTGAATATATTATATTGAATATGTTATTGAATATATATTGGATATATATATTATGGTCAATATATTATAAAAATTATAATATAACTCACAACTTGCATATCATTGGTTAATAATAAATTTGACAAGGACATGTCTCTGTGTAGAATTTGGTGAGAGTGTAGATATAATAATCCTTGAACCACTTGTTTAATTATATGTCCAGCTAAAAATAAAACATCATGGTTATTAATAAAATATGCTACAATAATATGCATTAAAAAGTATAAAAATTTATGTACCATCTTGCTCTGAAAAAGGTCTGGCTCGCTCCTTCAAATGTCTCTGCAACTCTCCTTTATGACACAACTCCAAAACTAAATACACATAATTTGAATCCTCAAAGAATGTATATAGTTCCAAAATAGAAGGATGCTTAAGACGAGAATGGATGGCCACTTCTTGTCTCACTCTACCGACCATCCCAGCTGCTTGCATTAACTTTTTGTCAATCTTGAAAATATTTATAAATATGTAGTATTCATTTTCAGTAATATGACTAATTGATTCCATAGAGACTATAACACTAATGTGTATTACAATTATACAGAAGTATTATAAGAGTTAATTTAATCAAGATTTTGAGTTATTCTATGTATAATGTGCCACTATTTTGGAGTGAACCATACAAATAGTTAAAGTAACTGCATTGAATTTGACTTTAGTAATTTATAAATAGATTAGTTTTTAATTAAAATCGTGACCAAAAAATATTTTTCAAATTCTTAACTTCATTAGATAACTAAAAAATGCGACTAATATTTAAAACAAAAATCATACATTTCCAGTCATGGATATCCAAACAAACCAGCCCTCAACAAGTGTCTATGAGACGCTTACCATTTTTATAGCGACCTCCCTGCCGGTTTTTTTACATTTTGCCAGGTAGACGCTGGCAAAGCCACCTTTACCTAACTGATGCAGTACTGCGTAATCCTACAACAATAACAAATCTGTATTAATATTATGCACTCTCGTGAACAAAAGAAGTGTAATAAAAACACATCGCGTCCTAACCTCGATACTCTCAACTTTCTCGCCGAAATAGCCAGACGAGGTAGCCGGCATTCTTGACATTTATCTTTGGGCTTCAAAGGTCTTCGATGAAGACCTTGCCCCAGGAAACTCGCATACACTTTTCGAAACCCGCACCCCTCGTTCGTCGCGCGCGCGATTCAGGTAAGCAACACGCACAGACAACGGCGTTTGATTTGACAGACTACCGCGCCACTCACACGAACTCACCTTTTGTGTACATGCACGAAAAGCCGCAACGGACTTTTACCATATGGTATATGGTATTATACATATACACGTGAGTGTGTGGTGAAGCGACGCGAGTGGTCAATTTTTGAATGATACGCGTGCGCATTTGGTAAATTAAATTAATTGAAGCGCTGTAGGCGGAATATTTTGATTTTGCGAAAGGAAAAGATCCTATTCATTAAATAATTTCGATAAGAATATCAAATTGGAATTTCAATTTAAATCCGAAAAATTAATATAAAAATATACTGAAAAAAAATGTAAGATCAGTGATATGCGTTTACTTTTGTACCAAAGTGACGCATTTATCGGGAGAATCGAGTGTATGACATCTAACTGGATGCTTAACAATTCCATTTTATTAAAGAATGGATTTGAACTTTTGAGATAGCAGCGAATACGTAAATAACCAAAACCCGAATCATTGTTAAACGCTCGTTAGTTTTCGAAAAACAAACGATCAGAACGATACTCTTTAATAACGAATTAGAATTGAGCTGTTTTGCACTGAATGAACGTGCGTTCCCAGTGAAACCAACTTTTCCTTGGAAAAGCGGAGAAAAGTATACGGTGTAAGAGGAGGAGATTTGGTTCCATAAAATTTCGGTAAAGTGAATATTATTTACGAGCCTGGCGAAGCCAAACCCCCGCCGCGCTCTTGCCATAACGAGACCCCCAGCGAAATCAGCCTATACCTGCTTAGGGATCGTAATGAATACTTAGACGCGACGCCAAGGCAAGCGACGCTTGTAGATGAGACAAAGAGTAAGAGTGGCATCGTGCACTTCTGTCTTGGACGCCGCGCTGCAAGGACACGAATCAGCAGTCCTCGTGTGAAATTGTTCATTTCGTCGAAGTACAGCAGCTTGTGCGAGTGGTAGCGCGAACGTTGTACGTCGAAATCGCTTGTCTTTTGTAAAGTTCACTTGTCAATGATAACGATGATTCGGCGCGCGATGGCAACGCTAGTCCCGGCGAAGGAAATCGCGGAGTTGATGGCGAGTCCCATTGTGACATGGGTAAGTACATGTAATGTTCAGCCACATTAGCTTACGTTATATAATACATTGGCGTTGTAAAGCACGCATTGCTTGGAAAAATCCTGACAAATACTCGTGCAATATTCATTTAATATTCAATAATCGATTTGTCCGCAGGTCACTGTTTGCTTGGATAGAGACGTCATTACTCGGCTCAGCTACGAAGAGCTAGTCGATGGAATATGGCTCCATGATTTGATTTTACTAATGTAAGTAGATGGCTTATTTGTCACGCATCCGTCAAACGTTTGTCAAACGCGCTGTGCTCCACGGGCACAACGAAATTGTTCACGCCATCGAATTTTTCTTGATTTCTGCAGGGACATAGGTGGCGAAAGTAACGAGGTCGTGCCGGCGTTCGACGACCCCTCAAAAAATCTTAACAACCTTAAGGCTGTGATGAATCGTATTCGTTACTTCTACGAGGACCAACTAGGGGAAGTGATTTTGCGTTTACCCCAAATTGATCTCATCGCTAAGGAACCACGCCTGAATGCCCGTGAAGTTGAGCTACTTCTGGTACTTCTGCTTGGATGTTCCATCAAATGTCCCAATAAAAAATATTTCGTCGATAAAATTACCCAGCTCGACGAAGAAACGCAAGCGGCTCTCGCTTCCTACGTCAGCAAGGTAGACATTAATTTATTTTTTTAGAAATACTAAATTATCGTAATATGCCTCGTCTGTGCGTAGAACTTCAGATTAAGATTCGCGTTAACTTCCGAACTCGAATAATACTTCGTTGAGTATTGCCAACAAAACTTGTTCGGAGTCAAGAAACGCCAGTAGGATTGTATCTCACCGATACTGTAGTTGGTATTTGAATAATAGACCGAGCAAAATCGGCGCATTCGACTAGAATCAATGCGATTTGATTTTTTTAAATTGTATTCCTTAGATTCTACCGAATAAGAAAACCAAGTTTTCCGATGGCTGACTCGGTGCCTATAGTTGCTTAAATTAATTTTTTTTTCCACAAAAAACGATTAATCCTTTATTTACTTCTTAAAAATTTTTTCTTTTTACTTTTCGGACCATTCGTAACAAAAAAGCGCAAAGCTTACGTAATTAAAAAATTCGTTTGTCAGGTACTACAGGTCCCCAACATAATACTCAACAAAGAGATGCTGACGTTCGAGTCTGTTCCAAATGAGCAACAACTTTCGTATCATAAGGAGAAGATCGACAAAGCTATCGAGATAGTCAGTAAAATGAGCAAAGAGAAAAATGAGCTGCTCGAGCAGTTGCGCACAATCTCGTCGAAAAGGGGCGTTAAAAGTTACGAGAATGAGCTGAACGAATGGAGGGCTGAGACTGTAGCGTTGATTGATCGAGTACACGATTACAAATGTAAACTGACTTTGATGGAAGCTGAAAATAGAAGATTAGGTGAGTCTCTACATTTTTTTTTATTGTCCGTTGAGAGTCTTTTTTTATAATAATGACTTAATTTTGGCTTTACAGCTTCCGAGGTGATAAGTTATCGCGACACACTCGAAAACATGTCGGAACTGACGCAACAGCAGGATCAATCGAAGCAAGAGATCAATAATTACAGAGTGGAGCTCAAAAAAATGTCATCCTACAAAATGCGCTTTGAAGATTCGGAGCAGTACAATCAAGCGCTAAAGGAGAAAAATGACGAGCTCGCCAGACAATTCAAATCCTACAAGGAGGAGACCGACAAGAGCTTTCAACATATGATGAGGAAGATTAGCAGATGGGAGAAAAAATGCCGAGGATTGGAGATTGAAAACGAAGCTATTTGCAAGCATAATTCCAAACTTTGCGAGGAGAATGCTGATTTAGGTAATTTCAAATATTATGTAAACGGAGTTGGCGCTAAAATTTTGGCATAGGCTCGACCAAATCTTAAATTTACAAATTACTTTTGAACTAAAAGTTTCGGGAACCGACGAAAGAGGAATATGTATTCAGTATTTTCATAATTTTGGAATGCTTTACTTTTCTAAAAACAGATGTTATTTCTAATTTGAAATTCGATTTAAAAAATGTGCACGAAGCAAAGATAATTAACCACGAACATTGATCATTTTCAGAACGACACATCAAAATGTTGTCTACAATGAATGCATCTCTGGACAGCAGTTTCAACGTTGAGGCCGACGAGTCGTTCAACCCGCGCTGCAACAGCAGTCTTTGCGAGGAACTTGCGCAGAGCATCAAGCTCGACTTGGAAAATCGTCACCTATCGACTGTCAACGAGGATTCGATTCTCGAAAATTCGCTTCAGATTAAGTATAACGAGTTAGAGGAGGAGAATAATAGTCTTCAATCTATGGTTGACGATCAAAAGTACACGATTAGTTATCTCCAAAAACTCTTGTCGATGACGCGTACAGAGAACACGAAGTTGAAAGAGTTGCTGAGGGACATTGATAGACAGAAGCAAGACTTGAAATCTAAAATAACTATGGTTGAGTATGAGGACAAGTCATCGAAGCCTTCAGAGAGGAAACTTGTTGAGATATTCCCCGATTATAAAACTCAGGAGAACGTCATTTTAGAGAAGCAATTGCAAGAGACGCTTTCGAAGTTGATAGACTGCAACAAAGCTAACTCGGCGGATAGACAGAAGTACATTTATCTCAAGCATCGATGTAATATCGTGCTTAACGAACACAGCATCGCAGAATCAAATATTAACACATTATCGAAGTATCATCAAGATTTCCAAGCAACTCTGCAGGAGAATAATCTAAAGATAATCGAGATCCAGAAGAAGAATAATTTGCTTCAGGTCGAGTTAGAGAATTCAAAGGACCTGATCAAACGACTTGAGTCGGACAGAGAAAGGCTGAACCGGTTAGTCTCAAATACTTTAGAAAATAATCATAATTTGATAACGCAATCGTTATCGAGGCAGCAGGATTATCAGAATAACGTTAAGCAGAAAGATAAGGACTTGGACAAGCTTATTCAAGTTAAAACGAAACTCGAGGAAAAAATCATGTCCCAATATCAACAGATGGACAACAAGCAAGAACCGAAGAAACGAAATGTATTAGGATGCTTTTGATTAAACAAATTCAATTAATCAAAGATTGACTGTTTGTATATATTAAATATGGACATTATGATATAAATGCGGAAATGAAAATTTATATTGTGTGTGTGTGTGTAATTATTAATGCTCGGGCGGAAAGTACGGTATTTCGTGATACGACGTGTGCTAAGTTCGATTTTAAACGCACGGAGTGTTGAAAATAAAATAGTTTATGATATAAGAACTAGTAAATAAATAGTTTTAGTTATATATTTTTATATTGTATATATATATATATATATATATATATGAGATTTTTAATACCTAACCCTCCGATTAAAAACTTTGAACTCGTTTGGAGATTGGATGATTGTATTGGTGTTGGATAAATAAATAATAAAAAAATAAAAAAAAAATAAAACAGTTTGTTTTATTTTCTCTGAAGAATTGGAGTTGTCTAGTTAGTAGTGGTCTTTTTAATTTTTTATTCAAGTTTTTTTTATGTATCGTACTTGCTGAACCCGAAATTTGAGGGTGGCTTACGATTTGTCAGATGAAGCTGAATCCAACAGTGGCACTAACATCGGCTCGATTGGTTAGGAATAAATATTTTTTATTTCTTTATTAATAACCAATGGATTCCTTATCAAACAAAGAATCATATATTACTTTATGGTCTTCACAACTTTATTAGGAATAGCAGCGTTTAAGCCATCCAAATTCTTTGTCGTTGCGCGATTTACATTATATTACGATATTACTGGTGCAAATTGATATATTCGAAATGAAATAAATTCCATTCATAATAATGAGTTATTCTGACGATCAACAGTTTCTGTAAATTTATTAGGTAAAAAGCTGTAGTTGTATTTTTTTAAGCGCTTCGAAGTTATTATAACGACATTTTAGCTAAATTAACAATATCTCTGGACTAAATTATTTTATTCAAGGAATCAAAAAAAGGTTTTAGTTAAAAACTTGTAGCGTTTTAACAAATTACCGGCTTAGCGGATTGCAAGTTACTTTGTTTACCTCCACCAATTCTTTCAACTCCATCTTCTCTGTACGCGTCAATGACAAGAGTTCTTTGAGATAACTAATCGTGTACTTTTGATCGTCAATGACAGCTATACATCTACATTATTATCAAGTTAATAAGTACTTCAAAAAGAGTATTTAGCGAGATTAAACTATACAAAAAAAAACTTGTTTAAATCCATTGAAATTAAAAAGACCATGATAAGTTTACTGACAACTATAGTTGGAAGTAGTTTTTCTTAAATTGTTCGCCTCAGATATTACGTAAATTTTCGTCAATTGAAAATGTTGTCGACGCGAAGTATAATCTTTGATATTATGTTTCGAGGTGTATTATTCAATGTCGATTTTTAGTTGCTAGTTGATATTTTATGATAAAGGATGATGAAAAAAGAGATTCCACGGATTAGTTTAAGTTTTTATGTAAGTTCGTAAAGCATTTTGATTTTATAAAACAAAAATTCCGGTTACATGTAAAAGTTGACTTCTCTTTTTGACGAATTATTAACATCACATGAAATTTTATTATAGCTAATTTTTTTTGACGATATATCGATCGTTGACTATATACAAAAAATCATACATTTCTTTTTAATACATTATTTTTAATATAGAGTTTACCTAAGTAAAATATTAATTGTCATAACTGGAAGAAATTAGTCCGCCTTGAGGATTTGCTATTTGCAAACTCGAAGACAACTCATGATCTATCTGCCATTCATCTATGGTAGGATCGTATACTTCAACTGTTCCATAATCACCATCTCCTCCAATAGCGAATAGCTTTCCTTCGTGAGCAATCACAAGAAACTTATCCCTATCCTTCTTCATACTAGCAACTAGTTCCCACCTTATGAAGTTAAAAATACTTTTATTGCTTTACATTATTTGTAAAAAGTATAAAAAATAAGTACACGTGTATACCTATTTGTTAAGGGATCATAAACTTCTACGCTGTTTGTACAACCTCCTCCGCAGGCATATAGCTTTCCATCCAGGACGGCTACGGCATGATAAAAACGTCTCTCCAACATCGACGGTAAATCCGTCCATTTTTTTAAATAAGAGTCATATTTTTCAACCTGCCAATCGTAATATTTATGAGTACACTATGAGAAAAAGGCATACATGGAATCCGTAATTTTATACCCTTAATCGCAGACCTACCAGACCACAGGGCGTAATGAGTATTATTACTCAAAAATTCATTATTAATCAATAATCTAATTATATTATCAAATATTGTCTATCCACTAGAGCCAAATGAGCACGAGGGCGGATTTTAATGAGGCCCAGTGTTTTAATTATTGTTAAAACGACTTATACTTATTTCAAATTAAAATAATTAGATGTCGATGGCTCATACCATGTATTAAATAAAACAGTTAATATATAGTACAAACCGAATTGTAACAAGACAGCTTATTCATTCCGCCTAAAATGTGAAGAGAGCCTTGGTAAAAAATAGCGGCTGGAAAAGATCTTACAACTGTCATTGGAGGCAGTGTCTCCACAGAATTTGTCTGTGGGTCATACGCCAAAATCTCATCTGACGTTGATCTATCGTCATTTCTTCCACCACAAAAGTAGAGAAACTTGCCGCATGTGCATAAAGCTTTCCCACTACAAATAACAAACAATTCCGTAGATTAATGCAGTGTATAATTATATATATATTACAAAGCTACCACTATAGAAAGATATAGAAATTTGGTCATGCACATCTACTAGAATAAGATTATTAGAAATACTAGGTTATTTTTTTTTAATATTTGAAAATCTGTTTTAATTCAAATTCCGTGTTCAAAATAAGTCTCTGAAATGACAAGCATGTTTGAAATTTTATTTTACATATGTCTTATTAAAAGAATTAAGTTCGTTACATAATCCATAAAGTGATAATAGCTTTATGAATTTTTTGAACGTTTATTCGAAGAATAAATCAGTCTCCCGTACTATTACCGACCTTTACGATTAAATTGGAATCTATTTCATTTAGGTAATTTAATAAAAGTGACTGATAACAATTTGTTTATTAACATTGTAAAAAAGACATGGTATTTTCAAGAAAATACACGTTTTTAATTAAATATAAGTAATGTACATATGGAAAGATTCTTTTGTGAACATAAACATACAATTTTTAAATAAGCAGTTTTTCTCAAAATCTTCATAAAAAATTACCTGAATGAGTTAATATCGGACGTCAACATAGTATTTTGTTTTGTTATAGGATTGAAGACTTGTAAATTTGTCTTGGTACTTTGTTCAGAATCTTCAATAGTATAATAAAATTTATCATTCAAAATTATTCCTAATCGACAATATAATTTGTCGAGAAATATAATTTCATGAAGTCGGCTCCATTTTCCTACAAATTATTAAAATGTTATGATTTCACGCTTCACTGTAATAAACTTGCGACTTAAATTAAATTCGATAAATGTTTGTATGTTTTTGATTTCAAATCTATAAAGTAATACTTAGCCTTGCATATACTAGTTTGAATATTGTACAGCATATTTATCAGGTTTTATATTACTTTATAGTTAAAATTTGATAAAATTAAAAAATTATTAAGTAATCAGATTACAGTAAAACAGTACAGAGTGTCCCATTATAACTTGAATAGTAAGATAACTCAAAAGTGCAAAGTATTTGAAAAATGTTTTGTATAAAAATTATATGTTTTAAAGAGTATCAGCTGACAATGATCTCAAATTTGACTTTGAATTTGATTCTCAATTAAAGGTTAAGTTTAGTTCTTTAGTAGGATTTTTTAGTAGGATAGCATTATTTTTGACTGCATTATATGTTAGGATATGGAAGAAATGACTGATCACGACATGAAAGCGCATCTATAGAATTTCCCGTTCTTTCCGAATCTAGAATAAAAAATGTAGGTTCCAATTAAAGGAAACAAAGATAAACTTGAAATTACTTTGAAAATCAAGTTCAATATCAAATTTGAGGTCATCATCAGTTTATCCTCTTTAAACCATACAACTTTTGTTTGAAACATTTTTCAAATACTTTCTAAAGTTTAGAGTTACTCATTATCCAAGTTAAAATTGTATAAAAATAATAAAGAATGCAATAGTATTGAACATATTGACTACATTGTAGCGGCGTCAAAAATTGTACCGAAGATTTATACTTACGTTCCGTGAAATCATAATATTGTAATTGTAATTTTTTATCGACACTGCCTATTATCATTAATCTCTGTGTCAATCTTTCAGCCTGGTATTGTGTTTCTTGATTTTTTTCGTCATAATATGACATAATATCTTTAATTATATCTCTGAAATGAAGCAAACGTTATTTTATCAGAATAGAAATAACACGCATTAACAATAAAAAATAAAATTGAAACATTCAATTACCTATAGTCTTGATTTACAATATTTTTACAAAGATAGTTTAGTAAATAATCTGTATTTAGTTTCATTGTTTCAATAATATTTAATAATGTATTCATGTGAATCCTTCGGTTTGTTGAATCATGCAAAATCCAACTTATAATGCTTTCAAAAAATATTCTTTGCGACTGAGCAAAGTCTAAGCTGGCATTAGATAGAATATCTTTCAAATTTTCAAAATCAAGATTGAAAAACTCTGTTGTTTGAGAGCAGTCTTTGAAATATGATAAAATGGTCTGTGTTGCTGCATTTTTCAGAGAACAACATCCAATTAAATTTGCTAACTTGTAAGCCTTATAAGCTTCCTCCTTTCTCAGATGCATTTTTAAAAGTTCAATACAAGATTCTTTAATACCCTCTTCACCAAGGTAATTTGCGACCTCAAGTAAGCCTAACGCATTGATATCTGTTAGTATAATTTCACCAGTATAGGCAAATGAAATGAAAGCTTCTAGATATCTAAAACAATTATAATGATTCAAACTCAATGACACAACTACAATACATAATAATAATAGAAATATAAATAGTTGATTACAGACTGGCAATTGTAATAAAATATTCTTTTTCCATTTTTTGGATTATATTCTCTTTTATCAATTTTTATTATGAAAACTTACGCTTCTTCAACATCTTGCATGTTGACAACATTAAGTTTACTTTCTTGAAAAGAATTTAGAAACATTGTTTCAAAATACTTCAGATTCGCGGCAAGGATGACTTTATGTGATGGAAATTCTTTATCTTTTACCTGTAACATAAATCAAAATGGAATTATTACTTACATAAATTAATTTATGTAAAGTATGCTAGTTTTTATGTATTTGTCTGCACTATATCTAATTCTGATATTTGAATTTTTGAATGAATTGTTGAAAAAACAAGATACTAACTTATGTAGCATTTTCTAGAAATTTTAGGTGATGTAAAAATTTGGAATAAACTTTAGTTATTTTTTATTTTTGTGTCACTTATTATTTTTAATAGTTATGTTATAAAATACAGGCAAATGGTCTCTCATATTATAAAAAGAATTTAATTTTGAACAAAGTATCGTTATATTTAAGATGCAATATTTTGTTGTGTTATGAGAGTCAAGAAATATTTTTTCAATAAAGAATGATTTTTGGTTTATTATGAAATATTAATTGTTTATTTTTTAGTTGCAATATATTATGGTTTTCAAATATCAATGTCAGTAATTTCATTGCTTTTATCATTGTAATTTTTAAGTTTTAAATCATAATTATAAGTACAATTTTTCATTATCAAATGACATTACATAATGACTTATGTATTAAATTGTTTTTAAATTTAAAGGAATTAATCTTCTTTCTGATAGTCCTAGTTTTAAATATAGTAAGCATAAATAGTTTACACTTGTAATAATATACATTTGATTTAAGATTCAACAACCAATAGAATCCAGCAATAATGAACAAAATTTTTAATAACTCACTTTGATAATGACGTCACATAATTTTCCAGACAGCCTCATGTTGTTTAAATTAGTGAGATGATTGGGATTTTTAAACAGTAAACACCTTTGTGCCTCCATTTCTTTTCAAATTGACGTTACGATACAGTAGCACAAACTGAGAACCCCTACAAAAGGTAAATACACAAAAGACCACTAAATGACAAAATGGGAATAATTGCCACATGCCAAGCCTTCTAACTGATTTGTTTTAAATCATGCAAAGATTATATTAATGGATATTCGAGATAAACAACTTGAAAAATACAATATCGATTACCTTATTTAGTGAAAGCGATGAGGTTTAGGTTAGCATTTTGTAATATACATTAATTGGCGCGAATAACTCTTGAATAAACAGAATCAGAGTGGTATATTGCTTAAAAACTTATTTATTATTATAAAAATTATAAATCGTTTCACGAAAGGAAAAAATTACACAGCTGTTAAAATATTAACATAACTATACGCTGAAAAACGCATTGTATACATAGGTAGATATGATCGCAAGACACCGAGTGACCTTAGTAAGCGGCAGTTGCAGTTTGCCTTGCAGTTGAATAAACGGGACTGCCGCAGTACGCTTGATCACATGGCGTTCATTCTTTTGTAGAGGGGATATTTAGTTCTCGTGTAATATCCCCACCTGGAAATATGACGCGTGACCGCTCGTGACTCAAGCATTTTTAAAAATTAGTTTAAAATTAAAGTACAATATTATGGTAGCGTATGAAATAAATGAATAAGTTGATATAAAAGAAAAGAGTTGAGGAAAATAAATAAAGTTAAAATAATTTCAGTCTATTGATTTTATGTTCTTATGTGTACTCTTAAAAAAGTACGAAAAGCTACAAAGTTATGAAAATAAGGATCGATCTGCTCGATGTTACAGTGACTCGTTGTAGACATTAGGGAATAATCTCATGGAGCTATATACTTTATACAGTTTCCATGACTTATGGTCAATACAAGTTGTGGTGCTGGACATACATTGCGCGGAAGTCTTGTGCTGGACATTGCGCAATTGCTACTGCGTAAAACCACAGAAGCTTCCTATGAAGGTACGGCCACATATGCACGCGTAAAAATCATTAAAAGGGTTTACTTATATCTTATAATGTCACCTCATATAGAAAAATCACTATGTTAATTTTACCTCATATGATCAAAACGATCATACCGTTTTAATTAAATATATCCTGATACTATTCTCTAAAATTAATATGACTACTGATTGCATTGCAAAGTGGTTTTTAAATTAACTCCAATGTAAATAGTAATTTTATTATGACCAATCGAAAAATTTGAAATTTTGAAAAATAAAAAATACTGTCGTATTTTACGTGAAAAGACAATTAGAAACTGTCTATAGTGATTTTTTTATTAGTTACATAGTTTTCAAGAAAAAAATTTGAAGTGACATTACAATTTTGACAGAAGCTCTGTGTGACATTACAATTCACTAAACTTACCATTATCTCCATTTTAAATTCTTTTTGTAGACTAGACGTGACTCGATCCTTCTCTTTGAGTTTTGATCAACTGCGTTGTGATCAAGTGATCAAGCGATCGTTACTAACAACACGATGTGTAGTCAACATTAAAAAGTGAGAGAACATTGATTTAGGTAATTATGCAGAAATCCGGCGTGGACCTAATGTTTCCTTTCGTCTTTTTCTATCTACGCTTCAAATGGTCAGCTAGTCAGTTTATAAATAATCAACTATTTTAATGAAAAATTTCCGTAAAAGTAACGTGAAATAGTCCCTTGTATCAAAAAAAGAATAATTTTAGTATTTGAATTATAAAAATTGAACTTCTTTAACTAAATTTGATAATACATATAGTAGTGTTCAAAAACTATTCACATTTAATTTGAGAAAAATATATAAAGAATAATTTGTTGAGAAATAAAATTATCATCCATTTGTTATCGAGTTAAAAGGGAATAGTTTCAAATACAACCATTTTTTCGCGTTTAATCACGCGCGCAATATAATCTATTTAGTACGCATTCTAATCGAGCTACAGGTGTTATCAATATTTGAAATCTTCATCTTATCCAAAATGCGACAGTTTTTTGAAATTGTAAAAATAACAAAATATATCGCGAATTCCGTATGTATCTAAGTAACCGTACGACTAAACACCTGTCGGATAACATAAAAAACCTTGGTATTTCATAGAACTTTGATCGGCTTCGAAACCTCCTTGACCTCTAAACTAACATCTGTTAGACCGTGTTATAACCAAGGTATATAGTTTCGTACGCCAAGCTCTCCGAAAAGCTATACGGGCCGTGTTAGGCAGCCGCTTGACTGAGCCCCCATGAACTATCTTTCTATAAACGTCTACATTCGTTAGATCGATCTATATTGAGTCTATGTTCAAGTAATCGTCTAGTTAGTAACTTGAGGTGGGGGAAAAATGGATATTTTTAAATCATATGAAGAGGTACCACTCAATGGTTCCAAATTCATCCATTGACATTTGTTGGATATCAGCAAATACCTGGAAAATAAGGAAGACAAGGTGCATACATTTAAGGACATAAATTAGTAAAATATCATCTTAAGCTTTCTGCATCGGATTCGACAAGATAATTTCAGCTAGTCGAGAGAATGAAATGAAAATCGAATTGATGCTGAAACGTTAATTTCGATGCCATCAAGATAGCCTATAGTAAATATAGAAATTATCCGAGCTATTGCGACCACCAATCGAACTATGGATAACTAGTTATTGGAGACTATTTAGTTTTCACAGCTGGCCTGAAAAAATGTCATGAAATTTTGTGGCTCGCACTAACTGCATTCAATATGGTAATTATTTACAATCTTCTTGGAGGCAATAAATAGACAAATAAATATCGGTTCTACTAGCATTTGGATCGTCAACCTCTTATTTATTTTAGTGATTTACTATAAAAGAATACAATCCACAATCACATTTTTCTGCTATAATCGTCACTTTCTCTGATTATGAAAGTAATATAACCGAATGAAAATTCGCAGAGAAATAAAAATATCCATTTGTATTGTCTACAATACATGTAAAAATTATTAAAATTTTGAAGGAGCATATTTTTTGTCAGTTTCATAAGGAGATTCTACGTCTCCCATGTACTTGAAGGATTTCAAATCTTCCCCAGCATATAGAGAAGTCAATTCGAAAGGAACATCGAGTCTCTGAAGATAACTTGGAAGTGTGCAAAGATTTTTAAGGATCGTACATTCTCTGGAAAATTCATCTGGTAATAAAGATTCTATGATTTTCTTATATTTAGACAGCGGACAAATCCGATCGCAATTATCTAATTTCAGTGGGATCCACTTTTCGCCAGCTCCCGTCCAGAGATACATTTGCGTAAATAATTCATCGGTAATTAAAGAGTTTCATTATAGGATATATTAAATACATACGCGTATGTATAATTCATCATCTCGGCCGTCTTTCTTTTTCACTTGTTCGAAAACAATTGTGCTTCCATAATCAGGGATAGATGGAATATTAGTAAAGTTATGAACATTCGTAAATGACGCGATATTTAGATCGTGTCCTCCGAATAAGTATATCTTTCTACTATTCTCAATTCTATCTTCGATATTGTTCAGAAATTCCTCGATTACCAGCCCTCCTAATATGCGTTTCATCACATCAGTGTGAGTCAAGACTCGCATGGCGATCGGCGATATTTCCAGGATGGTTTTGTAATCATCTTCGCTACACCACTTGGGTAGATCTAAGCCCAAACTTCTCTTGAAATCCAAATAATATTAATCGTTAAACGAACATTCACGAATTCGATTGTCTGAACGTACGGTAACTATTGTTACTCACAGCAGCATGTATATTGTTATAGATCATGAAAATACTGGTTGGCGTGAAAGTGGTTATTCCAGTTTGATTGTGTAGAAACATGTAAAAGTCATTGTATTTCCTCAGCCTTTCCTGTATTTCAGCTGATTTTCTGACCTCTTCATACAAATGATCGTACCTACGTGCGAAGATTTTTAAGAACATAATAACTTCTGTGACGGAATTTCAACGTGTACCTAGGACAGGCAAAGCCCATGAGAAAGTTCGTTCCTAGTGGATCGTTATGGGTAGGAATAGGTGACCAATTGATTTTATCATTCCAAGAAGTTTTGATCGATGGAGGATAGAGACCCGCTAAAGCTAACTGCAATGACATCTTTGTACGATCAACGTTCGTACTGTACGCGTAGACGTCACTACTGTTGTAATCGCCAAGGAAGCCTCCGTAACGTTTCCTCAATATTTGACCTATTTTGTATACCCGTTGCTTTCCGACCTTTATTAAACGACGAAAAACGTGAATTATTTCGCGAAATTCAATTACACGAATGAAGCGGTCACCTTAGTTAATTGTCCGTAGCCGTGACTTTTGAAAATCTCATCGTAAGGATCTGTCTTGTAAATTTCTGCTCTATCGGGAACTCGATCGCCATGTCTAAACATCTAGACATTGATTTTTTAATTTTCGTTATGACATACATTGTTTATAATATTAAAATATCTAAAATTATTACTTACTACTTGCACAAGTTCCAGCTGGTAATCGTCATTTGGATCGATAGCTACAATACAATTGTCGGAAAATATAAATGTATGGACTCTTTTTCTTTTATACTAGAATTTGAACGTAATCAAGGTAATAAAATTAAATACGGTTAATAATTATTGATTGATTGTTTAATTGATGTTATGAAATATTTTGTCAGTGAAAGAAATTTTATGCTTATAAAATAATTAATAGAATAAATTTGAAAAATTTAATAATCATAAATATAGCTCTTTATAAATATAATTTTTGACACTTGTATTTTCTCTTCGATGATCACCAAGATAAATTATGAGGGGATCCCAAGTTCGAATCTGAGACATGGCTACATAAGGCTATTCGTGATTAAAAACATTTCCTCGTAGATCTATACCAATTTTGTCGAAAGGTTGACCTTGCACTTTATTTATTGTGGTCGCAAAGTCTAATTCGACTGAAAGCTATCTGTGTTTGAAAGTGAAAGGAAATACGTCTTCACAATATAAAGTCATATAAAAAAATACGTCAACTCCACTTTTTACAAGCGAACAACATCTCTAGTTTTCTCACAATTTTCAGAACTTGTTAGAAATTATAATCATTGCAGAGGGATATATACCTTCTCAATTTTCTGCTTTCTATTAATAATCAGAGTGGAAAAATAATATTTTTTACAAAACTTATTAATGAAGAAATTACATTTTTAAATAAAATATAATTTATGCACATACAAATAATTTAAAATAAAATATAAAAATGATTTTGCTTATTTATACTGAAACCAAAACAGAAATTAACATAATTTTAATGAAACATTTTTAAATTAGATTAATTTAGATTCAAATAGAAACATGCACACTGCATAAACCAATCAGATAGCGTTTATCTTGACTTCACAGCAATACAGTCATAAATTTTTCATAAGGCCGTAAGGGGATAAAAAGTTATATTCTTTTATAGTGAATTAAAATTTCATGTAAAATATAAATATCTGCAATTACCCAGCAAAGAGTTTCTTCCGCTAGTAAAATATTTTGAAAAAAAAATTATCGATGCTGTTATTACAATTCACATTTGTTGAAACGCATCGGGCAAACGTATAATATTGAAAATCGTAATAAAATATATCTTACTAAGTTCCACATTATGTTCATCTAGAACATCCTTGACATTATCCTTTTTTTCGGATGTTGGAGTCGTATCCTGAAATCGTGTGATACATGAAATTTTACTAAATGCAGCTTGTAAATATTCGCATTGTAGTACTATCTATTAACTTTGTAAAACATAAGATTTGTTAATAAAAAGATATGATTCTTTATCAAACAAGTGTCATCAAAACAATTTCAATGTTATATATATAGTGATTCAAAAATAATGTATTGATACGTCGTGAGTGTTAATTCAAAATTGATGAGAATAGATTTTTTTTATGGTCTAATAAATAATTGTTTAAAATATCTTTAAACGCTACAAGGCAACAATTATAATGAAGGAGCTTGAAGGACTTGCGTTTTAGTAGATCTACAATTACGAAAATTGTCAGAACTTGACGTCCAAGCTTTGTTGAAGTAAATAAAAAATAAGGATCTCCATAAAAATTGTCTCTCCTGCATTTGAAAATATATGGCAGTGAAATGTAAGCACTTATACGGTATTTTTTCGTTGATCGCTAACGAGATTCTACACGAGATTTACAGAGATCGCCTCGAAGAAATCCTTTGCCTCTGACATTTATCCATCGTAAGTATGAAACACAAATCAAGTAACTTACACAACGAATGCCGACAAAGCACATTGCCGTCACACAAGTGGTGATTAATAGTTTCATGTTTAATAGAAAACTGTCAAGAGCGCGAGCTAAGTGATATACGCCGATTATAGATTTTTCGCGACTGTTCAGATCTGTTACTCGAGATCTCTTATGTATATACTTGTCCCCCATTTTCCCCTTTTAATCCTCTGTATTTGTCAGCCAATTTATCGCTGATACGATAACAAAGTTTTGTCGTTTTGACTTTGCTGTAGTTTTACGTAAATTGCTCAACTCGAAAATTTTCTTAATATAGAACGAGTGACGGTACTTGAAAAAATCTAGCTTCCCGCAAAAAAACCTACAGAAGCTTTAGAGACCTATTAATGGAACTAATTCACCTCAAACAAATAGTTTTATTTGGAATAGATGCTATTATACCTAGATATTATATTACATACGCGTCGGTTGGGAATTATGCATTTGTTTCATTGCATTTACTGCCGTTTGCATACGCGTGGGTATATCAAGACAAGACGCATCAACTATATGAGGCGGGGTCAAGGAATCTGTACTATTTCAGAACTATATAAAATTAGTGAGCTGATATGTTGGAAATTCGTTGCTAGAAATTTACTGATTACATATGGCTTTACGAAGACGAAAGATTTTTCAGTGAATATCTATCCATTGCTATTTTACTTTATCTTAATGATATGGTTCTTTATATGTTTGATATTTTTATATGATATTATCCGTTTGATAGTGCCGAGATATTACTTATTTAAATAAAAAAATACATACTGTACCTTGCAGGATTACTTACTTATTGTTAATAAATATCTTTCAATACTTATATAATTTATTATTGAACTGTAATTATTTGAAATTCGTTCAGGTTATTGTGCATAATAATTCAACAGGTGTAGTTGCTGAAGTGTTGAAAATCCCGTTGAATGATAATCGAATTTAAATAAATCAAGATCAAATTGAACGCTGAGACTGTTCAAAGATTGACATAATACGATGTCCATTTTTTTAGATGATCGTATAATAAAATTATACTGAAATATACTGACATGTCTTTAAGTTGTAATAATAAGACCGAGTTTTTATTGTTTTCCTTCGACTTAATTAATTGCAAGTAAAAGCAAAAGCAAATTTCGTGTATATTTAGAAAAAAAATGTTATTATATATGTGTATATATATATATTTGTCTGTAAGTGTGTACAAGCATGCATGCACGCACGCACGCACATACAACACATACGCTTTCTCTCACGCATGTAGTAAATATGCGAACATAATTCTTTTAATAAACAATTCTATAAATTATTTCGTGAAATGGACTAGTTTAGGTTTAAGATAATTTAGTTGAAAAACATACATCTTAAATTACTTCACCGCCTTCCGAATTGAAATTGATTTGTATATCATTTATTAAAATAAAAAAATATATATAAATGTTGCTATTCGTTTAAGAATCTTTATTAATTTATCAAATCATTTTTTACTATATTTTTGTGATAATTCAATTGCATGATTTGTAATTTGAATTATAGGTACATACAAAAACATATTGGAAGATAATAAGTCATGAAATAAGCGTCTTACAGATATAGCACAGTCATTATGTAAGTAATGAATGTAATAGTCGACAGATATAAAAATACAGAACATTAAGTACTAACAAAACGGAATCATAAAAAGACTCACCCTTTGTTCAAGTATTTTCGTTAATTTCATCAAAGCTATCAACTGTTTCGTGAAAATTCACACATTGCTTACAAGTGAAATAACCGAGCATATTCTTCATACATTCGTCAGGGAGTTCGAGGTTAGACATCGTCATTATCAAATTCTTGATTGACCAGTAAAGGTAGACATTGTTCACTGCTCTCTTATATTGTAATGTCAGTAATCCGCAGAATTCTGGATATTCTCTGCGCAGATCAATTTGAGACGTGAACATTTTATCGATTAGCTGACGTTGAGAGCTTGGCATGAATTGATAATCAATCACTATTTTAGAGTCGGATAGCAAATCTTGCATAGTCCATTTCTCGTTGATCCTTATTTGTGCCAACTTCATTAATTCATTCTTGGAACGCACTTCTATCCCTGTATCGATCAAAGCTGACCACCAAAAACCTGCGGCAAGGTTCGCATTCCTTTCGTTCAGTTGAAGCCCTACTAAATTCATCTTCCATATATGAGCAGAGAGAACTAAGCTAATTTTTCTAATATTATCTTCGCGTTCAGTTGACCCCCACGAATTTGAGCAGTGATAAATTGTTCTACTGCCGGTGTTGTCTATGCAGTTGATATTAGCTCCAAGAAGTAATAGAGCCTCAACAGCGCCTACGTTAAGGAAAGCAATGGCAGAGTGAAGAGCTGTTTTTCCTAATTTTCAAAAGTATATTGACAGTTGAATGCAGACTGAAACGCAAAGTAATCATGGCAAACGAATAGAAAAATTTTATAAATACATTACCGTCGATATTTGGAGCATCGAGTTTACAACCCAAGTCCATGAAAAATTGAATACCTCCAAGGTATCTGTCAACCGTCCATTCGTATGGTTCTGGATAAGTGCTAACAAAGCTTTGTATAGGGTTAAAGCCATTTTTAATTTTCTTTCTGAAGTTGAAGGATTCAACTAGCAATCGAACTATCGCTTCTCGATGATCCGCCCTTGCGCTTCTCAACAACTGTCCTATTAAACCCTGCTGGTCATCTACCTGACAAAATTCGAGGTCACAGCCATGATCAATATAGAACTTAAATTCATCGTATGACATAAATCTTGATTTAACGAGCATCTCGAACGGCGAAACATTACGATAATTTAGTCCTTTGACGTTGCATCCCATGCTGCAAAATCCATTAAAAAAGTTAACGTGAACAAAGAAAGCGTTCAACACTCTATTATCAATTACCATATTAATAATACAGAGCAGAATCATCGAAACTCTTTCGTGTAACTCACCTGACTACCTTTTCAAGTAAGCGCACGTCGTCGACGTTACACGCCGCGGTAACGTGAAGTACGTTGTGAGATTGGAAATCTGTGAGGGTCACGTCCGCGTTATGCTCAAGTAAGAGTTCGGCTACCTCGAAACTGCGATGAGCGAAAGCATAGTGTAGCGGCGTGAAACCAGGAGACAAGTTCACTCCAAAGATATTTACCGCCTGGTTGATGTCGACCCCATTTTTCAAAAACTTGTAGACAATGTTGATGTTGTTTCTCTTGCAGGCATACTGGAAATGCGTAGCGCCGTGCTTCGATACCGGATTGACAGCGTAAGATTTTTGATTTTCCAACATAAAATCCAGAATCTCGTACATTTCTGTTGAAATACAAAAATTCGAAAGTTGAAATCATTTGAAAATAAAAATCTAAAGGCGCATCAAACTTATACCTATAGTCTCGATGCGCCTCTGGGCGATCATCTCCGTTTTTTCAGTGTTTTTATTTTTAACAATCTCTCTAGAATCTTCCATAATAAACGCCCACATATCTCTCCTAGCTTCCTTATTTTTTTCAAAAATAATTTCGTCAGCCAGTAGTAGAGGCGAATAGCCCTTTTCACATTGCAAGGTAACGTCAACTCCATGCTCGAGTAATAATTTCAATATAATCATCAGAGTTTTTAATTTACTTCCGACGAAGTTATATCTGATAAAGAGCAAATGCAACGGTGTGTATCCTTTCCAATTGGATATATAATTCTCATTCACGCTGATTCGAGCATTGGGATCAGCTCCCTTACTCAGCAATTTTTTAACCCACTTGAAGTCGTGTACTGCACAAGCCAAATGAAGTAGAGTCACACCGCAGACTTCTATTGGCCCTCTCATTCGTCTATCATAACGTAATTCCTTCACGAACTCCTCGATTATCACTTCACGTCCGTCTTTTAATGCTGCTTGCAAAGGAGTGTCGTATCCCAAACTTGAGCTACTGGCGTAAATGCTAGCGCCCGCCGAGAGTAGCGTACGAACTGCGTCCAAATGTTTCATTTTCACAGCGACGTGCAGAGGAGTTTGATTCATGAAACTAAATTTACTGAGAGGGACGTTGCATTTACACGTGACGTTGACGTTAGCGCCAGATTTTAAAAGTACTCCGATGACAACGTCGAAATTAACGAAAGCAGCGACGTGCAAATGTGTCATGCCATGTTTGCTGACAACTTCTTCGATAACCTTAATGGTATTGAAAATCAAGCAAATAATCGTTGGGGAAAATATTGACAAATGTACCGGAGTGAAGCCTAGCGAGTCCTGCGCGTGTATATTGGCAGCTTTCCCCAGCAAGAATGCAACGATTTCAGGATGGTTGAAAATTACGGCAATGTGCAGTGCCGTGGAGTTCGGCCGAGCCGTTTCACACTGTGTTTTCACGTGCCATTTTATTTGACTCTTTGTAGGAACTTCAATGTCAGTATGAAAGCGTTCCACGATGTTTTTTTTGCCGATTGTACAGGCTATGTGAAGGAAGGACACACCGTCAAAGTCGGTCTCGTTGGTGCGACAACAATTCAGCAATTTGTCGACGACGTTGCCTTTACGCAACTTAAAAGCCAAATGAATTGGAGTTAGTCCATCGACATCTCTTGTTGTAACAGTGCATTGACGAGCCATACAGATGACGATTCTTTTCCAGTAACTCTTCTCTTCGATCTCGGTACATGTGTAGTCTTCGGGATCCACGTCAATTTCATATAACTGCTTTAAATATTGTTTTATATCTAGAGCCCGGTCGTGCATCGATATTGCCAGATGAAAAATGCTGTAACCTGGCCAGATCGGAGAGTCATGAGAAACAAAGGCATTAATGTCTGATAAATTTTGCAGGAAACTATTGAACTCGTCACAGTTGTCCATAGTTAATATCAAATCCAAAAGTGTCATCGATTGGTCGCTCAGCAAGATTTCTTTGAATTCTTGTTTGCTTGAGAGAATGGAATGTACAATTGCCGGAGAATATCTACTCAAACAAAAATCTAGTGGAGTTTCTCCTATCATATTTTTTATTGTGAGGTCAGCTCCGTGTTTCACAAGTAGTTTGACTGTTTCTATACTACAACAGGCAGCAAAATGCAATGGAGTCCATCCAGCCCAACATTGCATGTTGTCGTTAAGGGGTTTATTTATGTTAACATTATCTTTCAAAAAAGCTTTAGCCTTGCGTCGATCGCTAATTGTGCAAGCTACATGGAAAGCTGAAAGTCCTATATCATCTACAAAATTTACTTCACTGGATTCTCGGGAATTGAGAAGATCACAGATAATCGTCTCTAACTTATTTACTTCTCGTACGATTGAAGTTTTATTTTCTCTTTTTCCCATAGTAATGTAGTCCATTGCATCTAACTGCCGCTTTACGAGTCTATGTAATGGACTTCTGCCCAAGACATCTTTTAAATGTATGTCAGCTTTATAGTCAAATAAAATTTTAGCAGTTGCAACTGCAGAAAAATTTACAGCCAAGTGTAAAGGTGCACACCCAGGAAACCGGATGCTTTTCCTAGCGATTACTTGGTTGACAGACTCCCCATTTTTTAACAAAAATTCAACAGCTTCGACATAGTCGAACATACATGCAATGTGCAAATGACTGATTCCGACAGAGCATGTTGGATTGCATGTTTTGTTTCTTTTTATTTGCTCTGATAGTAGAATGTTTACTATTTGATGCTGTCCCAATGAACCTATGTATTCTTGAGCTGGTTTTTCACTATTGAATGCGTAACTGTTGATGGCGAATAAATGAAGGGGAGTATATCCATTGGTACTTCCTTGTTTAATGAAATCTACACCTTGGTCGATTAGTTTTATCATAAGTTCGGTAAATTCCTTCATTGCACATATATGTAAGCCATTGTAACCAGCTTCACGGATTGATAAATTATCTGGAAATTGTAGTGATGCATTTATTTTCATTTCTAGAGTTTCATCGTGTAGTGATGAGTATATAGCAGTTTGTATTTGAACTAGTTTACTCAAATCCATTTCAGCTTTTTTCACATACAACCTATATAGTTAATAATACTTTCAATCAACTTCAGGAAAATTTTCTGTGAATCTATCTGTAACATGTAGAATAAAATGCCATAACAATATATTCAAACTTCAAGTCAGTATAGTTTGCTATTAGGATTATTTCCTTTCAGTATTTTCTTCTGGTGTAACAATGCCTTACACATTTTAATAAGTATTTCGTAATACTTGTTATTTTTACTTATACTCACAACCAGTTGAAAAACGTAAATTAGCACTCACCAGTCATCGTGGCACACACGACAGTCGACGAAACAGTAGTAAATAGAAGCGGAGATGTAATATATTACATCTATGATAGCATCACGTGACATTTAACGGATTTTGTAATTTATTTGTTTGGATGCTTGTGCGCGTGCTGGCGTTGCGAGCGTGAGTGTACTTGAAAATGCCCACTGAGTTTAAAAACTTTATGAGATTTGCACTGTCTTGTTTGACTGTTCAAGTAACGTTTATTAAGCAACCACATGTATCTTATAATTAGACAGTTTTACATTGTAAAAGCAGATACAACTTATATTTAGCATAGTGTCTTTATGTAGGTACATGATATCAAAAGGTATGATAATTATGATTTATTGCAGTGTTTATGAATTAAAAAAATATACTTTGTGTAAGTATCGCAAATATAATTTTTATATTGATAACGGTGGCTCTGAAAACATTTAAACTCATCAATGAAGATAAGCAGTAACTAGAAGTGTAAATTCCAAGTTAATCCAAACAGTAACCAAGTTATGCGTGACAAGTTGCGCGTGAAATCCCAGTAGTGGCATTAGACCGGGCGAAAAATATTGACCTTGTTGGAAATTTCAGAATACAGAATTTTCAAAGACAAATTTAAAATGTATGATCAGAGACCAGTATTTGTGTTAAAATTACGTATTAGGAATAGAAATATTTTTTCTGGAAGTGCACCGTTTGGTAAAATCATCTGGTAACAATCCTTTTACAATATTCGTGTAGTCAGACAACAGACAAGTTTGTTGACAATTGTCTAATTTCAGTGGCATCAATGTTTCGCTGACTCCGGTCCAGAGAAACATCTGTGCAAAAAATTGATTAAGTAGCCGAGTAAAGTAATACGTAGATGTAAACATTTTAGAACCTGAATAATACCGATACATACACGTATGTAAACTTGGTTGTCTTTTCCTCTTAATTTTTCGAAAATGACTGTACTTCCATAATCCGGTATGTCTGGAATACCGGAGAAGTTGTGAGCATTAGTGAATACTGCAACATTTATATCGTGTGCCCCATACAAGTATATCTTTCTTCCATCCTCCCCGTTCGTATTTTTCAGAAATTCTTGAATTATTAAACCCGCCGTCGTGCGTTTCATCGACGGCGTGTGGGTATACGACTGCAAAGCAATAGTCGTTAGTTCTTCGAGGATTTTGTAATCTTCTTTGCTGCACCAATCCGGTAGCGGTAAATCGAGACTTAGCTTTAAATAAAAAAAATTTGATCATGAAAGAAAATACAATAAAAACAAGTTAAATGAGCTGAAATTATTTTGACGAAACATTCAGGTACATAACTATAATTATCTTACTGCAGCACGGACGTTGCAGTAGATCAAGTAAACGCTATAAGGTGTAGAAGTATCGGCTCCAGTCTTCTTTTGCAATGCATTATAAAAGCTTTGGTATTTCTTAAGTTTTTCTTGCATTTCGGGTAATCGTGGCACTTGATGATATAATTTGAGATACCTGTAGCAAAATTGTAAGAGACTCTCAACCAGTTGCTTTTGATATATGACGCTATTCAGTTGCAACACTCACTCATCACAAGTGTAATATACAGTGAGAAAATTATCCTCGTCCTTATCGTAATACGTCGGAATGGGTAACCAGTTAATTTTATCGCTCCAAGAAGTTCTAGCTGTCGGCGGATAAAGACCAGCTAAAACTAACTGTAATGACATTTTTGTGCGATCAGAGTTGGTACTGTATGCGTAAACGTGGCTATTATTGAAGTCGCCGAGAAAATCTCCATAGCGCTGCCTCAATAATTGGCCTATTCTGTACTCGCGTCGATGCCCAGCCTTCAAAAAACAATAACAATATGTATTATTGCGCAAAACTGAATAATTTTACAGGAGGGAAATATTACTTTTGTCAATTGTCCGTAGCCATAACCTTTAAATACTTCGTCATAAGGATCTGTCTTATAAATCTCCTCTTTATCGGATATTCGTTCACCATGTCTAAATAACTAAAAACATTTCGTAATTTTAACATATGTTCATTGGTTATAATATTAACATCATTCAAGTACTACTTACTACTTGTACAAGTTCTAGTTGATAATCGTCGGAAGGATAGAAAGCCGTAACTAAACAAATAAAGGTTATTAAAAAAAATGTACTTAACAAGATTTTCATTTTATTCAAATTTGATTGAGAGAGAAATTCACTGTGCCGGCCCGCTCTCGAACAAGTAAATTTATTTTATTCCACGATGTTATAAGTTATAAATCTTATCTATTCTTGTATTATCATATCAAGAATTAGTATACCGATGATCACGAGATTATAATATCATTATTTTTATAATACAGTGCCGAATAAAGTATTGGAAGATAGCTGTGGCTATAACCCTATATCATCGCATGTATATATTACAAAAATATTTTGGTCAATACTGACTTTTACCGTCAGTACAATTAATGCACTCATATAGATTAAATTAGAGATAAGTTCGGGTAAATCTTTAAAATTAAAAATTCGATATTCTCATAAAATTGAACTCTGTTTAGATTCTGTATCAAAGTTCTTTACAAGCTAGTGAAAATTAACTATCTTATTACTTTTTATATGTCTGTATAAGATGATGATAGCAAGTATATATCGCTTGACCCTGAGTCGAAAAAATCCGTATCATCATTATAGAAATGGTGCTGACTTCGTACTAAATATGATTATAGCAGGCAGTTAAGTTGATGCAATTTCGTATTTGTTTCAAAATAGTATTTATGTTGCATGATAAATTTATTATCCAATATATTAATTGTTTGAAATGACCTGGAAAGGGTGAGATTTGAGCTAGCGAGAAAACAGGAGACAAAGGGAAAACCGTACTATTGAACTAGGTAGATGGAGGACCCTACCTGCGCTGAGTGTTTGGGTCTGGCGATGGTCTGTGACGCACGTGTATCGTGCGTGTTTCCCCAGACGTCGTAAGACAAAAGGCTACTAATTTCCTCGTTTAGATATCGGGTTCGGTGCTGCTTTCCGAGACAGCGTAATGGGCGCCCCCCTATGGTTTCTACATGACCGAAGAATTCTCATTCCTGAGTTCGAAAAGACCCGACCCTAAAGTTCCCTTTGTTCGTTAATAAAATGATATATTTTCCATCTGTCGTGCGCTACTCAACAAAGCAAGTGAGCACCAATAAATTTTCTGGGTTTACTCAAATATCTGTGAAATGGGGTTAAACGTTCAAGTTCCTACGATTTTCAGTTGTTCATATTAGCTCATGTTGAAATTCATACGGCAGAACGAAATATAATTTGTTTCATTATTTCGCGTAATCATGTGTAAAATGCTCTTTGAATGCTAATAATGTATTCGTATAGATCTATCAATTTATCCAAAGCGCGAGGTCAAGTATTCCGCGGCGTATCGAAGATAAAATCATTGTCATTTATTTACTATGCAATTTGATTATCATCATTTACATTAAGATACGTGTATATTGCAGTAGTCGTGTTTTAAATAAATGCCGATGAGATTTTTATCAGATCGAAAAGTGGGCTCTAACACATAGACGGGTATGTGGCATGCGATGGCGACAACATCGCGCTCTCTAACACGCAAGGTTTTCCTCGTAATATGTTGATAATAGAAATGTTGATAGAAGAATATTACAAATTACTAAGTATCATCTTAAAATACGTTGAATTGGTTGTGAATAAGCGAATAACAAAGTTTAAAAAAAAAAATTATTTCAGCATAGCGTTGATTTTGTATTATACCCTTCAATGGGGCGAGACAGTGCAGTTTGGGAACGTATACGGCAAAAATACTTGCCATGCTTCGCGTGAGAAATGCCGATTTTCTTTCTCTCCGAAGTGTAAGAGCGAAAATTCAAATAAAATCTTTGCGCCTCGCAGCAAAAAGAGTGCCAGCTTTTTCGCATGTAATATCTTTGATAAGGACGCTATCAAAACTTGCTCGTATACACTGGCTTCGCATCCTGCAAGAGACTGTTCGTAGTTGTAACTCAGTAGGATGAGTCAAATGATTAAATTTTATTGTATTTAATATTTATACTATTCAATTCTCATTCCAATTCTAGTCGAAATTTCGTACTATTACTCATCACAGATAAGCATATTTATGAAAGATAAAATAAGCTGAGTGTGTCTCGCGAAACTCTTTATCAAAACAACACTAGATGATAGATGCTGCTGGCGGGGCTGCTTCAGTCAATATTGACGCACTCAACGATGAGCCAAAGCATAATTTGGAAAAATAATTGTGGTCTTACCCAAGATGGCAAGTACTGAACTACGAGATGTCATGGTATCAACTTGAATAATTTACAATTTCTTTTAACATTTAGACGATGGAGTCAATTTTTGTGGTGACAGCGAGACTCGAAATGTTAAATTTAAAGTTATTAATTATATCCCGTCGAGATATCATCCTAAATACTTGTGGTACGTTGCAATCAGTTTTCTCGTGACAATTCTGCTAATCACCATTATAGCTGTATTTAGCAGTCGAAGTACAGGTAAGTTTGTCTTTGATTTATTTATGAGATATCCTACTTTTGCCTTTACAACTATGCGCAATTTTTTAAAACCTGCGTACGACATTAAAATGATTTTTCCAAGTTCAAACGTTATACTACGTACTAATTTTTGAATTGATATGAATAGATTCAGATGCAAGGTTAATCACTCTTCCCAAACTCTATTTCATCGTCAATAGTACGAGACTTGTGCGATACGACCTTGAAACTGATCATCTGACGTCACAGCAAGAAGCACCGATGAATTCAACATTCTTATCTTTCGAAATAGATGGAAGTATCGATAGATACTGGGTTGAGAACTTGTTTGACGGTTCTCGCATAGTAGCTCAAACGACTGAAAGTCGGAAGAAAGTTTTGTTGCAAGAGAGGAGATTCAAACCAAATGCAGTAGTTTTCGATGACTCATCGGCCAATTTTTATGCGACAGATGACAATGCTGGCCTTCTGATAGCGATGAATGTGCATAGCGGGCATTTTCTCATACTCTTGGCCGACCTGATTAGACCTCGTGATGTTGTACTCGACTCCAACGAAGGACTTGTGTTCGTATTGCAGCACTCATATTCCGTGAGTTAAATTTTGCATCGATAAATTTTCATTCATATTCGTTGATTCGCATTGTTACGGTTGCTGATAAACGAGCAAATTTATTGAATAAATTTCATTAATTATTATCGTACATTGACGAACGAGCTCTGTACTCAAATTTATAAATGATATCTTTTACACAAGGAGCATCTAATTTTGACAAATAGCATTTCTATTAATTTTACGTCAGCGCTAATAGTTTTTGGCATTAAGAATATTACATATGCGGTAATTGGCATAGCTTTCGTGATGGATACGTTGATTAATTAATTGGATATTAAGAAATATCAATGATTTTCATGCGTTTTCAATCCACGTTAATCGATCCATTTCTTTTTCGCTTCATCTGTCAATTTGGGAAATAACAAACCGTATTGTCGTAGATTGTACGCGCAAACATGGATGGGTCTAAGCCAGTTGAAATCGTCAGTAAAAACGGTACCACAGCTCTATCGATAGACTCAACCAAAAAACGCCTTTATTGGATCAACGACTTTTTCAGTATCGAGTCGTCGGACTACGAAGGTAAAAATCGACGTACCGTCGTCGCGACCACAACAAAAATAACAACACTGACCGTTTCCGACAACAATTTATATTGGATCGAAAGAAACGAGCGAGACGATGTGGCCTTACTCTTGTCCTGCAACATGAACACTGATGTGATCTGTGAGAAACGCGTAGCTCGGAAAATAGGCAGCGCTAGCAACGTCACGTCCATTAGAAGCTATTTGGCCGTCAACAGGACAGCGCCCAGCCCTTGCGAACTGAGCAATGGCGGCTGCGAACAGTTATGCTTGGTTGGCGGCAGAAATAGAAGCAGCTGCGCTTGCCGCATGGGCTGGCAGTTGAATGCAAATGGACGCACGTGCGACAGGGTGCGCGACTTCGTGATCTATCCGTACGACGCTGTGGTGAGGACCTGCCTTCTGGACGGCAGCCGAGAGCTGTTTTGGCCGACTCCGTACTCGGTCAATAGGCTGGCCGTGAAAACGGAAATTGATTTCGAGTACGACTTGAAAAACGATTACTTTTACTTTAGCGACGACCACCACATCCACAGGATGAAGCTCAAGTCGTACGCCGGTCAGGAGGTCATCTTGAGTGTTAACTCGTCGGATCTAATAATCGACGACATTGCTTACGATTGGTTCACCGGCAATATGTACTACGGGCAGCGTCACGTTGACGCCACTCTCGAACATTCTCTGGTGGTCTTCAACACGCGTCTGGGAGAGATTCGCCGCAAGAGCATAAAGATCTTTGACCAAGACGACTTTAAGGCTCGTTCGTACGCCCTGGCCTTGCACCCTGGAAGGGGTTATTTGTTTGTGGCCGTCACCCACGAGGACGAACGCGACACTCACGTTTTCCGCAGCAAACTGAATGGCACCGATTTCACGCGAAGTTACCATTTCTACGCGGAGGGCATGCAGGATCACCGATTTTTCGCCATCGATTACGAGTCCGATCGCGTATACGCGATTCAAGAATCCGGCGAAATAATATGGATAGTGTACGTTAAAATCCAATCTACGGGAATGCAGTTTCCCGAGCATCCTAATTTCGCGCATGCCAGAACTGTCGCCGTGCACCAGCGCTGGCTATACCTCAGTAGCTTCTCGAGGATATGTCGCTTCGATAAGGAAACCGGAGAGGATCCATTCGTGATTGCTCCGCGAGTTGAAGATCCCGCCAAGAAAATCACTGGCGTGAGAATCGCCAGCGAAGAAATACAGTTTACTGGCTCGGATAATCCCTGCGCCGATAATAACGGCGGTTGCGAACAATTCTGCTTCTCCGGATCCAAGGCTACGTGCGACTGCACGGACGGCCAAAAAGTCAACGACCATGGACGATGCTACGTATCAATGTAACGATTATTCAAATTCGCGAAAGCGATTTCGTCTCTAGATACTTCTACAGAAAACAACAGTAAAACGAATCAACAAATATGATTAGCGTAGCAACTTACGAACTTCGTTTTCAAGCATTTCGATACCAATTTGTTCCATAATACTGCCGATCTTCCTTATTTGTATGTATTTGCACTCAACTCTTTCAAAACCACGAAAAGCGAAGTGTACGCCGAGAAGCCGCATATATGAACTGTCATTCCGAAAATATTAATTACGTTGGGTAAACTGAGGACGCAGTTTACATTGCCAGATAAAAATTTATGAGATTGTACGAACGTGTATATGTATAATGAAATGAAGATAACTTGAAAGATGTTAAAGTATTGAAAGGTATTGAATGTTGAAGTCAAACGAATCAAGGGAAAAGTCGTTTGTCCATTAGTATAAAAATTTTCTTTCAGGCCTAATCGCTGTCACTATTGCTAAAATTTCTTCCGTAAGCATCGACTCTTCGAACAAAAGAATCAAAAATATAATGTATCTTAGATAATAGTGTATTTCTATTATCTTTTTTAATGAATTGATAGAAGATAAAAAATATTCGTATCTTCCTAATATCATTATTTGTTTAAGCATATTGAGAACTAATCTGTGCAATGAACCTTTTACAGAAACCTCGATTTCTATAAGGTGTCTTGAACTGTTCTTCATTAAATATTATTTTATAATAATCACTGTGAAAACTCATTCCCTCATTCAATTACAATAAAAATTTTACAATGCTGTATTGGTGCAGTTCTACTTTCCGATTAGATGGTAGAGACCTTTACGTATATACATTCATATATATCCGCTTCATCGCTCTGAGCTGGAAGGCTAATTTATCGAACACATTGTTGATTTTAGGCAGTACCATAATGTTAGTATAATTCGAATTGTAACTTAAAGAATGCAAGTGTCCATGTATATATTAATAATTTTCAGACAAAAAAATAATTATAAAAAATAAGAATCAGTGGCAATTAATTAAGTGCCGTGCGATTAATACTGGCTTGCGTAATCCATTAATTTACGCATGCTATGTCATTTTAATTTTGCAACTTTTACAATCTATTAAACAGTGCGTATAGGGACTATGTTGAAATAAAAAATAAAACAACTAACAATCAATATTTCCATCTATTTATTAAAAATATAATTTTTTATTTTTTATTTATGCGCAAAAAATTAGTTTATTTTCATGTTAGATAATAAAATTGTTTGTGTATTCAACGCTTATTGTTTGAGTGTGATAAATAATACTTTCTTCTGGAGGTACACATGAATAATGAGTATTCGAGCTTTGCTCATTGAACAAACTAAACGAATACGAATAAATAGCGAGTTTTGTTCATTGAATATAATTAACGAATCAGAGTATAGTCAAGTGCATACCTGCCTATAGCATATTATTTAAATAATACTACATTAGGAAATTATCAATTCAAAGTAAATACATAAATGAGTGCGTTCAATGAGATCAAAGTGGTTTGCTCATATCACTTTTTACCAGCTTAATCTAGACTTCGTTAATCCATATATTCTTCTCATATCGTTCAATATGAAAACTCATTTAAGTATTTTTGTTCTAATAAATAACTACTCAAAGACGTTTAATAAAAGTGTCGACGTTGAATATATATGTCATTAACATTTAACAGTCACCAATACAACATTTATATCGTGCAAGTTGCACTCTTGAACAGTTTGATCATTATCACAGTAAAATTGTAATAATTCGAAATTTTCTTCTCATAAACTTCACTTGAGAACACTCAATGGTTCTCAATGGTTTTATTATAGGTTTTAGTTTTTTAAGACATCATTACATACTGGCCTCAGTGTTGTGTAATACTTGGTGCTTTTAAAATAATCAGTCTATATGATTACAATTTTCGTCGGAGTGTTCGTTCTAAGTGAGCGGCTTAAAAATTAAAACTTGTTATTGAAGGTAGTTTTCAACCAACAACGATAATTGAAGTGTCAAATTTACATGTGCAATAAATGTTATGCTAATTATTTGTTAACTACCCCTGCGTTAAAGTTAAAAAGTGTACCGAAATCAGACGACGAATAATCATAAATATTTTTATCAGTATTTTCAAATACGTGATTGTACCGCTGAAAGTTTCCACACGTAAAAAATGCATGTTAAAAATTTGATTTAAGTATTTTCTGAATTTTATAAAAAATTAAAATACAAGCACCGTCACTTTTGATGATGAGTAAGTTTTTTTCGACGAACAATATATATAGTAACATGTATCACATACGTACATTCCATAAAAAATATCCATGGACATTTTTCGGTAATTATGTAACGCATTGTACTCTTCCATTTGTACTTCACTGTTATCAATCAATCCCTTACGCTGCTAACAATGTCAAACGTTTTGTCAATGTATACTTTTGCGATCTATCTCTAGATACAAGCTCGCCGTATAAGTTAATAAAAAACGCAAATTCTGCGACAGTTATTAGTTGACAGATATTATTTTTCTGGTATATTTACGAGTTCATTGCTGAAGCTTGTCACTTTACCAACATGAATACCTCTATTGACTTGTCTATTATATGTCTTGTTTGACTTATACGCTAAATACATCATTAAACACATCAATACATCACACTCATAAATCGACATATTTTTGTACGAGTCTTGACGAAGCAATCGTATCAGGTCCATCGTATACTGTAAATCATGAAAGTCTGCAAAATAGTAGTTTTATCAAAATATATATATCCTAACCAATTTTTAATCATTAAAAATGTGAATGTATTTGCCATACTAATATGACCTATTTTATCATCTAATATAGAACGTCAAATCTTTATCCATGTTTTCGTTATCTATTCAATTCATTTGCAAAATGGTATAGGCTTTTTACTATCAATTGTTAACCAAGATCTACATAAAAATTATCGCTAAATAGTTATCAATCTTACTCAAGATATAGACCTTTACTTGATATCACTTTTTAAATACGTATGTCAAGTTTTGCTTTTACGATTTGATGAAGTAGTTATTGAAAATAAATAATGTTGGTGGGGCTTTTCTTGATATCGATTGCTTACTTAGCAATAGATACTTCAGTTGGTAATTGAACTAATACATCTTTGGATGCATTATTGGGTGCCTCATTTTTCTCTACCTCGCACAATAAAATTGTATCCATGATAACGTCGACGACCAACGCTACTGGCATGTATAGATAAATGATACTGGCATATGAAAATATAGCTACTTGTGTAAAGTATGGATCATCTTCATAGTACATCCATTTAATTATGAGCATTAAATTGTTCACCGAAATCATAATCAAACCTACTATCATCCAGATCATTTGACATTCCTGAAATCAATTAAGAAACATACGTCATACAATCGGTATTACAAGAAATAATAAACAAAAATTTTTAAGCAATGAATCCAATCTCACTCTTAAGTTCTTAGCCACTCGTCGTGCTTCAATAGGCAAATGAAGAAATCTCGCTGTAGCATCGTTGAAATTTTTGCCATTTATAGCCGTTATCATAGTAGAATACTCTCCGACAAAAAAGAAGAAAGTCATCATAATGTACTTCTTGGCGAAGCCGGATTTGGTACGAACGGTTTGAACGATCGATTGTATTAATGTAGCTGTTGCGACAATTAGGGGTAATATTCCAGTTGCATTAAAACAGATAGTCCCAAAGTGGTATCTATAAAATAAATTTTGCATTTTGAATGTGAGCTTACGATAGGATAAGCTCCAAGGATGTCAATGTAATTACTTGTAAACCACGACAATTGCACGTGCAATATCCTTGGCGGATATTTTTCGTTCTTCCTGCTTCCAATAATTGTTAGCAGTTGTTAGTGAAATCACCGCGACACCGAAGTAATAGTGAAGCAGCAACAAATAACTGCTACCAAGAAGGACTGTCATCGGCAATGCTAAACAGATATTTTTAGTGCCAACACCTTTGATCGTTTCAAATGTGTAGATTATCAAGCATCCCATCACGATGAGAATCACAAGTCCGAAGATCAGTGTATTCATGTGGTAGTAATAGAATCTAAAAGAAATTCATCGATGAAATTCGGCTTATCAAGTGTAATATAACAATTATTGTACAGTTTCTTTTACCGAATTGCGTTGGTCAGATGACGAGCCGTGACTTGTATTCCCTTGCGCGTCGCAACGACGATTAGCAGTATTATGCAGATAAGAAAAGAAACTATATCGGGTATATCCCAATAGAGAAACTCATCTTTCCATGGTATAACCGACGATGCGCCGTGATTAAAGAACATCCCACCGCGGTAACTAATCGATACTATCTGTATGCCGGTGCAAATAATTAAGCAATGGCCGCAATATTTATGATAAACTCGTAGGAACATTGCAAATATTGCAAAGAGCAAGAGGCAAACGTAGAAAATTATATTTAGATACAGGACGATAGGGCCGCTGGAAAAAATTTAATACACGGTAAGAATAGTTCGTTTCCTTCAATGTACAATATCCAATACCTTTCTCTGGTATGTTCTTCAAGCCTTACAATATTGAAGAGACTATTAGTAATGAAATCGCCCTTATCAGTTCCATTCTGATCGTATAGACAGTTGTGACCCAGGTAGGGTTCAAACTTGTTTTTATTGCAGCATACTAGGACAAGTAGAATAAAAAGGAACAATTTTATTACATCTTGATTACTATTTGTAGCTAAGACGGTTTTTAATAAGAATATCTATCTTACGGTAGGTACACGCTCCAAGCCAAACAAACAGGATGATGACGAATAAATAAAACCAATATTTATCGGTTTCCGTGCGATCCTTCATTATGTCCTTCTGAATCGGTTTAGCAACATCTTGTACGTCAAAAATGAAGAGATTTGTTAGAAAAATTATTTTTTTTATTTGTGAAAATTATCGGATGAGAGGATGAATAAACATTTTTTGAATCGACGTGTTGGTCAACATTTTGAAAAAATCAAAAGTACTCTTTTCAATGAAGTTACGTATTCCGAGGCTAAAGTTTATGTTAAATATAACACCGGTGTCAGGAAACTTTGAAAAATTAGTCCTTCAACGATAATTTAAAAATACTGTAGTATTTAAATATGTCAATAGATTTTCATTTGGCCTTGCAATAATAATTTTGGAAAATCGAATAATTTGCTTAGATCTTCTGGAAGTCTGGTAGTAAGTTATGCAATAGCTACAGTTTAGGCTAACTTGAGGATGGGGGGACCGCTTTCTCGTTTTGCTATGCTGTCCATGCTATAGATATACGTATAGTAGGGCTTTCTTAATGCCTGCTACCAAAAGTATATCTAAGCAAACCATGAATGCATGCAGAACAATTAATCCGAAAAATCTATCGTTCAAGATTTGTCAAAAATAAAAATAAGTTGATCAGACCAATGCATCGATACACAATAGTTTTCGCAAATTATTTGGAATTTTGGGCGAAATAATTCTTGTCATTCGCCACATGGAATGGCTATATTATCAAGCTGTATTTCATGCGCCTAAACCTTATGTGTATCCGCAAAAAAAATTAATTCACACCAAGTGAAAGTCATCGCATAGCCATAGTGCTGCGTGATTCGGATCCTAGGCATTTTATATTCGATCAATATTATCGCAAAAGTTCACGAATATATAACGCAACATGATAAAAATCTTGTAAACTTACTCTTTCTCACGACTGCAACCATGATGAACAACTGAAATGTGAGTGCCGACTGTTACGAGCTTTGTTTTGAATCTACGCAGTACGCAGTGGAGCAGCAGTTGACCCGCCGAACTCCACAGAACCTGCTGCTTCGACCGTCCAAAGTGCAGTACTGCTTGTTTCCCGGGACTTGCGATTGCTGCTTGCGTTTCCCAGGCTTTCTAAAAGTAAAGCGCGCATGCGTCTACTGATCGATATGATGCTCTGGTCCGCACGCTGGGAACAATTGTGCTATGTATATCATACGGTTCCTGAAATTCTTGACATTGCAAGATAAATGTTTAGACGAAAAATTGCATTTTTATCAGCTTTATAATTAAGAATGTTGATTACCTAGATATTGAATTTATTTTGTAATCAATAGATTATTCAACAGATTTTCTTTTGTTTCCACAACTTTGCATCTGAAGCACTGGACCAACCGAATGAGATGCTCGAAAAGATTGCAGAGTGCGTGAGAGGCTTGTATGTGCAAAGACAACACTACCAACTGGCATATTAGCGCATGCGTAAATTTATTGATATACGAGAATAGAATACGTATAAGGTAAAGTTCTTCGTTATAGTTTTCGTTGTGAAGATTTTTATTCGTTTATAAAATGGGATACAAACGATAAAAATCATAAGTGTGACTAAAATATAAAATGTAAAAATATATTTAAATCTAATAATTTGGGATATATTTTTTATAAGAATAAAGTTTTTTATAAATACAATGATTGATTTGGGTAATAAAAATAATTGTTAATACTTCACAATAAAAAATTAAAAATATTCCTTTAATACGTTTGTTTATGCTTAAATTGGAAACGCTGATGTTGGAGAATAAGAATTAGTTCTTTTCTGTACTGCACATGCCATCAAATGCATCAATTGTTCTTATTCATTATTTCGACTACAGTAAGCTTAATCAAGCACCTACACATATATTTTCGGTCCGTTTTCTCATCGGCAGAAATACGGTGAGTATATATATTTATCATCTCCGTCTCTACGGATCTCACTCGACTTTCTGTATCGCTCACAAGATGGCATTACGTATCCAATCTTTCGCGCCATTTACCTACGCAAGATCAGTTGACATAATAAATACCGGCCGGTAGCAAGGGGGAGAAAAAAAACATCTGCACTTTAGACAATAAAATTGTTTGTATATAATTGGATATATATGATGTATTAAAAGCCTTCAATAACAATCGTAATGATAACATTTTTCATGTGAACAATCTTAATTGATGTTCAAGGTCGTTTCAAATACACTTCAGATCATTCATAGCTGCAGTAAGATGAAATTAGAACTCGTACAGGTGGTAAGAAATAAATAAACTATTTTTATTTTTATTCTCATTTTTATGGATTTGTTGATGCAGCTTTTCAGACACGGAGCGAGGACTCCAATTAAAGAAGAGCTAAAGATTTTTAGTTACATCGACGAATCTTCGTATGAACCTCTCGGTCTCGGGACCTTGACTAATGTGAGATATTATTAAAATTTAGATCAAGTACAACGAAATAAAACGACCATTTTCGTATTATAGACAGGAAAAAAACAAATGTACGAATTGGGTAAATTTTTGCGAGAACGTTATAGCGAATTTTTAGGTGCAAATTATAAATCTGACCACGTCTATGCCTATTCGAGTGATACGGATCGTACTAAAATGTCTTTGCAATTGGTTCTTGCTGGGCTTTATCCCCCCATTGATCAAGAAGTTTGGAACCCACATTTGATGTGGTCGCCAGTGCCTTATGTCTATACACCAAGACAGTTCGATGTTCTTCTCAGATCTTACGATAATAAAAAGTGAGTTCACCGGACTAAAGTTTTATCAAAATTTTTTGATTTGCATGAAACAAAGTAAATTAGTAATCTTATATTGCTGCTTCCCAGATTCAGAAACTTCATTCGTAATTCGTATCTGTCAAAAGATACGAAGAAGCGAATCACAAAGAATTCTGATTTTTTAAGCGAGAAAACCGGGATCAATTTTAGTAATAATTTTTACAACATCGCTTTCGTTTACGGTGTTTTGATTGCAAATGTAAGTTTACTCGTCAACATTTGGTTGCATTTTCTATTTATAAGACATACAATCATGATAATAATATGTTGATAGTAGTTTGAACCGTTGCTTGACTTCGTCTATGCGATTTATTGAAATTATTTCAGGAATGCATGAACTTACCTTTGCCAGATTGGTACACCGCTGATGTCAAAGAAACGTTCATAGAATCCATGGCACAGGTGTACGATGGTTATGTATCAACACTAGAGATGAGAAAAATAGGTGTAGGGCCGTTAATTAAAATGTTTATTCAAAACATGAATCTCGATCGGACAGTCTTCAATCCAAGAAAAATTTATTTATACAGTGGTCATGATGGCAACCTAGCGATGTTCACAAGAGTGCACGGCATTAAAGAATTTCGATATCCTGAATTCGGGAGTGCTTTGATATTTGAAAAATTGCGTGATTCAGAAGACAACGTTCATGTGAAAGTGAGTGAAAATTAATATATAGTTTAAAGAATGGAAAGATTTTCATAATAGTCCATTGCTTTACCAGATCCTTTCTTGGACAGGAAACGGAAAGTTAATGTCTTTACCACTTGGAGATCACAGTGAATTTTGTCCTATCGATAATTATTTGAGAATGGTGGAATCGATAATACCTACTGACAAGGAAATTGAAAAAATGATCAATGACAGCAAGTGTAAAATATTTAGACAATTGTTTTTCAGTGATAATGCTGTGAAAAAATTGTAAGCTTTATCTGCCTGTTGTTTAATTTTGTCAAGTGTATAATGGAGTAATAATATAGTTATAAATTATACTTCTGATTGAGATAAAATGTTATATTTTCAATTGATAAATATACAAAATTATTTTATAAATATAATATTTTTTATATTTAAAAAGTAAATCAACAATGATTACTAAATATAATTCCGTTCTAAGAGAATTAATACAGTTATACAGTAGCGAAAACAATGAATTTATACAATTAGATAATTATACAGTCTTAGTAGCTCTTTGCGTTCAATTGAGGTACAATATTATTAAACTGCGCAACTTGAAAATTTTCAATTTTCGCGAATGGTCAAGCTCACAAGCGCCAAGAATGAAGTTAGTAATCTTCTCACTATCAACAAAAGCTTTCTGCAAATATTGAGGGCAATGATTTCTTTTAATCTCCACCATCTCCATAATATGCTCATATTTCTCAATCAGAATGTCCAACGCTGTCTGTCCATACTTATCTTGGATATTTATATCAGCACCATATTTTAATAGTATTTTGATAGTCTTGAGAGTGCACATTTCGCTAAACCGCAGCGCGAAATGCAACAGCGTGTATCCAGGAAAGTATAGTGAATCCATGTCGACAGCTTGATTGACAATACAAGCATCGCCATGGATCAACAATTTTAGCACTAACTCCCAATAGTTCGCAATGCAGGCTGCATGTAGGTGCGTTATCCCGTCCAGATTGCACGGGTTTTGTGGGATGCGATGGTCGTATTGAGCGATTAGAGTTACCTCCAGGAATGGATTTTTTAACCGTCCGCTCAATAAATCCTGGTTGTAACTTCTTTCCACGATCTGGTGCACTACCGTCGAGCCCTGATAGTTCTTCAGCGTGACATCCGCGCCCACACTAAGCAGAAGTCTGTACGCGTTGATGTTGTTTTTCATGTAAGCCACGTGTAGTAAAGTGAAGCCGATCGCCTGCACCCCCAAATCGCAAAAGTAGCTGTTGCATGCTATTCGTTGATTGAGGAGTTGCGGATTTTTCTCGATCAAATGCTGCATGACAGTGAGCTGTTGGTTCTCGACAGCCTGATAAAAACGAGCGAGTTCTCGGCACTCGCATTGCATCGAAACGACTTTAATCTCTGGCTCCATATCGCATGCAGGCCGCTTGTCGACTGACTTCGTTCGAGCGAGAATTCGGAAATGTCTCTCTCTGCAGCCACTGCACCCCCTACTCTTTCGCCCCTCCACTAATATGGGCGTCGTTGGTCGGGCCTTAGGAGAAAATTCTGAACCCCTTTCTATTATCTCTGACCGCCCCGTTGCCGATCATCCATATAAATGGATAAATGGTATAAATTGTATAATATAATTTGTATTATCCATATAAATGATAAAAATAGTTGCCGTACACACCGTGATTCAAAAACTAGAAAGAGAAACTTGATGAGATTCAAGAAGTGCCTTAAGAAATGCCTGGGTGAGAGGTCACAGATTCATTGAGGGGGCCAGCTGGAGTTAAACAGTGGAAATTATGTTTTCTTTACTGTGGTATTAAAATCGTTTTAATAAAGTTCGCATCATGAACATTTTTCAAGTTTCAAAATCTCATGTAAGGGCATCAAAAAGTCTCTTGAACCATAAAATCTTTTTTTTAATTTGCTTTACCACGCTTTTTTGAATATTAAAGTGAACAAAAATCATTTTTGAAGGACTCATTTTCTTCCTTTAGATCAGTACTCAGATTAAGTGATAAATTTATAAAAGTTGTCATAAAAATGGTAAAATTCAATATTTCGAAAAATCCTTCACCTAAATTAGAGTACAGATTTAAAGGATCAGTACTTCAGATTACCCCCCATACCCTAGTCTGCAAAGTATAATGGACAGTGAAAATAAAAAATACCATTCGAAATATCTCTAATTGAACCCTTTAAAAATGCTCATTATTTTAATTGAACCCCTTCAGTTGTCCCAAAAAAAAATTAAAAACTATGATAGTTTTTTCGTTTTTTTGCAACTGCGATATCTTTAGTAATACTTAATATTTTTGCAAAGAAACAAGGCAAAAAAATTGAATCCTTGCTCGTTTTATTTGCACCCCTCTTACTTTTTCAAAATTATTAATATATATGTCAAAAACAACAATCTAATTTTATTATTTTATTTATTTCTTATTCAAGAAATATTTGACAATCGTAAACATTAACTTGAATACAGCTATATTTCTTCCTGCCTATTATTTATGTCAACTGGTCAAATATTTAATTCTTACATGTCATAAAAATATATTTTTTCAAGTATAATTCATGGTGCTTTTCAAGCTATTCCGCGCTAATTATCTAATACATGCATACCATCCAACAAAATAGAATTGACCAATGAGTATACGAGAGTACTACGCGCATGCACGTAGCAATCGTCGTTTGTGAAGGTCTCCGCGTATCGCGCATGTCGCATGACGACGTGTACACGATCAAAACAAACGACAACCGCGCGTGGTGTTGATAAAATAGTCATTCACGGTGACTTGTGATTGGTGCGGAAGTTTACACACCCACGAGCAAAGTGTCAGTCGTTTCCTATACATACCAATGAACATAGCAACGCCATTTCCAGTATTAGAGTATTCTACAGCGTGATACGAAAATTCGACGATATTCATGTCTGATAGCAATGACATCGTTGAGTTCAAACCAGACAGGTTAGTTTGTCTATTTACGCTTAATTTATTTATAAATTATTTGTGATATCATTGTGATGTAGAAAGTACTTTTCAGTCACTAAACAGTCCACGTCTGTATTGCGTGTTTGATTTTATTCACCGAACGGCTGGTACACGTGTCGTCTGCTCTTATTTACAAATTCATACGCAGCAATCTCCGAAATATAGTTGAGACAACTATCATTCTGTCAAGCCAACGCTGCTACACTTGCAGTGTCTTTTTCCGCGAGCGGTCAATTAAAAGTTGCAATTAGTTGCGACAACGTCGATAAAGATCAATAACGTTGATATTTCCTGTGCTCGATGACATTTAATTTTCCAAGGACGCTTATTGGAAAAATAAAATTCTTTAAGAAAATTTTATTTACAATATATTTGCTTTCTTGTAGTTTTTATGATAAAGCTAGTTTTGTTTCGCTGATACGTTCGAATTCAGTTAGCTGATTGCTATTAAAAGATTATACATACAAGTAGTGGGTGTAGTGATGCAACAGTTGTCTCATTTTGTGTAATGTATCACTGTCGGCAAGAATAGAAATCGTTCAGTTAATGTATATAGAAATTGTTCACTCAATGTATATAGAAATCTGAATGTGCGTATCTATGTGATCTCGCGCGGGTATGAGTGTGTGTTTGAAAATAGTTAGATACTTCAAATTCTTTGAATGTTATTGAGTTTACATAATAGTAATTCATGTTTTTGTTGCAGTTGGTTTTGGACTTGGTCCAGTTGGACTCGTTCTTCCTCAATGGTGCTGAGAAATGCAGAAAAAAAAATTCTTTCATGTAAGTGTTCTATTTCCTTCAAAGTTCAAGTTATTATATGGACACAATTGCTTATTACATAGTAACAAGCCACAAACATAATTAATTGATAAGTTAGCTTAGAAATTTAAACTTTGTGGTTAAAAGAGTTAAATAGCTAAAAGTTAAGTTAGCATTAGAATTTCACTCCTATCTAAATTTTATAATACACATACAAAACAAATACAATTAAATTAATTTTTTTAGATTTAAAAACTGTATACAGAGGAACTTATGTGGATATCGGGCCAGTTGTTGGACCAGCTGCAGACAAAATTTGGACGATATCACTAAATGAGGAATCTCCTAAAACACCAGTTGTTTTGCTCCATGGTTTTGCTGCTGGTGTAGCTCTCTGGGCTTTAAATCTCGATACTCTTGCCAAGTACAGGCCTGTTTATGCCATCGATTTGTTAGGTAAAATGTTTGCTTGAAGTGATGAAAGAAAGCCGAATATTATAAAATTAATTAAAAATATGTTTTTAGGATTTGGCAGAAGTAGTCGACCAAATTTTAGTAAAGACGCAGAAGAAGCAGAGAACCAGTTTATCAGATCAGTGGAAGAATGGAGAAAGCAAATGCAATTGGACAAAGTTGTTTTACTTGGACATTCTATGGGTGGCTTTCTAGCTGCCTCTTATGCTATTCAACACCCTGAAAGAGTGAAGCATCTGATTCTTGCTGAACCATGGGGATTTACAGAAAAGCCTCCAGAAACAGAGAAGAAAGTCCAAGTACCTCTCTGGGTCAAAGCAATTGCATATTTAGTTCAGCCACTGAATCCATTATGGGCTGTCAGATTTGCTGGACCTTATGGTATGTAAAACTATAAGTTACCTTGTTTGTATCTATAATGTTTCTGGTATTATTATTAAAATCAAAGTAATAACTTATAATATTTTAATTCTGTAACATAATTATATGATAGGTCAACGTCTTATTGAAACTATGAGACCAGATTTAATGAGAAAATTTGCTCCAGTATCAAATAATGATCCTACAATCATTGCACAATATATACACCAATGTAATGCTCAAACACCATCGTAAGTATATTGCAGAAATGCATAATAAATAGTTTCGATATGTTTTATAACACTGTTGCATGTGTTTTGTAGAGGAGAAAGTGCATTTCATGCTATGATGCAAGGTTTTATTTGGGCGAAAAATCCCATGCTTAAGAGAATTGACAAAATAGATCCCGAAATACCTATAACGGTTTTGTATGGAAGCAAATCTTGGATAGATAATTCAGGTGAAAAAATAAAAAATTCAAGACCATCTTCATACGTTAATGTTCAGGTAATTACTAATTCTAAAATTTATAATCTCCTGATTTATCTGAATTAAAATTAATTTTATATTATAGATAATCAATGGCTCTGGACATCATATTTATGTAGACAAAAGTGACATTTTTAATCGCTGCGTATTAGAAGCGGCAGCTCTGAGTGAGAAATATGAAAAATTGACGAATACGATGAATGCCAGAACAGAATTTAAAAACAATCCGATTATGGTTGAAAACAAAACTGAAGTCAGAAGAGAACAATTGGATAACATAGCTGAGGCTGAAAGGCCGCGAAGTAGTTGAGAATTAGAGTAAACGAAACTCTTGCAGTTTCGTTGCTTTTATTTAGTGACTTTAAATGTTCTTGATTATATTCGTGATTTCGTCGTATAATTAATGTGATGATTTTTAACTATTTTTACAAATATCGTGAAATTTCTTAATAGACCCGATTACTCAAAATTTTCTCTTATTATGTAAGAATATTCTCAATCTTTTTCAAAGAAATTGACCAATTTTAGTTAGTCGAATTTCTAGATCGTGCGATATACAACATAATAGGTATATGAAAGTATTCGCATATACTAAAAGCGAGTGAATTTGTTGATTTATACTTTTGCAAAGTTTAATATATCTATATCTAAAGCTGGTTGTAACATCATGTTCCTTATTTGCTAAGGAATTTGATCGTTAGCAACCACTTATAGGTATAATGTTATAGTTTATTGCTTTTTATTGTTGATTACTCTAATTAGAAAGAATCGTATGAATGACCGGTTATTGGGTTACCACATATAGGCGTTTCAAAGATACTACATGACCGCTGCACTAACTAATTTAACTGATTAGATAAAAAGCGCTAGGATTTTATTTTTGTGTTATCTATTTGATAAATATGGGTGCATGTCCGTCCGCTGTATGATTCCAAATGCAAGAATTAAAAGTGAAGATAGAATGATTCTGGTAGTCATTTCTTTCATTTAAAAAATAAATTCTATATTGCCGAGCAAAGTTATATCAGAATTGGTAATGCGTTGAACATAGGAATCCGAAATGTTTACCATATATTAATTATATAATTCTATAATCGATTTAAGAGGATCTTGGAGCATATTGAGAAAATTTACTTATTTTTAAACGTGAAAATATCTAACTTAGCTAACCTTTTTAAATTACTTAAGGAAAAGGGTTGAGTGAAATATATACAAATAGCTTAAAATTGAAAGGGAATAATGAAGTTTGCGTTGATATCGATAACTATTGTATTCCTGTGTATTCCATATGAGATACTGCGACTCCGTTATCCTCTTAAGAGAAAATTTCTTGCATAGTCTATAGGAGTCATACATGACTAGAGCTTTTTATTCAATTTTCTTATTGAATTGTGATCAATTATCAATTAACTATACCAAATTTTATAAATATTTGTGCAATATTCTTGTCGAGTACTAATATATACCAACAACACTACAATCTTTATTAGCAAATATGAAGTTTCTACTCTGTAAAACTCACGACGAATGCACATAGAAAATTACTATCAATTATGAGTTAACTAGATATTAGAGAAATAAAATGTTATTTTTCCTATTTAAAAAGTTTTTTTTTTCAATTTCTAACCTTCTTCAAAAATATTAAAGATTTATCAAAAGCAAAACACTGGTAGATAATATTTAAATAACACTGACCGACAATTTTCAGAGACCAATCCTAGCTTAGAATTGCCTAATCGCCCTAGGTTTTTAGATATTCTAACGTAAAAGTTTGAATGTTTGATATGTTAAATGAATAACATATTTTTACATCTATTCCATTGCGTAAAAAACATTGCGAATAATTTATGTCGATACTCCATGCGCAAAGTATGTTTTCCCGTACGCTTGGCGAAAAACGAGCGTTGAAAATCGTACTTTCCACACGTCGTATCAAAAAATACGGTACGACATATGTTCGAGAAAGAATTTCTCGCTTTGCCCGGGCGTAAACGTCACGTGAGGCAAAAATCTACTTTTCCACTTGTATCGTAATGAACTATCGTTACTATATGAAATTGACTACAGCATCTGAAAGAGCTACTTTTTCCCTTCAAAATGTACCAACAACTTTTTCAGATATTTTTTTTAGCGGACATATCGTTCACTTAAATATGATATATTTCAGTTTTCGCGGCAACCTTCTCTCATAGGAGCAAATTTGCCAAGAGAATAAAAGTAGTAAAATTGTATATACTAATGGATATTTCATTTTATTCTAGTATATGAATAACTGGATTGATCAAGTCGTTTTTCTGCCGTTGAAAAATTCCAAATGGCGAATACAAATCAACAATAAGCAAATAAATTTTTGTTCCGATATCAAATAACAAATCAGCTGTAATTTGAAAATAGTAAAAATGCTGAGAAGTTAACCGAAATGCACTATGACCTGCTACGGTCAGTCACAAGTGTTATACCGCAAGAACGGAGGAATCCCCGAGTACTGTAGACGCACTTACTAGAGACGGTTGCCACGAAAATTAAAGTTTGTCATGTGTTAATGAACGATATGTCCGCTGGGAAAAACGATATCTCAAAAAGATCATAGTGTATTTTTAAGGAAATAAGTAGCTCTTTCAGATGCTTTAGTTATATTTGCAACAAAACAATGATTCGCGATGGTATCTGAATCTAGCAAAAAAAGTGTTTTTGACGCTTTTACGTTAAGACATCTAAAAAACTTAAAGTAATGGAGCAATTCTGAGCTTGAATTCGAATTCAATGTACCAAAATCCTTCAGAAAAACAAGGCCTGGTCTCTGGTTCCGGACTTGTAAAATTTTTTCAGTCTTAACAATCGTTGGAAATTTTAATTTACAAATAATAAGTTGAAGTGCCAGAGAAATTTCTAAATCGAGAGCATATTACATTAGTTGATAAAATTTAAAAGTAAATTCGTCCATCTTGAAAATTTCTATTCGTTAATTTTAATGAAACGCAATTGAACATGCAACGCTTTGTACGAAACAATAGTAATGCAGGATTATTTTTACCAATAATATAGATCTTTCAATGAATCATGCATAATTCCTTTCTAACTTGTTATTGTTAAAAATAAAATTCATGTATAGGTAATTATATTTGATTCAAAATTATGTCGATTAGCCCTACAACAGATAATCTAAGATTTAGATGTTCACTTGCAAAAATTAAATTTGCACAATCAAAACCAAACATCTTTAAACATTAAATTCTTATTTAAAATATCTATATACGAATAAACAAAGAAAAAAATTATTATTGCTTCCAAAAATAAATTGCAGGAAATACAAAAATTTTACACTCCATAAACATATTACTTATAATCGATTCTGACGCTAATATAACATTTGATCAAACAGTGTATAAGGAAAGTTCGGGGACTTTATTCTCCCGCCCATTTTTGTTATGATAAAACTGACAATAATTATGTTAATATGATCAAAGGCTAGCTATAAATAAGTTAGGTCTGGGGCCGTATTTCACAGTTATATCTTCATCTCACAACGAAGAAAACTTCAAATTTTAAAGATGAGATTTCCACGTTACTTTCTGACGCTTTGTGCTCTATTCTTCGTTGCCATCGCAGTCAACGCAGAGGTCGATGTCGATGTCGATGTCGATGTTGCTGTTGATGTTGATGTAGAAGACATTGATGATGTTGAAGAACGCAACCCATTAGTAAGTTTATTTGTACTAAAATATGAAATATTAATAATCGTAAGCTTGTCACTCTGACACAAATAGTAAAATGTAACGCTGCTCAAAATAGATAACAAAATATCTCGAATCGATTTGAACGTTTGATATTAAAAAAAATATGCGTGCACATCATAGCCATAATTTGTTTTTCGACAAGTACTCGATGAATAATTAGTGTTGAATTTCACTGTGAAAATCTAAAGGCGATATTTTATGCAAATTTTAGTTGGCCGCAGCCGTAGTAATCATTAGGCAAGCAGTGAAATGGGCAGCTACACACTGTGCTAAAGAAGCCGCTAGTAACTGCAAACAACACTGGAAAAATCCTAAGGCCCTTGTTAACTGTGCTGTAAGTTTTCTCGCTCTATATTTAAATAAAAATCATTGCAAGTACCTATGGAAACTTCATTAAAATTATTTTTTTCTTCAATTTTACAGAAAAACTTCTTGCAGAAAAACAAAGGACGTTGCGTTCTCGGTTAAGAATAGTGACATGTTACACTACATCTTATAAATATACTTATATAATACGTAAAAGTAAAAAACTTTTAAACATCATGTAACCTTGTTGGTTAATAAAATGTTTTTGCATTTGAAAATTTTTATTTTTATTTGAAATTTTTCGCATACTACAATTTTTCCTACGTTGGCAAGTATATGGAAGCACATGGGACAGTTTACCTTTTTGTTTTCCATGGGGTAATAGACATATCTTACGCGAAGCTTGGTTTTTCTACACGGTTTGTTTATTTCATTGTAATTGGTTAGCGATGTATCGCATGATTCTGACTTCTCAATTTAACTATAAACAAAAAATAGCATTTATATTCAATTGATTACAAAAAATAATTTTGTATTTTTGGACATCTATATATTTTATTATGTAAATACACCAATAGATCGATTTTATTAATTTTTTCATGAACTTAAAAATATGAGACTTGTGAATCTGACGCCCAAAAAATTTTTTTAAACATATTTTTAGTTTTCATGAGCTAAAACGTTTTCTCCCTTTTTCCAGATTAAGTCTCCGCTTGATAGAAAATCGACAAAAGGAAAATTGTTTCGTAATCCGGGAATAAGGAGCTATCATACGCTATCGATATTATTTCTTTTTAAACAGGAAAAAAATGTTTAATGCATATTGCGCACTGTCCGACCGCCCGATTTTTTTTCGCAATTTTCTTAAAAACGGAAAATCCAGAAATAAAATTTCAAGCGGAGACTTAATCCGAAAAAAGGGAGAAAACGTTTTAGCTCATGAAAACTCAAAAATATGTTTAAAAAAATTTTTTGGGCGTCAGATTCACAAGTGTAAAAATATGTATTTTGAAAGAGCGCGTTACTCAAATCGATGCGTAAACATGTCAATTTGAAATATTAATTTTTTAAGTCCGTACATTTCTTCTGTTCTTAAGCTTAATTTCTTAGTGTAAAATTAAAAATGACATTTGTAAAGGACTATCACCATTCATGTTTATATAAATTATAGCTATTATACTGCGTTCTTCATAACCTTCATTTCGGAATAACTTCGGTGACTGTATTCTGTAGACATTCTTGAATTTTCATTATTACATAACCTATAGCTCATGCCCAGCCCATTGAAACAGTGTTGAAAAATATAAGTATATATATATATATATATATATATATATATATTATAGTCAAACCTATGGCACTGCACCCTTCGGCACTGCATTGCCCGAGTCACTGCGCGCCTCTATACCCTAGAAACTGCACGCTACACAGTACCGTCACTAGTGGCCCACTCACCGGGGGGGGGGCTCTTAACTTTTTTATTAAAAGTAAAAAAAGTAATTTTAATTGAATTATTTTAATGCCGACAAAATCCAATATTGTTCTATTAAATAAAAAAATTATCCTGCTTAATTAAACAACTACGAACAATTGCGCGAAAATTTTTGTGGGCCTCTTTTAGTGCTACATATGCCCGTACCTGGCGCAGCGCCGTGATTGGCTACCGCCAGCGTGCAGTGCCTTGGGTCGGCTACTCCCGAAAGCGTGCAGTGCCGTAGGTTCGACTGTATAGATATAGGTGTATATATGTATATATACAATTGTCACTCTTTTGTTCTTTTGTAAAAGTTTAGATCAATTGAAAAAAAATAAAACGAAACTTACTGTAATATAAACTTTAAGCAATCTGATGCAATCAATTGACGAAAAGATATTAGTTTTATTGATTATTGTAGGCAGTAATAATTTAAATAAATTATTGCATAAATTACAAGTCAAAAAATTAGTGCTTAATTATTTATTATGGAAGATTTAGATGCTTACCAGAAAATAAGTAAAGATTTTCTTGAGACCAGTATAGATTTCGAAAATCTTTTCGATAAAAGTGCAACCGTTTCCAAAGAAGCACGAAAAATTGGCAATCAGTTGTACACTCAGAAAATACATGACCGAAATATTCATAAAAAAACTTTGATGCAATATTCGAAAAGTGTAGCATTCGCTCCTAATAATTCAGAAGATCTAGCTCTTGCATATGGTAATAGGTCTGCTTTGTTATTACATTTACATCAGTACCAACAATGTTTAGATGATATTAACAGAGCTTTGCAAATTACTAATTCGACTAAGTTGATTTCCAAGCTTCATGCTCGAAAACAGAAATGTTTACAGTTAATGGAAAATTTAAACAAAAAAAAGAATTATGAAGAATCAATAATAGATTCAATTAGTAAAGAAAATAATCATACATTGAAATTACCAACCATTGCACCATCTACAGTCATACAAAGTGCTTCAGAAGCTATTACTGTAAAGTATAATGAAAAGTATGGGAGACATTTAATAGCAACCAGGTACATAAAACCTGGAGAAATAATTATTGCTGAAAAAGGCTATGTTTGTTATCCTATGACTTGTCACCGTTACCTTATATGCTCTCACTGTTTGATCTTTGCATGGAGTGGAATTTCTTGTGAGAGTTGTGCTTTTTGTGTATATTGCAGTGAATCATGTAGAAAAAATGCTTGGAAGCAATATCACGATATAGAGTGTACTTTGTATCGGTATATTTCTTGCATGTTTTCTGATAAAGAAAATTTTGTACCAGATATAATAGTTGCGATTAGATTATTTATTAAAGCTGTTAAAAAAGAAGGCATTGATACCATTATGAATGAAGCCAGAATTTGCAACAATCAAGTGGAAGGTCTGATGGTAAATGGAAAGTTGTATAGCAATAAATTTAGATCTCTTATCAATTTGCTCAATTACCGGCAATGTCCTAAAGAAAATGATTTAGATTTTAATGTAACAATTTTTGCAAATGCATTATTTGAATATACTAATTTTTTTGATTCAAAGAAAGATGAAAGTAATCTTATCACTAATGAACATTTGCTTTATCAACTAGAAAATATCATTAAAAAATTGACAGGTATTGTCTATGTTAATTCATTCAAGGTATGCTTATTAAATAATCATTCAAAGTTATTAATATACAAATATAAAGTAGTTTCTCTAGTTTCTATAACTTAATTTTTTAATTGTTTGTACTAAAATAAATTACTTTTTCTTTTTCAGTATCAAGCAATGATTTGTAATTGTGAAAGCTTCACTCAATGTAGAAATGAATGTGAAGCTACTCGTGGAGTGATTCTTGCTCCAATTAGTAGTTTAATAAATCATAGTTGCAATTCTAATGTCAGTAGAATGTTTCTGCCAAATGGCAAAATAGTCATGTTTACAGTAGCTCCAGTAAAAGAGGGTGAACAGGTAGATATTTTATATAATGCCTATGGATTTTTAAAAACAATGCAGAATTAATTGAGACATTTTCATTTCAGTTATTTGAGAGTTATGGACCTACGTTTATGATGAAAAAGGAAGAGCGTCAAAGTCACTTAAGAAAATGTTTTAACTTCATTTGTGAATGTGAACCATGCAAAGAAAACTGGCCAAACAATCTAGAATTTGCTGATTTAGATGAAGTAAGTATTATATTATATCTAGAAATTGTAATGCAAGTAATTTTATCTATATAATAAAATTTTGTTTGCTTTTCAGAGACAGAAAAGTATGATATCTATAAAGATCATGCAAGAATTTAATTATTTGTTTCCATATGCATCTAAAAGTCGTCTCTTGGGCAATGATGAACTTGATTGGGAATATAACGAAGAAATATTGAAACATGCAGTAAAACTGTCTGAACTTACTTATAAGTATCTTGATAGCAATGCGCAAGCTACTTTATACAATTTGCCATATAAATTTTATATAGACCAAGCTTATTACATGGTATACGGAGAAAAATGTATTATGCCTCATAAGTGCTGATGAAAAGATATATATAGGTTTTATACTTATTTAATTTAATAAGTTTTATTTACATATTTTAAAAGTAATTTTATAAAGAAATTTTAAAAGTGTAGTTTTATAAATGATTAAATATACAAATTGCAAAATTTTATTTATCTATAGATTCATATTTAAATATCTTACAATATAAGTAATGTTTTTTATAAAATAGGTATTTTTATACTTCCTACTATTTAAATTTCTGAATTAAATGAAACTCAAAATTATATTTTTTATATTATTGGTAAAGAAAATCGAAGTTTATAATTTATTGTAATAATATTTTAGACAAAATAAATAAACCCATTATGAAACCTACAATAGAATAAAATTAATTCTTTTTACACATACAATAATTTTATTTACAACACTGATCTATTAAATGATTAATTTTACAGTTATGGTTATATTCAGAATCTCTTCATTTCTTAAATAATACAAAATTTTGCAACAGCAAAATTGGAAAACGATATTTTTTGTATGTATACATACATAGATTGTTCTACATAAAATCTTAAATTAGATTTTGTAAAATGCCCTTTGTATTTTTATAAATATGAAAATTTTTGAAATACTTTTTATCAAAATTATCATCTTTAACAAGAATAAGTGTCACGTGGATGCTTTATTAGAACTGCACGTAGATTTATATTATCTTTCAATTTTGTTGTTTCTAATTGGTCAACTCCATTTTGGATTCGTTAAATATTTAAAATAATTTACAAAATCAGGCAGCTGTTTTTTACTTTGCTATTTAAAAAAATCTTCAATTGCTTTTAAAACATTTAAAAGTTTTTATATAATTTTCTAATTTTTAGTCCAACAATAAAATGGTCTATAGTTATAAACATTTGATGTTCTGATAAACGAAATAATAGAAAATTATGTATCGGTCGTCTATACTCTGCGTCTAATCTTTAATCCTTAGTAGGTTCGTGATAGATTTATATATATTACTCAATTTTACATTATTCTCTTTATTATCAACGTTGTGATGAAAATTAAATTTAAGCACTCATTCGATTGAATCGGCGCCAGCATTTCAAGTTTAACTGAAAAAAAAGATTGTTCTTAGGAATGTTACATATTAAATGTTTTCGTCATAACGTTGATAAAGTGGATACTGCAAAACTGAGTAACATATATAATCCTGTCACAAGACTGCTACGGATTAAAGATCGCGTGCAGATTATTTATAAAACAAGACTAGTCGACAACGTGCATTTGTTCTAGCTGACTACAGTACTTTTGGGCCATTATTTTGAAAGTTGTTTTGTTGATTTGTATTGCTGTTCTAGTGGTAATTTCATACTGTTTTTTCATTTTGTTTTTTCATAATAAAGTTCCTAAAAAGGTTAAAAAATTTCTTAAAAAAATGTTGTTTTCTTTTACGTATTGTTTATCCACTGACCGAGCACATAGCTTCAACTAAAATATTTATATAACCATGCTCCACAGTGTCTATATAAATCAACTCCTTTCGTCTTTCCTTATCTTCGGCTTTATCATCTTTTAGTAATATTTTAAATTCATTATAGTGAGCTATTTCATCTCGAATATTGATAAGCAGCTTATGCATTTTTCCATTTGAAAACGTTTATCCGATCAAAATTGAAAATTATTTCTGTACAATCGTCATCCATATTTGTATCCACAAGATGGTATATCGATTTACTTTTCAAAGTAAAACTGTAAAATTAAAAATTGAAAACTCGTTCATTGTGAAAATTATACATTCAAGTTGAAAGTCACAACAACAAAATTTAATTTATAGATCTGATAATCTTAACTAGAGAACAATATATTTTATTGTAGATAGTCTTTATTTCGTAATTTTTAAGATTTTAACTGAACACTGCAATGTATCTTTTACTTCTATCAGTGAGTCGATGTAAAATGCATCTATATTTGCAAATTATTTATGATATTAAAGGAAACTAAGTTTGATAGACATTGCGGACTACCCATCAAAATTTGAAAGGAACTAAGATGTTTGGGAATCTGGAGCCTTCTTGTGATGTTGGTCATATGCACTTGCGTTGCGCAACGCATATTGTACGCTGGCCGTGTCCGTCGCAAAACCAATGCTATGTAATATAAGATATAATTTTAAATTAACATAAATATTTATTAATTTTAAAGATTTTAAAGATAATTTTAAATCGTTTTATAAAAGTAAAAGTTTTATATAAGTTTCGAGCAATTACTGTTATTTGTTTGTTCCAACATACACACACGTTTATATATTTAATGAGAATGTAGTTTTTTGTTTCGTTTCGAATATTTTAATTTATTTTAATTTACGTCTGTTAAAAGTAAGTAAAAAAACTGCTTTGAGATTTACTACATTTAATTATAAAAAATCGTAAAAAATAATCAACTCTTAATAAATAATATGCCAAAATAAGTTTTAGTAATAAAATAAAAAATTCATCACATTGCAGGAATTTAATTTTAACGAACATAAATTGCTTGAAAATAAAAATTGATTTCATGAATACTTTTAGTATCAATACGAACGGTTATATATATATATATATATATATGTGTGTGTGTGTGTGTGTATTATATAAGAACTTATTCAAACAATTTTTGTTTTTCGTTAACATTAGATTTACTGCACAGTGGTACGCCTTAAATTTTATTACCAAAGAGAGCTCATTATTCGATAATATTTATTTCAAAATTATTATATTTTCGATTTCCTAAATAATGTTTTTGTTATTAACTTAATTTGTTCAAATTAGCATTGGTTGTTCAAATTAGCATAGAAGACTAAACAGCAACCGGGAATAGGTAATACGAGGTACTGGCAATACTTTGTCATTCTTTTTAGCATCGAGATTTTGAGAAGAGGGTTGGTGTACTCGTTCATCGCGATGAAATGCTCTTTGGGCCAAAATTTATCGAAACGAATAATTCTATTATTTTCTTTGTAAATTCATAAATATTACAAAATCGTTTGCTATTCAGCAGCGCCACGCCTTCGCATTTTCTCCACAGCTGCGAAAACGTCGTCGACGAACAATTGCGGCTCCTCGAGCGCGGCAAAGTGTCCGCCACGCGGCTTCAGCGTACGCTGTACCAAGTTGACGTAGCGAGTGCGCAGCAATACCTCGGGTATGAAAATAATTTCATGAGGAAAGGCAGTGCAGGCGGACGGCACTGTAATCAAATCGCTGAAACAAGAAGACTCGACGGTATCGCTGCTGCCTCTCTGGCTGCTCGTTTTTTGACAGCTACACTTACGCGTTGAGGCTGGAGCTCATGATCGAGAGAAGACTAGACGATTCGGCGTAAATTCGCATGGAGCTAGTGATCTTGGCAGGTGCCCAGTAATACATGAGATTGTCGATCAAGTCGTCCATGGCGTAGTGTTGGGACAAATTGCCGTCGTCGCTGAATCGATTATCGTAATTCGCTGCCTCGGAAAATTTTTCTAGCACGTATGCGGCTAATCCCGCTGGCGAGTCATTCAGCCCGACACCTGCCAATTGATTTGACGCACGATTATCATCACTTCAGTTGGCCAAGGCCTAATTGTAGATTTTATCATCGAAATTATCATGACTTGGCGGCGAATCGCTTAATTTTCCATCCGCTCGGATAACTAATAATCAATTCCACTGTTACCAGCGTGGTCGTAGCGCTACTCCCCTGGAGATGTATTATAGCGAAAGAACATTTGGCGGATAAGGGTAAAAATGTACCGAAGCTGTCGGGCCTGGTAGCTTGTTCATGGTAGTAAGCACTCCTCTCGACTAGTTGGTAAAGTAGTTGGCCAAACGATGGCATATACGGACGCTCGTATTCTAAAAGCAGCGACGGTTGCAAGCTGTAGTACGCAAGTTTCAGCAATGCCGACGGGCTGGATAGCACGCAAAAGTTGGAGTGCAATCCTAAAACACTGTTTACATTCGACCAAGCATGAATATCGCGCAGACAGCAAACTCGGCAGCGCCGAGCACTTCGAGCTCGAGCGAATGTCGAGTGAACGTCGCGGACGCGGAAGAAATCAAATTACGAATTGCACTGTATATGTCGTAAGTCAATATGTCGGACAATATTACACTTCGGGATACATCGACGCCAAGTTGGCCAACACAATGCCGCCCCAGTCGCCGCCTTGTGCGTAAAACTTGTCGTGTCCGATTCTGCCCATCAAAATCTTCAAAACCGTGGCTATTTCGGTAGCGCCAAGGCCAATTTTCGCGGCGGCGTCGGAGTACCCGAAGCCCGGCAACGACGGTGCTATGACTTCGAAAACGAAGTTCCGTTCGGCCGAGGGTGCAGTCAGCTTGGGGATGACTTTGTAAAACTCGACTACCGAGCCCGGCCATCCGTGTTGAATTAGCAGCGGCAAAACTTCGATCCCACTGTCTTTCGGTAATTGCGGTTTCGCGTGTACGTAGTGGATGTCGAGACCTGCCAAGTTCAACCCAAATGGAAGAATGTCATTTGTCGTTTGGAATTTTTCGCTTGACGCACAGGTCGTTTTAACACTTTACCTTGTACGTTCGTGATGAACTGTGGATATTGATTGAGATGTGCCTCGCGTTCTTTGAAATTATATTTATGCAGCCAGTATTCAATTACTTTGGGTAGAAATTCGCTATTGATTCCGTAAGTCGAAGCTGCATTTTCAAGAGTTGACTGGAGCTTCTTAGTATGGTTTAACCGGTATTTCAAGTCATTAACAACCTGCCAATGTCAATCGTCACGTTGTAAGTATCTCTTTAACAATTATACATTTCTTTAAGTATATAAAACACTATATCAGTTTTATTTTCAAGGCCTCGCGGTTTTGCGAATTGATAGCGCATTTATTTAAACATAATACTTTCATGACTACCGTAAAAAAAAATATCGTAAAATACACATGCAATTTTCACCTCGTTGGAAAAGTGCACTTTGAAAGGTCTAATACTCAAGTCAGGATTTATGGGTGGCTCGCCTGGGCCCCAATATGGATTGGCTAATTGCATGGATGGTAGATTCACCGACGTGAAATTGGACCAAATCCCGAGTAGTGCTTTAATCACTACATATATTACGTCAGTGATATCCATGGTATTTATTTCTCAAGAAAACCTATAATAAAGACAATTGAGGAAAGTTGCATTGTACAATTTTTTGTATCATAAAAATGATGATATACTGAAAGATAAAACGAAATACATATATTATGCTATTAGCTTTGATAAATTTTTTCGTTTCCTAATAAGTTTAAGAAGTTGGATGCAATGCATAAAATAAAATGTTAACTCACCTCGAAATTACGACAGATATTCAATTTCTAAAGAATGCACTCACTTCACATATGGCATCTGTAAGCGATATTACATGAAAATTGAAATTAGAGATAACTTATCAGTTTATTAACAGATCGAGATATCTTGCCAGTCATAAACTCTCAATATCATTATTGTTTTAAACTTTCGATTTGTTTTCCAGGACTACTTGGCAATGTAGCTTATTATCAAAGTGAAAAAGTGATAACAAAAATTAATTACTGTAGAGTACTGTGAGCTTACGTACAAAATATCAAACTTTCACTACTTCGTAGGTTGTAGATGTTTAATATTCATTCAATGTCTATTATAGATCAACTTTCAAACTATGAAATGATTTCTAATCTGCTTTGTTTAGATAATTGTATTTTGGAGGATAAGTTTCGTTCATCGAAATCATTCATGTGCATCATAATTTACATTTCGCAAACTATGATACGCTTCATATAATTTTGGTATTGAAGATTTTTCCTTAAGGATAAGTTTTATGCGTGTGTGCACACCAATGATTTTGACGTATACACATAATTTGCATTTCGCAAATAACGATACATTACGAAAAATTGACGTAAACGCCTTCGTTTTTCCGAAACATAAAATTAATCACATTTTATTATATGGTTATTATTGAATTTGCAATATATTTCGGGATCCAATTTAATCTGTCGGTTCAGTCGTGATGTACGTAACAAGTAATTTTTCCAAGGGCACGACCGACCTCAATTTCGTCTTTTCGCGCTTACAAGGTTAAAATTCAATCGAGACCCCCACCGCCTTCTTTAAAATTAGTTTAACCGTTTCAAAATATACGAACGTACATTAAAAAACCCGGTAATGCCGGTAACGTAGATAATTAGTTTTAGATGGCCAAAACTGCTCCAATAACATGCTCAACTTGTTTATTTTTCTAATCAGCTTGTTCAGGTCTGATGTGTGTACGATTTAGATGTCTTTTTCATTTTTCCTTGATCAAATCTCATTCAGCAATAATAATTTGATAATAAGATGAAGAGATACACAAAAAGTACCAGAGAACACTGCTATACACGATAAATTCGATGTAGACTCGAAGATCAATCGATTAGTGTTACTGATTATTATTTAAGGAAAAAGTTAATTATTATAAATACTCAGCTTCAGCAAGCAGTACTCATTCCAATCAGACCTAAAGAAGACAAAGGGTAGAAGATCTCTAGAAGAACATGAAGTTCCCACGTTATTTCCTGTCACTATGCGTACTCGCCTTTTTCGTGGTTGTTGTCAGTGCCGAGGTGGAGATCGAAGAGCCCGAAGTAGACGAGGTGGAAGCACGCAACCCGGTATGTTATCATGAAATTGCAAATCGAACAGCCAAAATTTTGAAAAGTAGCGTTAATTTGTATTTGGTCCGGGGGGGGGGGGATTGCTTGACAATTAATGCGTATAATCGAGAATACAATCATTGACGAAACTGTTACAGCTTCTCGCAGCCGCTATTATCATCATAAAAAAAGCGGTCAAGTGGGCTGCAAAGCGTTGCGTCGAGGAAGCCGCCAATAACTGTAAGCAACATTGGAAGAATCCCAAGGCACTCGTCAGTTGCGCCGTGAGTATACATAGAGACCTTATTTTTGGCCCTTTTAACATTGCAACGTCCAACTAATATTCTTTTTGTTTTGTCTTTCCAGAAAAAATTCCTGAAGGCTAACAAGGGACGTTGCGTTGTTGGTTGATCTAGTCAGTACTTAATGATCTTACGCTATAATTCTTTATCGTGATGTATCTTTATCTGTAAATAAATATGAAAACTGCTATTGAATTCTTTTTTTGTAATTGTCATTTTCCACTCGCTGTCAAATGCCAAGCTATATTAATAAATTTATTGGAAAAGTGCTCGTTATTAAATAATTTTCATTTTTTGTATGCATTTTTTCATTAACTATGGGCAATATCCTTTCAAAATTAACGAAAATAAGCTCATCAAAGAACTTCTAAAATTTTGTCATTAGTAGAATGAATAATTTTCTGAATAATACTGTGTCGTATGAAAAAATATCACAAAGCACTATATAATAAAAAAACTATTAAAGTATTATTGTTTCGTACTTTTACATATCGAGATATGTAGTTTTACAAATCCATCAAATATCCTTTGTCATTTAATTCTTAATAAATTAGAAAAGTGATTGTTTTTCTTTCAATTGAAAGTATTTTAAAAATCTACTTCCAATGAATTCATCGACATTTTTAATAAGGTACATTCTTTCTTTTCCTGGCAAGTCCCATAAATTGACAGAGTATTCAGCACGTATAATCAGTTTATTTGAAAAGTACAGAGTTCTTAAAAGAGACAAGGAAATCCAAAATTACCGATAATACTTAGAATTGTTAATACACTATTTTACCTGATCGACATTATTCATTTGTCAACTGCACTGATAAGACGCTTGTTGTACTTATCTCATGAATCATTTTCAAGTCGATAGTCTATCAAATTTATTAGTTTTTAACTTTGCAATATTAGACATTCTTTCTTAATAAATATTTATATTTATTGGTGTAATACGCAAAAGTCCGAGTAATTTTAAAGTTCAGCTTTATACTTGGATATCGTTTCATGAATAATTAAATAAAAATGTATGTACGGTGAACTAATGAACAACTTGTGTAGATTATGAAATTCGCCCCTTTTTATAATTTGCCATGCTAATGAAGATGGATGAGAATTTGTTATCGATTATGTAGTTACCTCAACGAAATATCATTGTTCCTTAGAATCATCGTAAAATTACGAAAACTCTATCGATCACCTTTTTTGCGTTGAATGTTGAATGTATTAAACTTTACCAATTGAATGTATATAAAATATCAGGATGAAGCAGTATCGATGCATATTCTGATATCCACATTTTGTTATATGGTTATTATTGAATTTGCAACGTATTTCTGGATCCAGCTTAATCTATCGGTTCAATCGTGATGTACGTAATAAGTAATTTTTCCAAGGACATGACCGACCTCAATTTCATCTTTTCGCGCTCACAAGGTGAAAATTCAATCGAGCCCCCCCCCCCCCCCTTCTTTAAAATTAGTTTAACCGATTCAAAATATACGAACGTACATTAAAAAACCCGGTAATGCCGGTAACGTAGATAATTAATTTTAGATGGCCAAAACTGCTCCGATAACGTGCTCGACTTGTTTAATTGTCTAACCAGCTTGATCAGGTGTGTTGCGTGTACGATTTAGATGATTTTACATTTTTTCTTGATCAAATATCATTCAGCAATAATAATATAGTAATAAGATGAAGACGTACATAAACAGTACCGGAGATTACTGCTATACACGATAAATTCGATGTAGACTGGAAGATCAATCGATTAGTATTATTAATTATTATTTGAGGAAAAAGTTAACTGTTATAAATACTCAGCTTCAGCAAGCAGTATTCATTCCAATCAGACCTAAAGAAGATAGAAGATCTCTAGAAGAACATGAAGTTCCCACGTTATTTCCTGTCACTGTGCGTACTCGCCATTTTCGTTGTTGTTGTTAGTGCCGAGGTGGAGATCGAAGAGCCCGAAGTAGACCAGGTGGAAATCGACGAGCCCGAAGTAGACAAGGCGGAGATCGAAGAGCCCGAAGTCGATGAGGTGGAGATCGAAGAGCCCGAAGTAGACGAGGTGGAGATCGAAGAGCCCGAAGTAGACCAGGTGGAGATCGAAGTGCCCGAAGTAGACCTGGTGGAGATCGAAAAGCCCAAAGTAGACGAGGTGGAAATCGAAGAGCCCGAAGTAGACAAGGCGGAGATCGAAAAGCCCAAAGTAGACCAGGTGGAAATCGAAGAGCCCGAAGTAGACAAGGCGGAGATCGAAAAGCCCAAAGTAGACCAGGTGGAAATCGACGAGCCCGAAGTAGACAAGGCGGAGATCGAAAAGCCCAAAGTAGACCAGGTGGAAATCGAAAAGCCCGAAGTAGACAAGGCGGAGATCGAAAAGCCCAAAGTAGACCAGGTGAAGAGCGAAGACCCTAAAGTAGACAAGGTGGAGATCGAAAAGCCCAAAAGAAATGAGATGGAAGTACGCAACCCGGTATGCTATCGTGAAATTGAAAATCGAACAAGCGAAATTTTGAAAAATAGCGTTAATTTGTATTTGGTCCGGGGGGAGGGGGATTCGCTTGACAATTGGTGTGTATAATCGAGAATACAATCGTTGACGAAACTGTTACAGCTATCCGCATCCTCTGATATCGACATAAAAAAAAAGACGAGCAAGAAGGCTTCAAAGCGTTCCGGCAAGAAAGCCACCAACAACAGTAAGAAACGTAGGAAGAAAGCCAAGGTACTCGCCAGTTGCGTCATGTGTATATGCAGCGAACTTATTTTTGACCCTTTTCATATCGCAACGTCCAACTAATATTCTTTTCGTTTTGTCTTTCCAGAAAAGAGTCAGGGTTCACAGGAGACGTCGCGTTAGTCGCAAGGGTTGATCTAGTCAGTAATTAATGATCTTACGCTATAATTCTTTATCGCGATGTATCTTTATCTGTAAATAAATATGAAGACTGCTATTGATTTTTTTTGTAATTATCATTTTTCACTCGCTTTCAAATGCCAAGCTATATTTCTAAATTTATTGGAAAAGTGCTCGTTATATAACGATATTCATTTCTCGTATGCATGTTTTCATTAACTATTGGCAATATCCTTTCAAAATTAACGAAAATAAGCTCATCAAAGAACATCCCGTATTGCGTGATAATAATTTTCAGACCTTTCCAATTATTTTAAATTTAATTCATACAATTCATTTAAAATTTTTTAAAGGACACTGTTATTTTCTCGTACGGTTACCAATTCATTATCAAAATTAAATTTTAAGTATAATTCCATCATAAAAATCTCACGCATTATATTTTTAATAAAATATTTAACAAGTGAATTCAGAAAATATCCGTGAATATGAAACTTAGGTGGTCGATGAGTGTTGTCAAATTAACAAAAATGATCATTCCTTGATACTTTTTCCACCTATGAGTTCTTATACCTATAACTTCATTGTAGAAATTAATAATATTGATTTATTTAGAATACAATCTAATATTTTGTCTATAGTAGAATAAATAATTTTCTGAATAATACTGTGTCGTATGAAAAAATATCACAAAGCACTATATAATAAAAAAACTATTAAAGTATTATTGTTTCGTACTTTTACATATCGAGATATGTAGTTTTACAAATCCATCAAATATCCTTTGTCATCTAATTCTTAATAAATTAGAAAAGTGATCGTTTTTCTTTCAATTGAAAGTATTTTAAAAATCTACTTCCAATGAATTCATCGACATTTTTAATAAGGTACATTCTTTGTTTTCCTGGCAAGTCCCATAAATTGACAGAGTATTCAGCACGTATAATCAGTTTGTTTGAAAAGTACAGAGTTCTTAAAAGAGACAAGGAAATCCAAAATTACTGATAATACTTAGAATTGTTAATACACTATTTTACCTGATCGACATTATTCATTTGTCAACTGCACTGATAAGACGCTTGTTGTACTTATCTCATGAATCATTTTCAAGTCGATAGTCTGTCAAATTTATTAGTTTTTAACTTTGCAATATTAGACATTCTTTATTAATAAACATTTATATTTATTGGTGTAATACGCAAAAGTCCGAGTAATTTTAAAGTTCAGCTTTATACTTGGATATCGTTTCATGAATAATTAAATAAAAATGTATGTACGGTGAACTAATGAACAACTTGAGTAGATTATGAACTTCGCCCCTTTTTCTAATTTACCATGCTAATGAGGATGGATGAGAATTTGATATCGAGGATGTAGTTACCTCAGCGAAATAACATTGTTTCTTAGAATCATCGTAAAATTACGAAAACTCTATCGATCACCTCTTTTGCGATGAATGTGGAATATATTAAACTTTACCAACCGAATGTATATAAAATACCAGGTTGAAGTAGTACCGATGCATAAATAACTATTCCTTCGTTCTGTCACCAAAGTAAATTCTTTCCTAATCATCCAAAATGTCTCTGCAACACCTTGTTGCTTTGTGCGTTCTTGCTTTCATCGTGATCATCAAGGCTGAAGGTGCATCGACTGACGCTGCTGATACGATTCAAGTGGAACCCCGAAATCCAGTAAGTATTTCCACAGATAATTCCACGTTAAGTTTGCGATTGAAATTTCCTCTCGCGATATTAACTATAAACATCGTGCTAACCGAAGTAAGTAAATTTCATTAGGTTTGAAAAAATGTGATTAGAACTATTGAAATGTTAGGCTTTAGCTTTAGCAGCGAGATGGATCGTAAAAAAACTTGGAAAACACGTAGCGAAGTGCGCCTTCGAAGCAGCTGAGACATGCCAATCACACTGGGGTCATTTCCATGCACTTGTCGAGTGTGCAGTAAGTAATTTTTTTCCTGACTATCTAGCTTTTCACATTTTTTATTTCATTCGACCTTGACATTTTGCAGAGAGAGTTTGCCAAGAATAATAAGGGACGCTGCCTCGCTTAATGACGACGATCGTCGCATAAAAGCTGTCGACTCTTATCTTTTTTATTAATTTGTTATTAATTACCGTAATTTTGGAATCAACTGTATACATAGAAATTCAGCGTGCTTATAAATAAATTTTATTTTGACAATTTTCAAACAAAAATATTTTTTCCTCATCAAAATTGGTATGAACGTAAATAGTATCAACTAATATTGTTTCTTATTGTGAATGTAAATTTTTATGCACTCTATACACTATGATAGACACTTGTAAAAGCTACGCATACGAATACAGATAATAATATAATATAAATAAGTAAAATTTCATTCGTTTCGCAAAGAAATAAATCCTATATGAATTTAGTTAAATTTGTCAACTCTTAATTAGGAGTAATTCAATATAAATTATGCTTGCAATCGAGAGAGTTTCTTTTAGAAATTATCACTATATTTCTACGTGAATGTTTCCTACTTTGTTCTCTCTGATTCGCACGATAATTGAGTAAAAATAAACGCATGAGGATGTTAGTAATAAAAACGCGATTATTTAATTTTTTCGATTTTTATTTCGTGTTTTTTTCCATTTATTTTTATTTATTTAATAAATCGTTACATTCAATCATGATTCAGACGCAGCCCATATACAATCATTGCATTTTTCCAAACAGAGAAGAAATCAAAGTATACGTGAATACAACAAGTTATCGTGAATATTGCGTAAGATGACAAGCGGTGAAAATGATACGAGAGTGAGCTTTAAAATTTCGACGAAAGTTGACAAAAAACTGACGGAATTTCACACTTCATTATTTACTATTTAGATAAACCTTGATATTATGTTAGTCATTACTCGTAGTCATATTATTTATTATTTTTATCGTTTATTAATGATTAAAATTAATTATCCATACTCTTAATTATTTTCGTGCCTTTACAACTTACAATAAAATATCGCGCGGTGATTTTGAAGAAAACAGAGTTGCTCTCAAATCCATATACGTCATATTTTCAACGGCTTAAAATGTAACAATGCTTTTTGTACAGTTTTATAATACAAAAGTCAAGCCTTCTCTGCGGGCCGAAAAACTCAACGGACATGGCCCACTCGCAAACCGCAATCGCAACACAATACACTGCATTGAATGCGAGTTTTTTTCCTGTCCAAGACTGTAAAAAAATATAAAAGAACTCAATGTACAGTTGCGTATACGGTGGCGCCTAAAACTACGAAAAAACTTCGCCTTCAAATAATGCCATTAACATAGTTAGTCAAGCGAGTGGCTGAAACCGCGGCAAATTCGCCGACTCGCAGAAGGCTTTTTTTCTGATTTTACAACTGGCTCACTCTGTTTTCTTGCGTTTACAGCTATCCTGAATCCTCGAGCAGCGTGGTTTCAATTCAATTTTTTTCCCCTTCCTTTTATTTACGAAGCTTAAAAATGCATTTTACAAGCTATATATGGAACGGAGACTTTCTTTCGACTGTACAACTGGATGCAAGTACATGGAATATGAACATGTGTTTGGAATTGCGTCGAGTTCATTTTGATGAAAGTTTAACGCTGAATTAGTTGTATCGTTTGCTTTCAACGTTTTCCAAGTAACGAACCCAATAGCCGACCAAGCAACTGTTCGAGAATCCACGATTAGAAATTCAGGCGTCTAGTGGTTGATCCTCTTTCCGGTAATGAAATTTCAAGTAAACCAAGAGTTTCGGCGTTCGATGCTATACATTAGAAAATTTGAAAACGTCAGACGCGATTACTTTTTGGTTTGCCTCTACCTTGTATAAAAGACATTAATCGAACGTTTGCAAGAGCTTTTACCGGAGTTTGAACGTTCATTTTCTGCTTTTTCAGCGCTCTGACTTCGATTTTTGAGTGGATTTTGTGAGGGATGAACGTGATATTGTGTTTTTGCTATTTTCTGTTTGAGAATACACTTTCGTTGCTTCAATTTCAATGGAAACTTATTAGTTGATCGGCTCAATAAAAATATGAATTTTCGCAGGGCAATTATAAATTATGTATCACAGTTTATTAAGACTACTTGGAGTCAAAATATCGAAAAATCATAGCGTAGATAAAGCTGAATTGTTGATAGCGACCTCCTCTGGACGCCCGTTTATCTTAAATTATGTTGGTAATATTTTGTAACGTAAAAGAGTAGTGGTTAATTCGATTCACCTTATTTGATTTGCTAAAACTTCTGCCACGATTTATTATTCTTCTCGTTTGTCGCTTAAAAAAGTACATACTTAAATGTACTGTGCTCGTTTTTAAACGCATTTTACAATATTATTTTTACTATAATGATTATTATTATGCTCATTATTAATATACTTATTAATATTATTATATTACAATACTTAGACCACTAGATCCATGGAAGTGGAGTTGCTAGGCTGCCTTGAATCAAGTGCCACATGTTTACATTTTTATAGTGATTACATAACTTGAATATAATTTACTTTATGAAAAACATTAAAAATAGCACAACAAATGCGACGAATTTGGTTGAACAAAATTACGAATATTTCATATGATTACTTTTTCGTTGGTATTCAATATTTGTCAATATTACAACTGAGTCAGAAATAAAAATTCGATTAAAGAAACATATGGCACCGTACAGACAGCATCACCTAAATTACACTTATACAGCCCGTTTAAAATCATCTTCCACCTACAGCCTATTTAACTATTATACTGGGGCTCGTTAATTACAATGTAATGTATATATTTGTTTTTGGTCACTAAACTTTATGCACATCGTTGTTCATTAAATCAGACATTGACATCGCGAATCGGGTGCATTGCATGGTCATTGGTCATAAAATATCTAAACGAAAGCAAACGCTTATACTTTGAAACTGTGGACAATAGAAAGAAAAGGTAAACAAAATTATCTATCTAAACATAATCAGTACTAAAAGGCTATATGTACTTTTTGAACACGTTCATTCATTCAAAGAGTAACTAGACAATAAAAAGTTTTACGTATCCAAGAAGGAATAAGCTAATGTATTCAAAGTTGAACGTGCAAGAGATCTGTGTGAGTCGCTTGTCAGTGGATATATATGGATTATCCCTAAGTGAAGTGCTATCGCATCTTTTATTTTTAGAAATCGATTTTAGAGAGCGAAACTGTGATGAGAGTGTTCGTTTTTGCTTTTCTCACAGTGAAAAATAAATCTATAGATGGTTATGATTTTTAAAAAAAGAAGGTTGAGTCATTCAAAAGTGCTTGTTTATTTCGTAGGGATAGCAAAAAAGGCTAGCTCGCAGTCACTTTGTTTGAAAAAACATTATTGGCAATGTGTAATGATTATTAATTTCTGTTTCTATGCCATGCCAATTATTGCTCACTGACTTATATGAAAAACAAAATGATTTACGAGCTTATTTTATGCTCTAGCGATTTCGCAATATATTTGCGACTTAAAAAGTTGATCATCGTATTTATTCCACTTTACAATACGCATTGATCATAAACTATATATAATCCAAGACGACCCAGAAACATATCATTAACGTAATCTCATTTCTTTTCTAACAATGAGTAGTAGCCTATCACAAATATTATTTTATTTGTATAAAAAAGTATTGGTAAAAAATAGTTTGAAGAAAGAACGCGACATTCAAAACTGATTTGTAAAAACTAGAGAACGTAATGCAACGAAACCGTAAAAGAAATAAATCAGTTATTAAGAAATATGGATGATATAAAATTGTAATAAATTTAGAAGCGAATAGTAAATGTCCAGACGAAACACGAATTGTTCGAATTTTTACAATGGTAATTTGATTGACATCAGTAATATACAACATTTTAGGCCCTAAACGTAGATCGCGAATGTATTACGTGAATCAACCGTCAATTGGATTGACACGAGGAGAACGTATTATCGATAGATGTAAAATAACAGGACGTACAGATACATTTTCTCCCGAGAACTTGTTGCCACTTTGCCTTAAAACTAATTTAATGCTAATTTGTATAGTTTTTTTTCTACACGGACAGCTAACAAGTATTCATAGTTTCCACTGTATTCTCATTTTTTTTATTTTTGTATATAATGCTCCTGACTTTTTCTTCTAAGAATCATGTGTAAAAAATTTCCTAGTGTGACCTAGTTGCTTCTTTTGTTCCTTCGTTGATAAACTTCTCTATAATAAAGATATAAATAAGCATCTGTTTATAAATATTTTTTATAATTCTGATATCTTTTCTTGTTTGAGGCTGGTTAGTGATAACTATGAAGGTAAGACACTAATAAGCCATGAATTTGATGGGTATTTGAAGCAGTACAAAAAGTCTCAATTACTTTACCGACGATATTTGTTACAACTTTTTCTCAGTAGACTCTGAATATTAATAAATACTAAGAATTTAAGTCAGTCTGTCTCTTCTTCCATTAGTTATATATCGCGATAAAATTTAATAATCAAACAGCACTGTCTATATTGAATTGCAAAGAGTCAATACAAAATCACTCTACAGATCTTAAACATAATCATTCAAGTTCATACATTCATTATATTCCCACTCATTGTACAATATTCAACGCTTCATTGAATTTATAATATTTTCATTTTTAGAAAACAATACTGTGCTACTGTGTAGCGATTTCTGTATTGTAAACATGTAAATTTATAGAAATTTACCGAAATAAATTGTGTATGAAAGTATATGAAATTATTGTTGAAAAATGTAAATCTAAAACAAACAAAAATTAAATTGGTATACATTTACCAAATTTACTGCAAATAATTCAAATTAATTTACTTTGAATAGTTGCTGATATTGTCAAGCTTATGATAAAATAAGATTTGAAAGTTCGTTCAGTTTGAAATACAATAATATCGCATATTTTCGGCTTTTGTTTTTTTTAATAAAAGAAAATTGAAAATATTGTAATACGCAAATCAGGGCATAATTAAAGTTCACACAATACCATATTGCAACTTTGTTCGTTTTACGAAGATTCGATAACAATGATGGACTGTTGATGTTTAAAAAACAGAAAGAAAATGCCTAGTAGATTGTACAATTGATAACGTTCTTTGCTGAAGAAGCATTCAACGAAATAGCGGGAGTATTTTGATGCACCTATGTACGAAGATAAAAGTCATCAGAAATGGAGTAAATCAGACAATAATCTATTTTGTCAATGAATTTCGATTGTAACTTCTTAGAATAGTATTACAGAGTTTTAAATACAATCATGATCACCATTAGAAGCGATAAAAATTATTATGTACATGAATAAATGATCTTATGTCGTACGTTTAAATAAATATATATCTAAAAGTCTTGTTCAAGTTGTGCAAATGTCACATGCTTCGACTGTAAAAATAAGTTTATAAAAAGTAAAATTTTCTCGCCCCTTACACTGTGTATAATTAGCTTTAATTCATCAGAAAAGACTTTTAGAAATATTTTTTTCGACTATTTTACAAGTACTTTCTCACGAAAGTAATGATTGCACGAATCGATGATGAGCGTGGAAAATGCAACACTTGTCTAAGTACATGCTCAATGATAAAAAAAGCGCTTCATTTTATTTTACTTCGTCCACAGAGAGAAAACAAGGTGATAGACGACACGCACGCATGTAAGTGTGTACATGTACAAAAAATCGAAAAAAAAAGAAAAGAAAACAAGAAAATAAAAACTTGCCTAATAATTGATATTCATGTCGAAGAGACGCTGTGACATACGTTTACATCCTAAGCTTTTTTACTTACATATTACACTTTCCTACTTTTACACATGCGTCATCTATACTCTTACGCCCTTATGTATAGTATTATCGACGATATACGTTATATATATGTGGCCAATAAGAACAGATTTGTACTTGCATTTAAAATTGTTTTAAGTCAACGTTCAATCACTTCGCACAGCCCAGTGTAGCGTGTATGTTACTATTTGAAAAATACAGCTTTTCATCTCAGATTCTCGCTTGTTTTTTTTTTTTTTCGTTATTTTTATTCCGGTTGGATGGCAGCGTTTCTTTTTATTTTGTTTATTTCTTTGTCTATCTTTAGGTTTTCGTTATTTCGTTAAAATATGTGCATGAAAAATTTGCCGAATTGCCTCCGCTCCACGATCTGCATCTGTAAGGGTGATTTCGTTGGTGCGTGCTTTTGTGTGTATGTCGTATGAGTGTGTTTAGGTGTACGTCCTGTAACATCGACGCGTCGACAGATGATATCACAGAGTCGTCCATCCCCCTCGTGACAGGCTTGTCGTAGGAAAATAGGCGCTTATCTACACAAATAGGGTGTCTCGATATAGGTCTCGCATTCTCTCTCACTCGCTTATTCACTCACTCGCATACTCAAGCACGCACTTACATTGCTCTCATCACTCTACGCTAAAAATGCAATACACTATACATGGGCTACACGTCGCGCACGCCTCTCGTCCTCCTCCTTTTCTTTCATTTTTATACACTCGCTAAAGTGTCCACGAATTGTCCGTGTCCGTGTCCGTGTGCGTGGGTACGTGAGCGTGTGTGTGTGTGTGTTTATTTGTATTCCAAGTGTTTTTCTTTTGATTCTCGTAGTCCCTATGTACGTTGGTCTCATGCACGTAAACGTATGTGGTTGTTCGAGTGTCTGTGTGACGATATTGCTGGAGCCAAAATAGGCGAAGAGAAGGAGCGACGTTCAGGATTGTTGTCGCGTGCGTTAACGTCACTGTCGAGCGAGATGCGCAATCAAAGATTAAAAATAGTCGATAAACATTTGACGACGTTCACTCCCGGTCTCGTGTATGATGTTGCTGTCGTTCCCTCAATTGAACCTCTATCCCTCTTTCGTTCGCACTTGCGCCACGCCAATACTCAACGCTGTCGTGTAATTACTTGGGCCTAGGTCGCAGGAGCTGCTACCTGCGTGGTATCAAGCCGTTACTCGTACCTACGGTCGGCGACATCTCCAGTTCCACCAGCAGCGAGAAGTGGTCTGCGAACAGAGAAGCGGGGCAGACGGATTAGAAGAAGGCAGCAATTGGTGGGGAGGTGACGACAAGCGGCAACGTTACCCGACGGCACGTGAGGGTGCGGACATCCAACCACTTTGTGATCCCTGAGCCAGTCCACGCTGAGCGGCCCAAGCAGACCTAGCGGCACCATGCACTGCTTCGAGTAAAAAATGTAATCTATAATCCCCTTGAAGTCGAACCTGCAAAGAGAAGGGCAGGCCGACGGGCGTGAGCTCTGGATCGCGGGGCTACGAACTACGCAGTCGACGAACAGGTCGCACTCACGTGTAATTGGTGTAGGGCATGATGTCCTCGCTGTAGGCGGAGGCGAGCTTGAACGAGTGCGTGAACTCGTTGGACTTGTCGCAGCCGGAGATCTTTTGCAGGCAGGACTTGTAGGGCAGGTCCTTGAAGTCGCGATGGTCGGCGGCGACACGGCCCGAGGTCAGGAACTCGATTACACCTGCGGGGCCAAGTGGCTGGTCACTTAGGTCGCGTCCGGTAGAGGCGAGCGAGCCTGGCGTACGTACCGGAGTCGGGTAACGAGTTGAAGTCGCCGCACAGCAGCAGCTGGACGTTGGATGGGTCGGACTTGTGGCCAGGCCTGAACTGCTGGCCGGCCTGGTCGAGAATGGACTTGAGCTCGTTGCTCAGCATCATCGTCTGGATAAGTTTCACGTCGCAGTACTCCGGGTCCCAGTGCAGATGGGCGGTACAGACCAATATGGGCTGCTGCACTTGAGCTGGATCCGAGGGAATACCTGCGGACAAGCGTTCGTCACCTTCGCTGCGACCGTCGGCGGCCGCGCTACTTCTCGATCCTCCCCTCGAGCGGGACTCCGCCCCCTCGCGAGGAACCAAACAAACGAGCAGGGGGCTCTCCCTTAATGAGAGGGCTTCGCCTTAATTACGCGCCGCGCGCTCGATAAAGAGCCGCGGACCCCGATGAAAAAGCGGAATGGGCGGTGGCTCGTAAGGTCCTTTACGAGACACTTCTCGAATGTATAAGCCAGGCCTCCTTTCCTTCTGTCGCCGTCGACGACTTGGTCTCTTGCCCTTTCCGTTTCCACGCGCTCGCACCATTGTTCGCCGTGCGCCCGTTTGGCCAAGTTTTACGAGGGCGGTACGACGACCGTGTCGCTCGAATGGGAAAAAAAGAGAGAGAGAGAGAAAAAAATTTGGAATATATCTCACCATTATCCCAAGCGGCTTCCTTGGTCCTCAACAAAGCCGCAAGGCCAATGTTGTCCTTAGGCATGACTCGATTGAGCATGTTGTCTGATCCCTCGGCGTTCGCCATTGCCAGCTGATTGAATTCTACGAGGTGCTCCTTGATCAAGGTAAATCTGCCGGCATGACCGAAGCAATCGAATCAGGGTGTTCGTCTCATTTTTTCCCCGTGTCGTATGCAATTACCCGCAAAAAAAAAAGCAAAAACAAAAGGTATCGGAGCGCTTCGTGGATCGCGCCTGCGAAATCGAAAAGCGGCAAAGTAAATAGCCAAGAAGAGGAAGCTGGCGAGCAAACAAATGGTCGTCGCATGCGAAGCTTATCTCGCCTTGGCGATTTGTCATTGTGTATGTGCGCGCGCGAGTTGCGACTAACGACGTCGTTAGCGCGCGTATGCTCGCAGACGACGGGCGCGCGTCGATCGTTTCGGCCGCGTTTATTGCGTATTTCCATAACGCCGCCGACACTCGCCGCGCATACGAATCTTCTCTCTCTCTCTCTCCGCGGTTCGTCAACCGAGACGAGCGTTATACTTTGCTTTTCTCCCTTCGCTATCTCCAGCTCGGCGGGTTCGCCGAACTGTTTATTGCGCGCGCGCGCTTGCCGCTCCATTGTAATCCCGTTTTTCTTTTCTTCTTCTTCTTCTTTTCCTCCGCCCCTCCCCCCGCCGCGTTTATCGAGCACGTCGATTCGCGCCAGCGAGAGTTTCTTTTCAAACCCGGCAGCGTCGAGTGCCTCCAACGAGGCTCCGCCGCGCGAGTGAAATTTCTCGCGCGCTCGAACGAGCGAACGGAACGCCGCGAGCGCGTCGCGCTGTCAATTCGCGCGCGATCAAATAAAAATTGATGCCGCGCAGGACGATCGTTAAGAGCGCGCGCGCGTTGACGTCTGTGTCGCGACAGCGGCGGCCAATTCGCTCTGACGGATCGAAGGTTTACGGCCGCTCGCGAGCCTGGAATGCCGCGTCGCGTCCGAGCTCGCGCGTAGATTCTCTTCTTTTTTAACGAAGCCCGCGGCGCGCAGGAGAATACTCACTTGGCAGTTCTGTAAAAAATGGCGCAACCATCGACGAACTTGCGGTCGTTCTCCGCCATAGTTTTGGCTCGAGACTTGGGCGAGAATATGCCTTCGTAGCCGTCCACTTTAAGTTCCGGCAAAAAGAAGTTGTAGAACTGATCCGTCTCCACCTCCTGCAGACTGATGATGTCGGCTGCGTAATGGCGTATCTCGTCCAAGATACCCTTCTTACGATAGTCCCAATCCAATGCCCAGCTTGGACAGTAGCCATACATCTGACGCGTTGCGTACTTGTCGCTCAGGACGTTGTAACACATCACCGTGAATATACCTGCATTGATAAACAAATTATTTGCGACGAGGATACCCAATGCGCGCGAGATCCGTTCGCAAGACTGACAAATAAAACGCCAACGACAATCGGGTTCCGCAAACAAGGGGAAAAAGCGTTGATGGGGTGCGCGAGAAAAAATGGAGTGCTGCGCACAAGCGAAATTGGGTCAACGAGTCGACTCGATCCCATGCTTTCTTCGAATAAAGACAGTCGTGAAAACGGCATATTCCGAAAGAATCCCGCCGGAACGATATGCGTTCCGTGTGAGGCTGCAAAGACGTGGAAAAGCTCGCGCGGGTCGTGCCAGCGAGGGAAGCCAGGAGGAGGAGGAGGAGGAGGAGAGGAGAAGAAGAAGAGGATAAAGAGGATCAGCATAAAGTGAGATGTCTTCCCGGGTGGATCCGCGTGTATATATAAATTCCAGCCGACGCCTCCGAAATCTTTGGCTCGCGAACGTTGATATGCCGTTCGCGGCAGACATTACAATGCGCGCACGGGCGGGATTGTCATACGCGGAAAATCCTGGAGTTGGCAGCCAGCACAGGCGAACTCGACCCGCTTTGTCACGGGTAACAAGTTGTAATGATGTTATGTATACGACAAGTTTAGTACCGAGACGTCGCGCGCACCGGGGGCTAACTTCTTGAAGGTTTAATTGGCGCAACTTGTCCGCTACGGCGAACGCACTCCGTTGCGCACGACCGTCGGCGGCCGCGCTCGAGCGTAGACGAACGAGTCGACGTTACGTTCGAGAATCGCAGCTGGCACACGATATCGCGCGGAACGTCCGAGGAGAAGATCAGCCGTTGGGCGTGATCCGAATGTAATTGCCGACGGATATCGTCGCGACCTGTAATCCGTCTCTGCTGCCTCTGCTGATGAGTACCTTCGCGTGTATTTCTTGCGAAACAGGAGACGCAACTGCAATTTTAGGGAACGTCGTGGCTCGAGCTTCCCCTTGAGTTTGCGATGGGACGTCGAACCAACTTTCTTTCCAGACGAATGATAGATACGAGATCCACCTCGCCGATACGCGGATGACTTGATTAGATGGCAAAGAGCCGTGTAAATTTTCGCGATATTTACACGTCCGAGCGTACATTAATCACAATATCTGATTGAAGGAGAGTGAAGCGCGCCGTTACTAATCAAGCATTTCCGGGATATTACGCCGAGAGAGAAAGTTTAACGACAGAAGCGCATCGTAATTATTAATTAATCCCATGCGCGAGCACGCGATTTACGGTTCATTAGGCTCTTTTGCCTCTTGCATCTTTTCTTCTTGAAAGCTCTAAATGCTCGTTACTGCTGCGCGCGAGCATCTTTTAAATTACCCATGCAAAAAGCAGCTTTACGAGCAAAATTATGACAACGGCGAACATCAATTATAATATTGCATAGGCTGTCGCTTTTATTTTCGAGGATTGAGTCCTAGCGAAAAAACAAACGCATTGCAACGACAATTATGACTATCCGACTTGTTGATCGGAGAAAACGCAATGACGAAAGGGTAGATGCAGCGCGCAGTTTACGAGTTTGCCGCGCGGTGGCCACGAAGAGATATTAAGCGTGCACTCGGTTAATCTGAGCCACGTGCACGATCTCGAAATCGAAGTTTCCGATAGGGAAAAGCCCATGGCAAACGAACAAAAAGAGAGACAGAAAGAGTGAGAGAGAGAGAGAGAGATGCAATTTATATTGGCAAGCTTATCTCGAGCACGCAGCTCCTTCGGATCTCTCTTCGGACTTCCTCGGCTATATACATCGCGCGAGTCGGGGCTACGAGAATCCATTTGCTTATCGCTAATGCGCTGACGCACGGCGTGAAAACGCGCGCGGCTCGCTATCTTTTTTCCGATATCTATGCTCCGGCGACGATGCTACGCTTAAGGGCGATCCGCGCTTTCTCTCTCCCTCTTTCTCTCTCTCTCTCTCTCTCTCTCTGTGCCTCTATCAGGCCCAAAGGGATTCTACTCCTCTGGGGCTGTCCCACTCTACCCGCTTTTCGCCCAAATGCGAAGCTTTCTGCTTTTAATCACTTTGCGACAGCGATTACGTGTTTGTTAATAACAGGCTGGTTTAGGTTTTTGGCGAAGACGATGAGTATCATATCGTACGAATTGCGTCAACGATCAGGCGACCGTTTTCGCCCTAGGCTTTCGGTAATGTTCGAGCTAGAGAAACGCGTAATCGTAACATTTTCAATGATCCAGCAAACCTATTTTTGTTTTTTGAAATAAACGGGTATTTGATTTAAAAGACAGTTGAGGCTTGAAAAGCTCGTTTTATACTGGAATAAAACGACGTTTGAATTTTTCTCCCGAAGGTTATCGAATAAGCTCATCTCCGATTTGTTACTTGACGCGTAACACATTAGATATTCAACGTGAACTTGCAATATCACCGAAATAAATTGTTCATTTGGAAGAGGAAAAGCACAAAAATGTTTGCATCAAAGCCGACATTTACGTAGTATGACCAATTTGCGACTGTCGAAATGCCAAGCTGTCGAAGCGGCCTCTTGTTCTTCGAACGCGAAGAAACGCGAGATTCGACTGTACTCATAAATGAAACATACCCACGCGCAGCAATGGCAATTTTCATTACATTTATTATCCAGCGATGAAAAAAAAAATTACAATTTCAGATTTCACCTCAATTTGCATTATCGAACACCCAACGCGAGCTTCAAATCTATTAGCATACGTATAATGGAATCTCTCTCTCTCTTTTTTATTACGGACGTCAGGGATTTTTACAGCGTACCGGCTGATTCAATCTTCACGCCTATTTAAATTCGATATTCGATGAAAGAGAGAGAGAGAGAGAGAGAGAGAGAGAGAGATAACAGCAGCGGATTTAATGGATTTATTCTTCATGAAAAATTCTCTTTATTTCCGATTCAGTGATGGGCCTTTATTGGTCTTAAAAATATCATAGATCCGAAAATCGCAATTTCATTTGTTTGAATTTGATTCGGATAATTGTTTCCATCGTTCCAAAACAAAAATCACAACTGATATCTGCATTTGAAATTAAAAAGGAAGAATTCGCTCTCAGGATTAGCCTACGACGGACACTTCTTTCCTGTGAATAGATTACGTCTTAAAAATTCAACTCTGCTGGTCCTCAACGTAATGTTATAAAACCATCTCACAACTTGCGAGAATGAGACCTTTTAAAAACACTAATACGAAACTCCTTAATATTATCGTAAGGGATGAATAAAAGCTGGATGATATCCGCACAGCCGATTTGATTATTTAACGACGGGTTATCACCCAAGCTAAAAGCCGTATAAGCGCAATAGAAACAATAAGTACGCTAAAATATTGAATAGCTCATTAATGCATTACTTCTCGGTGGCGAAGCGCTTGAGATTCGCAGCAACTGCGGCAACGATAACGCGGGATGATTAATTCGCTCGGCAGTGGAACATTACGGCGTGTCCGAGTCGCGGCCATCATAATTTGCCGGGATTAACCGTTTTATCGGGCGGGACGGCCAAGAGAGCGGGTCGAGCGCGCGGCTTAATTAATTTATTGCGACTCGGCAGACTGACGAGCCCGTGGCCCGCGGGCTGCTCTGGGCCAGCCGGCCAAGATAGCGACATTTCGTTTGGCGATCCGAAGATGAATCGCAGTGGGTTAATCTCGATTTGCCGCGTGCGCGGCTGGCCGCGTTGCATTGTGATATAACGCGCGACGCTGCGCCGACCAATCAATTCCCAACGACGACGCGCCAGTCGTTTATTGAAATGTCAACGAGGCGTCCTGTTGATCGGATCGTTCCGAGCCTCGTTGGTAGAATTACGAGCGGCGAATTAAATAGTAAAACGTTGAAAATAAATATATGAAAAAGATAACTCGGAAAAAAGTTTTGGCTGAGGTGAATTGAAACGGGGGTGGGGGGAAAAAAAAAGTATATATATTTCAGGAAGTACGCGAGAGAGTGAGCGATGAGGTTCGAAGCGAGTTGGCTGGCCACCAGCCCGCCGTGCGCGTAACGAATTGCCTTGCAATCGAGGAGGAAACTTTTACTCTTGGAACAGAAAAGAAAGCTTTTTTGTTCTCCCTTTCCTCGGTATATACTCACACGTTGGTCTCGAGCGGTTGGGTCTAGTCAATGGAATCCATGGTCTCTGCGGTGGAAGGCCTGTGTTCACTGAAAAAAATAATTAAACTTTTATCAACTACTGGTTATCATTTTTTTTTGACATCTACAGCCTAATCATCTTTATAGAAAAAGTATTAATAAGGGAGTAAGGTTTTCTTGTTCATTCGTAAGCCCTGAATTGACAGATTAGGTTCCACGGAGCGGTTTTACAGCTTATTGATCTTAGTAATGCAGATGGACAACAGCAATAATCTTACGGATGTTCCAACGGAGGCACTTTGGCTGCTCGCATAATCCGATAGAACGCAAAGTAAAACATTATCGAGTATGGTATAAAACGAAGAGGTGGAGGGTGCGGAACACCCTTGGCGTAATTACGCGTGGACGAGTGATTGGGGCCGAGCTGCGCGCTGGCAGAGGGCGGCCGATAACGAGAATCGAGAGCGAGCGGGTCTTTTCGGAGCGCGAGAGCCCCGAAGCGCAAAATCAGTGATTAGGATAATAGAGGCGCGTTCGGCTGCCGGCCAAAAGCTGACAAACCGAGCGAGCCTCATTGGCTGGTTAGAGCGCCGCAGCGACGGGCTCGCGCCGGCGTGAAATTGATATGGGCTCTCCCGAGAGCTCCGGACGCCGGCCTCGCCGTTTCTTGGGCGGGAAATCCGGCGACGAGTCGGCCGCGCGACCGCGAAAGACAGTCGGGATACGGCCGACTTTGCGCGCGCGCCACTTTGGAGAGCGGCGCCCCGGTCGATATTCGGCATCAGCGAACACCGCCGCGGCTCATTTGTGCGCTCGGTGTTTCGGGCCCGGCAGCGCCGTCGGCGCGAGCATTCTAGCGACTCATTTTCACGCGCGATTTCATAAATTACGCGCTTTGAAAATGTAATTTGAGCCTAGGAGTACGCTGCGAGTTTAATGGGCATTCCGAGCGTTACGCCCCGGCAAACGGCGAATAAGTCTTCCCTGCGAATCTTCATTCTGAGCAGCTCCAAGACGCGCGCGCTCCAGCTATTTGCATGCAAATATTATTTCAATGACCAACGGCCAAGTTGCTCCTCGCGATTCGCCGCGAGTGCGTAATAAAAACGTTGCTCATCTCCCCTCCCCGCCCCCATTTTTTTCCACTCGGGTGTTCTCCGTTGCCGGTCAAACAAAAAGACCCGTTTTTTTCCGACTATCGGAAAACAGAGAGCGTGCGCAGCGAGACGGCAATGGCAATCGATCAATCTTGTTCAAAGACTGCTCGAGCACCGGGAAAAATCCGGAGTTTTAAATCTCGGCTAATCGAGCGTGCGAGAGAGAGAGAGAGAGAGAGAGAGAGAGAGAGAGAGAGAGAGAGAGAGAGAGAGAGAGAGAGAGAGAGAGAGAGAGCGAGAGAGAGATTGCGCCGGCGAACGCGATCTCCGCCGTCGGGCCGGGGAAAACTTTTGTCGCGCCCGTCAAAGCCACTGCGAAATGGCTGTCGGATATTGCCAAGCCGTTTCTGCGGAAATAGCCGTGAGTGCTCCCCGAGAATCGCTCGCGCGCGCTCCTTTGAGAATCCAGGCTGGCCGTGTGCGGCGCGCGATATCAGGATATCAGCGCTCTCCTCGTCCGCGGCGTGTAATTCGACGTGCGCCGAAGTTGGATTGGAGCGAGACGAGCGCGGGCGAAAAGCCGCGGGCGGGCAGAGTGGGAGGCGAGGCGCATCGGTATGCGGCGCGCGCGAACGCCGCCTGCGCCAACTTAAGACCACCTTTCGTCAAATGCGACGCCAAATGGGATTCGCCCGGGGAAGCGATTTTTTTCATTCTCCCTCGATGTTCCGCGGCCCCGCGAGCCACTTTGTATTTGCGCCTCTCCGGTGCCCCGTCCCGTGTCCCACCTCCTCGGCGCGCGAGCCGCGCTGCCGCTGCCTCTTTCTCTCGGTGTCGCGCGGCCGAGTTTGATTTTTCGCGGCGTAATCTTGATTTCGCTTCGCCGCGAGAGGTGAGCGCATAACGACGAACTCGATGGACTCGAGCGAGCTCGTGAGACTGGCCGGATTGGAGAATTAGCGAGTAAAAAGCGACTATATAATCACATCGGATAGAGAACGGAAGGAGCGCGCGGGTCTGGTGTGCGTATATAATGCACGTGCGCCACGGAGCATAGGAAGGGAATTAGCATAAGCACCGGCGCGTGTACAACATATCTCGCCCACGCGGGTGCTTTTCGTCGAAAATTATTTACCTCGGAGAGTTTCGCCGTACACGATCGCTCTCTCCCTCTCTGTCGCGTCGTAAATCAAGCGCGGCGCACACGCTCGGCCGCACGGGAGAAAGTGAGCGCGTGTATGGCATTTGAATACAAAAGCTGGACTCCCCGAAAAAAATATTTTCGTACCGCCTATTCGCTCGCGCGCCGCGGTCCAGTTTTGTTCCTCGTCGATCGATCGGGGCTGCCGAAGGAGGCTCCCCACGGCGAGCAGACGTAAAAAGGAGGAGCGCTTGTCGCTCTCGGCAGCGCGTACTTGGCAAATTATCATTGGCTCGCGCAACTTTTCGTAACTAGCTCTCGCGCAAATAATTTTGTATATCACGGCATTAATCATCGTTTTCCATTCACGGCCAAAGTTTGCTCGTTTGAATATCCTTATTTACTTTCCAGCGCTTCTCGCCAACTTTGCTCTATAATTTTATATCACGTCTCGCTGTGAAAAAAAAAGGCTCATCCGGCGTACTCAAATATTTTGTGCTCGAGGTGTGAAAAACTTTACGGAATTGGATGCAGCGCGCCCGCGAACGTTGCATTACGAAAGTGAAGCAACCCGAACGAGACATTCATTTGAACGCATCGACCAGCGAAACAACGACGTTCCGTTACCGCGAGAGCTGAAAGGGGGGCAGGACTTGACGCATTGTACTCGATGGCGAGGCTGCTAGCAGCGATAGCGCGAAATTTAGAAAAGTACGCGGGAGAGAGCCTTGCAGCAGGGGCAGACTCGCGCGCAAAGCGTACGTATACAGAGTAGCCCGTTAAGGATACAAACGAGGTTGGATCCGACTGAAAAATTTCGCTCGTCAGAGCTCGGCCGTGTAACGGGCTCGGCAGAGGCACGGCGGGAATAAAGAAGCGCCGGCCCGGGCGTTTATTAAATCGCATATTTCAAAAAGCCAGACTAATTATATGCCAGCGCGCCCGCGGATTTAAAGGAATTGATCGCGTAAGTCAGCTCCTCGCGCGAGGTTTAATTAGATAGCGCGCCGCGTGTGTCTGCTGGGGAGGGGCGGGGAGAAGGAGGGAGTGCCCGACTATATCGAGAAATTACGCCGGCGCCGGGATCGCTAAACGCAAATATAGCGCCGACGATTTAGCGCATTGTCCTCGTGCCTTTCCTTTTGGCCGAGCGGCCGGCCTAATTGCCTGGGCTGCGGACGAGTAACCGGCGTCGATCGAGCGGTTACGAAGCGAAAACTCCGCGGTCCATCGTGCGATGCGCATACGTGCCACACCTATCGAGGGCGCAGAAAGGGCGAACCGTTTTACTGCCGACGTCCCTGCAACGCTTTTTTCTTTATCCGTCGACCGAGACAGGGATGAAGATATCACAGCTCGTGGCATTCTTCCGACTCGAGAGATCCGCCTTGGTTGGCCGAATAATCGGCCGCCGAGCTTCTTCGCGAATTACGCCAGCAACCGAACGCTCGCGGGCGGCGAGCTCGAGCTCTTGCGAGTCCCGCAGTTGGGAGCGCGCTGCTAAATCGGAGAGGCGTCTCCAGTCCGCTCCGTTAATTCGCGAACGATCTACTAAAAGACCGCGCCCTGCTCCGGCTCGCGCGCGCGAACCTCGCGATATTACGTGTCCGCGGGAGATGCGCAAGAACGCGGAAACGACTCTTAGCCGGGTCACGGGATAAATGGCGCTCCTCCTAGTGGTTCTCTCTTTTTTCTGCTTTTTACATTTTCGCTTTTGCCCCGCGCCGCGGATTTATGCTTCGACGCTGTATCCTCGCACCACGCAGCCGCGATAGTTCATTAAAGCTCGCCCTCTTTATTAAAAGTTATCAATTCTCAGATTTTCAACGGTCGCTCCGACGATGCGCAGCAGCGTCCAGGCTCGTCGGCGTCTCGAATGGGAGATGACTTATCTGGCGCCTGAAAAGTCGGCATCGCCAGATAATTTTCCGTCGACTCTTGCGCGCTGAACAAAGCGCAGCGAGCGCGGAAAATTCAATCTCGATTGACGAAACGACGTTGCCTCTTCAGTATTGCAAGGATTTCTTGAATGCGATCGAACGTATTTCAGGCTCTAAACGCAATGTCGTTTTCGCACGACAAAGCGAAATAATCACACGAACGAGTGAGTCAATTCCAGGCGAGCAATGATAATCAAACTCTCGTAAATATTAGGACAGTTGTTTGGAAAACTTATTTTTCAGTTCCGTGGGCAATGAGAATAAGGCCACAGTCGCCGAGCGTCGTTCGCTTCGCTATCACTCGTCCGTGAACAGTTTGAATTGTTGGACGTTTTCAAGAGCGACGGAAAAGAAACGCTTCGGTAAATCGAGCTCACCGCTACGCGCAATCAATGAGAAATTCAGTTTCTCCCAAAAAAAAAAAAAAAAAAAAAAAAAAACATTAAAAAAAAATAAATAAATCGAAGTATCGTAATCTTTCCACTCGACTTGATCCTCGCAAAAGGAGCGAAGACGCATTGTTCGCTGAAACGACAAAGAGTATCCTCGGTCGTCTACTCGGCGACAAATAATAGCGAGTCCCGTGACTGCTTTTTCTCCCTCTCTCTCTTTCTCTCTCTCTCTCTCTGTCTCTTTTTATTCGTCTCTTCGATACTTCTTCCTCTCTTCTCGACTGGTCGCATCGATAAATTGCGCGAAAGACGTGGCTTACAAAATAGCAAAGTGTGCATAAACACTGACGTGGGAATTACACATTTATTAAGGAAATTCATTGCAGCACCAGGCGAAAAAAACATCGGGAAGGGCGAATAAAATTCATGCTAAATAAATGTAACATTTTCCAAACAAAGACGAGGCGCGCATAACTCATGGGCAAACTCGCGCGCACGGGATTTGCATATAAATGATCATTAAATTCGAGGGCAGTAATTAATGGCCGTGTATGAAGTGGCCGCAGCGCACGCTAAAGAGAGAGAGCCCAATCGCGCAATCTTGCAACTTCTTCGATGTAAATTCTTTATTTTCGTCGTAATCGCTCGCTTAGAATGTAAATTGTAGTCGGATGCGCTAAATTACGGGTCACTCGAGCGCGAACTTTCAATAAACAAATTAAATTTGTTATGAGTCGATGAATTTCCGGCGACTGCGCGCAAAAAGAGAAGCGGTTCGAACGAGCATTTGAAAATTTGTTTGCCAGTATGAAGCGGCACGCGATGGTGAATACGAATGATCGTGGAAAAAGTCAGTGAACTCGAGTGTCCTTGCACGTGGTCAAGTGCGCGCGTGTGTCTATCGAGGCGCGAAGCCTTTGGCAATTGGCAGCTCGCGTTGCGTAGGAAGGTGACTCGGTCGCCCGGTTTTTCTCCCCTCGTAATTATCGACCCTTTTGTGCGCGCGCCTACGACCAGTTTCTTCTTTCTTATATTTTTGGCGCTCACGCGATCTCTGACTCGATGTTAATTTTATCTTTTGTTCGTTTTGCTCTCGCGAGAGCAAAGCGTCGTGGAGTGGCGCCCTTTGTCCGCTCCAACTCATTGCTTTCGACTCGAGCTCTTTTAATTATTATCAATCGTGAATCGGACAGAGCGAGAAAATAACCAGGACGTCTTCCCACAACGCTATCTCTTACGACAATTTCATGAATAGATCGTGATTAATGCTGATTTCAATTTGCTTTTCCTGGACGTCGAGACGCGTGGTGATTCACTCGACAAGTCTTTCAAAATAAGAAAGCGACAAAGTGTCCTTTCAAACATCCGGGTTGATTTTTTCGTTCTTGTGCGAACAGATTAACGAATACAAAACTTTGAGTTGACATTAGAAATCTCACTGTGCAAGCAACGTATTATAATAGGAGAAACTGTCAAACTTTAAGGGGCAATTTCAATGAAAACTTACGTTTTATACTTTGTGCACATTTTCATTTTGGTTCCCGCGTAGCCACCTGCAGGAAATCATCAAGTAATTGACTTGTGAAAGAGCTCGCATATTAAACTGATATAGTTGAAAAATTGTTATTGGCCAAAATGCAAATAAATATTTGTTCTTCGCTTCGAATTATCGAAGCACAATAAAGCAATGTGTATTCGTACGATATATCGTCGAGCTTCTGCAAAAGTGATTGGCTCGAATTTTACGGCTTGGAGTTTGCACGCGAGCGAACGAAAATATTTTCACAGGACGTTCTGGAATGGGGTGAAATGAGAAATGATTTTTGCAAGAATTAAAATCACCAAAGTCACGCAAAATACCGATACTCGTGAGACGCACGATTCTTTTTTCTTCACGCCAGAATCATGGATTTACAAATGGCGGCCCAAGCAAAAAGTTGGCTCTCGATAAAATGCAAAGTGAAGCTGGCAGCCAAGGCAACGGCTTCTTCGCTAAACCGACAATAAAGCAGCAGCAGCAGCAGCAGCAGCAGCAGCTCGACGAGTATAAAGTCGCAAAGCCCGCAATCAAATCATTGCAGAGGCGCGCACCTCACAAGTTGCCGCGCGTCGGCTCTGCGCGCGCGTGTCCGTGTGTGTGCATTGAAAAGAGGAAGAGAGCCGGCGGCCACAATCATGTGTGCGCGCACACACGAGGCCATTAACGATATGCAAATACGGGGAGGGCCTTCCCCCCCTTCCCCTTCGGCCGATAAGGATGCGAATTCTGTGCTACTCAGCGCCCGCAGCGAGTAAACTCTCTCTCTCTCTCTCGACGTTGCGTTGTTTACGCGGCTACTGCATTTTTTGCCGGCGATGCCTCTCCCGCGGGCGCGCCTTCCACCGTATACTTCGCCTTAATGATTGTTGGCATTAGGCTGCTGCCCTTGCTCGCTCCGCTCTTGCCGCCGCCGCCGCGGTTTCGAGGACGCCTCCGTCTCTTCCAGGCGAAATCGCCGCTCGGAATAACAGCCTTCGAAACGCGCGCCGGCGAAAAAACAGATTCGGCCTGCCCGTTCCAGCGGCTCGGGCGAGCTCGCTCGTTACCGCTTTCCGCGCGAGCAGAAAAACAGGTTCGCAGGGCCCAGAGCGCGCGCGCCCGCGACTCCTCAAGGCCGGCGCAATTTGGCCGCGATCGCGCGAGCCCGACGAGCGGCTCCGTCGGAGCCAAAGGCTCGGTGGGACCCGCGGAGACAATCGGTTTTATTGTAACGTTCGGCGCGCGACATCCCCGGGCTCCGAGCTCCCTCGTGTATGAATTATTCGTGGCGCGCGACGTCTCCGACTCGCGGACCTTCCGCCGCGGAGAGCGAGTAGCTCGCTGCTCTTCCCTTTGATTTTATACGCCGATATACTTGCCCTTGCAATCCGTCGATTTAGCTCTGATGGACAGACCTGCACTGTTGCATTCATCCTGCGTTATATCTCAATTGATATCATTCTTGAATACACCGGTGATTTGACGATAAGTCCGTATTTTATGAGAAATCCTAGGATTCCAGATTACACTACTGTTTTCTTTTTCTGTTCATTAGTAAGTAATTATTATTATAATATTATTATTATACAATACTGCCTGTAGATTGAGCGAAGACAACTTAAAGATCCCGAATAACATCCTTTCCAGCATTATAAATATAGAGCTATATGTATGTATGCCATTTGAAAGAAGAGCCTCTAAAATAGATCATTTAAGCTCAAGATTAAATTTTAATTGTAAATTGCACTTTGTTTCGACTCTGAAGATAAATATCGAGACAGTGAGAAAAACAAAGCTATACTTTCAGATATACTTTCAGATATTTTCATTCTTAAGTAATTTTCATTTATAATTTACCTATTCGTTCTCATTATGTTGGATCAATTTCGCACGCGTGCCACCAGAACAGATAAATGCCATCTCGTTTCTCAATGTAATGTCCACTTTCCATGCAAGTTTACAACTAGAATTAACGATACTATCTGACTGAGAAAAACCAGCGATAAAGTGCCGCATATCCCAGTTTGTAGACAATTCGATGACAAGCCAAGCAGCAGCGTAAATCACGAAAAGTCGGCACCGAATTAAGAGGTATTAAGGTTTAGGGAAGGGAGGGGGCGGAGAGTGCAGTCCTGCATGCTTGGATGTTATTCCTCACTTTCATTGCGCTAATCCGAGCTCAACTATTTGTCGTCGTCGACTTTATGCTTTGCGCGCACGACACTTGCGAAAGTCTATTATCTTCTGTTATATACGCCTGTAGACAAAGATCTCGCGTTTTGTTTGTTCTTTTATTATTTATTATTTCATTTAAATTGTTTTCTAAACGTTTCATAAAAATTTTATTAAATCTCTATGTGAATTATTTACTTAAGAAATTTTTTTTAATTTATTCATATTTATCATAAAAATAATATTGTTCAGTCGTTTAAAGACTGCCACTGTGCTACAACTTTAACGCGCTATAATACTTTCTGTATGTGGTACGAAAGTACTCAATTCGGAAATCTGTTTTCAGCAGCTGCTTGAAATTTGCGGCGAGTACGATGATATTAAAAAATAAACTGCGTAGATGTACAGTCTGGTAATTTTTGTTCGACAATCGAAAATTGAAATATGAAATTTTTAGTAAAAAATTGTTAGTAAAATCCCAAGCTGTTGGATTGATGGATATTGCAAGACAGGCGCACGGAAGACTTCCCGTCGCGCGGGTAAATCCAAAGCTCGTGCCATTTCACCGAGCGTAAGCGCTCCCAGGAGGATTGATACAATCCGTGTAATCACAGCCTCATAAACAGCATTTTATGAGGCTGTGCATATACACGCGACAAAGGATATGAGCGGTACCAACTTTCGCATCCAACGGTAAGTGTTATCCCGGCGTATTGCGCCTCGACACCTGTCGTCAAACTTACGTACAACGTGAAGCGACAGCGCCGCCGCTCGACGTTCGGCCATTTCGCCGAGGCGTTTCTAGCGCTGTCTTCGCGTGAAAAAGAAAAGGAAAATCGGGCCTCGCGATCAGACGGCTGGCTCCTGATTCGTTCGCGTGGTCGTCGTGTCCTCGACCGGCTGCGAGCGTCGAACAGTGCTCGACGAGAGCCGTTAGCGTTACAGAGCACAGCAAACGTGCGTTCGGCTGAGCAGTGTAATGCAAATCAGTTGTTTACCGAAAATATTTGAACTGTGACGGAACTGCCCCGCACGCGCTCGATAAAGTCAGGAAAACTTGTTATCTTATCTGCAGCGTTACACTCGCTTCGGACTGCGCTGTTATTGTATACTCGAGACTGTAGTTCCATTCAGAAGTATTCCTCCGTAAGTCTGCTAAGTAAGCGGTTCCGCTGGTTTTGCGAGCGTTAATACTCGGGAGCACTCGCTCATAAAATGAACACGCTAGTTTGGAGCTTTGCCACGTTGGCTCTGTCGTTCGATTGCGGAAAAGCTGCGAGTTACGATAATTTGAAGATGGAGCTCGTTCAAGTGGTAAGCACTGTGAATGCGCTAAGCCAATCGGCTGTTCTCTTCGATGACCCTGGGAACGTCCGCTCGAAAGCTTTTCAGACACGGAGCTCGTACTCCACTTGCGCGATCACTGGACTTCTACACCGGTGCCAATCGATCGATCTACGAACCTTGGGGTATTGGAGTGTTGACCAACGTAAGTGACATGCACTCGGCCACTGCCCGATTAAACGATTCAAATTTACTTGGAAACCGAAGGTTGGCAAGCAGCAGGCTCATAATTTAGGTTTATTTTTGCGAAGCCGATACAGACATCACTTGAGCATCGATTACAAGGCCGAAGAATTGTACGCTTATTCGAGCGTCGAGGACCGGACAAAAACTACTATGGAATTGGTATTGGCGGGTCTTTATCCGCCGACGGCAGGTACGATATGGAATTCGTCTCTGCTATGGTCACCCGTGCCGTTCCAATGCATTCCCAAGCAACTCGACGTTATCCTGAGAGGCTTCCAAACTCCCAAGTAACGATCAGCGCATCGACCAAGAGACAGCGCCAGTGAAAACTCCATTTCCACGTTTTCTGTCGTCCAGGTTTTTGAGGCTCCTCGAGCTCGTGCGAAACTCGACGGAGTATAGGAGAAGGCACGAACGATTCGCGGAAGCACTGAGCTTGCTGGACGAGAAAACGGGAGTCAAGGCCACCGCCAATTTTTCGACGCTAACTTACATTTTCGATGTTTTATACGCGAACGTGAGTTGGTAGAGCTTGCGCCGCGGCGCTTCAGATGGAACCCGTTGCGTTACTTTCAACTCGTTCATTTTAGGAGTACATCGACGCAGCGCTGCCCGATTGGTACACGCCTAAAATAAGAGAAACTCTGTTAGAGGTGCAAAGGCAAGAATACGACGACTACGTTCGCACGCAAGAAATGCGCGCGATTGGAATTGGATTTCTCGCTCGAACTTTGCTGGAAAACATGAATCTTAATGAGACGAAAAACAACCCAAGAAAGATTTATTTGTACTCCGGACACGAATCGGACCTGGCTCTGTTTACCAGGGTACACGGCATACGCGAGTTCAGCTATCCACATTTTGGAGATGCATTGATATTTGAAAAATGGCGCGACCCCAAGGACGAAGTATACGTGAGAGTATGCATGAGCAACAATAAAGTTCGCGATTTGTGTGTTTGCGGCTAATGCAAAAATGACGGTTTCAGTTGCTCGCCTGGAGAGGAAACGAAAATCTGTTGACATTGAAACTTGGAAGGCACAATAACTTTTGTCCCATCAAAGATTATTTAAAGATCGTTACACCATTTATGCTTCACGATAATGGAGTGGATGATATCCTAAAAGAATACAGTCTAACTCAGCTGAAAAGCTTTCTCTACGAAGATACCGTCGTAACGGGATAGCGATAAGATCGTTTGATAACAACTTTCCTTTCTGTGATTTAGAGAAGCTATGCGTGTACGACACCTGCGAAGATAGTCAATGAGCATGTTGAGCTTGGTATTTCCAACGTCTAGCTCATAATTTTCATTTATGTTATTTTTTTTTCAATTATACAAGAAATTCAATGTCAAACTATTTTATTAATTAACCGTTTCAGAGATGAATATTCAAGGAATGACTCATCATTTTTTTTGAGCAATGAATATCCACCGCAGACTACTGAAAAATCCAACTTCTTTATTTGTATTATTCTTCCAGTTTTCGTTTCTTTGATAAAGTGATTGATGCAATATGTCAAAAATTCCGTATCGTTTAATACTCAAGTACACGTTTTTTCTGTATTCCATAAGTAAAACAAATTACTTACACTAAAATCGCTGATCAATGAATTGTTGTTGTTAGAACTGCTTTTTTTATTTAGACGTCACGCGGTGGCGTGAAATTTATAGTGTACGTTGAATATATATATATGTAATCGCAACAGTAGCGTATACTACAATACAAGAATAAAGATTTTTCGATAATATCAAACAATTACATTGAATTTAATGAAGCGGGAGATAAAGTTAAAAAAAGAAATTAAAAAACCAATGAACAGAAAGATTTAGCGACTGGTGTGTGTCCGGCGAGAATAGACTGTAATAACCATTGCCCAATTGAAAAGCGCGTTCGCTGAAAAAAAGAGATGAGAAAACCAACAAGAGCGAAAACAGCACAGCCCACTGGCAAATGCATAATTCACGAGCAGAGCGAAAGCATTTGTCGGGCGTGCATTCTTCGAAAGGTCAGCTCGGAGGCATTGTCGCGGCCGCGACGGCGCTAACGCGTTGTGTGTTAATGCTAATGCGCCGAGCCCGAGCTCGCGCGGCGCTCTTTCTCGCATGTCGATCGGGTCGATCGGCCGCGCGTGCCCGGATTTTCGCGCGGCTCCGTGCCGACCCGGGGGCTCGCCGAGCAACGGCGTCGCGATTCGGCGGGACGTCCGGGGCGCGGCCGAGGGATGGCAGCGCGATCGTTCATCCGATCGACCGTCACTTATTTCGAGGCGAGTCGAGTCGAGCGCGATTGCCGTTATACGATCAAAATTGAAAGCAAGCTGCGTCCGGTGTAATTTTGACAATTAATTCTTCTGCGCTATCCGCAGAGAGAAAGAGAGAGAGAGAGAGAGAGAGAGAGAGAGAGAGAGAGGAGCGAGACAGGCGTAGTTACTCCGGAATCCGGAAGAGTTGCAAGTGTGTGCGGGGCGTACTGCACGAGAGAGATACTGCCGAGAGCAGTATACGCGTAAAAACCAGCGTCGCCTTTATAATTTTGCGCATTCTTTCGAATACCTGTGCAAACACTATGCGATCTTTTGAAAGCAAAAATTATGCTAGTTTTGAGGTATGAGTGACGACTTACTATGATCATCAAATTATTTCAATCAACAATTTCCAAGTCTCATCGCTGTCAAAGATTATACTTTTTTCGTTGGAACAAAGTAGCAAGTTCCTCAAAATAAATACATTTTCCGCGTTGATACTTTCGAGTGAAAAGCGATCCTTTACGCATAAAAGCCATTTTTCGCTCGAAATACAAGTTTTGTTGGTAAACGATGGGTTTTCGCGAGTGCGAAAAATGTGCCTGGGCTGAGGCTTGATTGCATCCGATTTCGCTCGACTGCCGAGTTGTCTTGATTTGTACAATATTCACGGGCGATCTTGCCCGGTCGAGGATAAAAGTGCAGAGACTCGATGAGATTGCGAAACTCGCGCGGATCGTCGTACAAGACGAAAAGAACAACGGAAGGAAGGATAAAAAAAACGTCGAAAGGGCTGACCAAGCGTAGAGTTGGCTACTCGAGTAGGCGCGGAGAGGCCGGTGTAATCGATAGGCTGTCTTGGACGCTCGCAGCAACTGCCAGGCCAATAACAAAAATAAAGAAACGCAGCGGGCAACAAATGACCGCGAGTGCGTGCGCGGACGCGGAAGGTGGACGGCGAACAGAAAGGAGGGGGCGAAGAGAAAAGTTAGGTGCCTGAGCGCTCCGAACAATCCCCCCATCGGAGATTCCACGGGCAGCAGCCGGGAATATCCTCGATAAACTGGCGCGCCACCACCGCCGCAGCGGATTCCGCGGTCCGATAAGGTATTTCGCTCGCGGGGAATGCGAATCTTAAAATTCCCTTAGGTCGAGCAGCGGACAATAACGCACTGCTGTGTTTCGCACCCGTGTCGATAAGGCTCTCTTCCCCCGCTTTAAATATCCTCGGAAGTTTGCGCACTTTATTAACCGACGCGCGCCGTTCTCGCGTGTTGCCCCCGCGTCGCCTTCGGTCTTGCGTCGGCCGAACATTGGTCCTCCGCGATGAACGACCGAAAGGGAAAGCTCGTCACAGAGTGCGAATGTGCGTAGGTACGTGCCGAGGATCAACTGCAAATAGGCAAGAGAAAGCATAAATTTCAATGAGCGTTAAGGCTGCAGCAGCAGCCGCGTAGGCAAATTTTTCTCATTAGGGTGTCTCGTAAATTCTTGCGCCGCACTCCCCTCTTCCACTGCGATTTACGACTGCAGCCAATCTTTTTTTCTTATACGCGCGAAACTGTAATTATCACGAGGGCGGAGGTCCTCGATACTACATATAATGAGAATGAAAAAATTCAAACCGAAAGATGGAAAGATGAAAGATCAAAGGAGTGCTGCAGCTTGGACTTTGCTCGGTTACAAGCAATTTGGCACGAAAAAGATTTTTTTGTTTTTTTCCGCAATCATAACAATGACGGAGAGAGAGAGAGAGAGAGAGAGAGAGAGAGAGAGAGAGAGAGAGAGAGAGAGAGAGAGAGAGAGAGAGAGAGAGAGATAGTCGATAACGATCTCGAGCTCTCAATATTCATCAAGAAGTAGCAGCGCCGTTAGGCGCATTTGAATTTGTAATTCGCGTATATAGGAGAGCTGCGCCATCTGCACAACGATTAGACCCGCGTCTTATCTCTCGAGCCTCATTGTTGCTGTGGCGTCCGCTATTCCTCTCTTTCATTGATAGAGGCGCGCGCGCGCGCTCGTAGCGATTTGCATAAGGCCGCCGCTGACCGAGTTAGTTTGCAGCGCGGATAAGATAGCAACAGCAGCCGCTGATTGAATTCGGCCTTTCTAATTTGTTCGTCAATCTTCGTCGGCCGCCCAACAATGCCCCGTGTCCGTGTCCGTCTTTTCTCCCAAGACTGATCCTACGAAGGCTCATCCAACCTTCTCTTCTTTTTTTTTCGTCCAAGCTTTGTCCCGCAGTTCCCGTGTGTTTTGACACTTTGTGCCCGCGCGTACCACATAAATAAAATCCCATCAATCATTCACGCGTACGCTTTTCAACCATTGACTTTGGAGACGCGCTTTTGCTCGCTAGTTCAGACTTCTTTTGATAATCTCGGACGATGGGATTTTTATCTTATGTCAGATCTGCCATTTTGAAAATTAATTGCAATCAGCTGGACCAAACAACTTTACAATCTTTTTTTTTACACCTGGGGATGTCGAACGGCGAAATGAACGAGCAACATCGTTGTAATTGTCATATCGATTTGTCATGCACTTTGCTAAAGCAGTAATGCGGTGCCGTCAGACGTAAATTTGGAGTGAGAGCCGCTGCGGATCAGCAGCGGACCTGTCACGCCAAGCGTTCTCGCGAGGCAACCTTTGTGGATCCCTCGGGTTATAACGTAGACAGCAGGCCTTTCGCTCGCAGGATTAGGATGTACATCGCGCTCGGTGGCGATATACTAGCGCTGATAACAGTAGCGCATGGAGATGGGGAGAGGGAAATTGTAGATGCAGGTCTCTTCTGATGGGTCGATTTCGCTACTCGATGTTCGGATACTATATAAGCTAATCGGATTTTCGGATAAGACTATTGGGTGAGAGCGTGCGGATCATTGAATGTTAGTGTTTTCTCTTTGATTGCGAATCATCCGATGTAACCATTTGGGACGTCGTAAGCTGTTATAATGTTATGTATCGAGTTGCTGCTGATTATGACGATGCGATCTAGGAGTTATATCATGCATCGGTTGCTGGTACGGATACGACTAAAGCGATAAGGATACGAGGCTATTATCATTCATATTTTTTATTTAGCTGCCAGAGGTGTACTCAACGTCATGCTCCATTAGGCTCGTTGACTTTCTCTCTTTTTCTTGCAAAAAAAAATGTTATTCTCGCAGAGCTCCCCTGACAACGCTATCGGATCACGCTCTATTTGCCGCGAAAACTGGACAACGAAAACGAGAGAGCGAGAGAGAAGCCACGTGAGAGCAAAAATGCCGGCAGCATAAACTCGCCGACAAATAGCCGAGCGTGTTCGGAGCGCTCGATCCGGAACAGCCCCCGCGGATTATTTATCAAAGATTCCGCGCGTGACTTGCTCCGCTAACGCACTCCGACGCGGATTAATGCTCGGCTTGCCTTTGCTCCTCGTTTTCTCCCTCGCCTCCCCCTCTCTTTCTCTCGTTAGCGTGGAAAAATTAGGGTTGCACGCGCATCCGAGGGGATAATAAAAGAGGCTGCCCCCGTGAAAAACAAAAATGTGCACGCGCACTCCATCGCCTCGTTACCCTCGCTGGACGTGCTTAATTAGCTGTTTGAATAAGGAATGGCAGGCTTTGATGGATTACAATGCTTTTCGTGTTATTGATTTTTGCATGTAACTACGTCGAGCATCCTCGTCTCGTGCATTTATTTATTTATTTTGGTTGGTTATTGATTGACGTGGAGGACGAGGTATTGATGGATTATTGTGAATATTTTAATAAATTTTATCGGACGTTTGAGTGAGCGCTGCTTTTTAACATTGACGCTTGTTAAAGGACTCTCTCCCCTGCAGACGTCCGCTGCTTGGTTTTTCAAAGCCACGCACAGAGCGGAATATGCTTTATCGTGAACACTCGTATAACAGAAATATCGACGAAAATATGCGTAAAACAACGGGCGAGAAATGAATTTTATTCGTTGGAAAACATTAGCGACCCTATACGAAAAGTCGCCCGACCGGCAGTAAAAGGCAGCGCTATAAAGGTCGTTTCCCTCGAATAATTCGATTGATCCTCGCGAAGGAGTCTGCACGGAGAAGCCGAAAAAGCGAGAGGGCAAAGATGCTCGCGCGTGACGCGTCGACGTACGTGCGCGCGCAGCGCCGGATAATTGGATATATCGTCGTGCGCACAATGCGCGCGTGGCTCTCTATCTCGAGATGGCATTAAAATGAGACATTGTGTTCTCTCGAATACGACTCAATAAACTTGGCCTCGCGTCCGCGCGCGCTATACACCGGCGCGTCTCCATCGGCAATCATTATAAATAAAGCCAGAGACGTACAATGCGCGCGAGCCTCTTCCTTCTTGCGCGCGCGCTCTTATTTGCTTTTGGCGCGCGTTTATGAAGCTGCGACATCGAGATAGAGG